TGAAAATTGTATGGCCTGAAGTGCATCACTTGCTTTGATCGAATCTATTGGCGCACCTCATTCTTGTCGATTTTCACCTCCTCGATTTCCATGGAAACATATTAATGTATTCTTGCTTGGAAACATGCCAATTTTCGATAACGCTGTTTTCAATTTAATTTACACGTTCTTCCATGTAATATTTTATTTCGCAGCCCTCAACTATATTCTCTGATTTTCTACGAACAGCCAGGTTAAATAATTTGTGATAAGGTATGTACAGACAAAAAATGCAATTACAATTGGTTAAATTGTAATAGCAAATTGTAATATAATAATTTTTTCACATGGATCCACATGTTAGGAAAGAATTCTTGTTAAGTGTAAATACGCAAAATTTTATGAAAAATCAAACAGTTATCACGTTAGGTTTGTGTTTCAAAACTTGCGTCTATATACAATGGACTTGTGCACTAAAATTTTTTCTAGTTATATGTAATAGTGAAATTTTATGAAATGTATAGAGCTTAACGTTTGGAATTGATATTTACTGTCTTAATTCTTTTTTCTTTATTATTGTATATAGGTTCAGTAGCCATGGCTGTGGCCCAAGGGCACAGAAAAAAATTGCAGGCAGCTGTTCGATATTTTGGCGATGAGACGAATACAATACACTTGGTTGATCCAGCCTTGATACATGATTTTGTATCCGTGGAAACATTCAACTTTAATATTCCATATATCATTTATCAAACTGATGATGTTGAGAGAATTGAAAAGCCTACACAAGTGTTTGCTATTTCTGGTGAGATATATTTTTAATGCAACAACAGCGAGAAAAATATTGTGATACTTATTTAATTATTTTATATAATGAAATAGTCGTTCATTTGAATATAAGTTCAGCTATTTACGTGATATAATGTATTATAATTCCTACATTCACATTGTCGAGCAGAGAACGAAGAAGAACTCTTGAATCCTCCAAAAATAAGAATTTTTGATAAAAAAAGAATAAGTGATGTTATGGAAGAAATTTTAGGGAGCCAAGATAAAAAAGAAAAAAAGAAAATGAAACAGGGTGGTGATGATGATAAGGTCTCAATTGAAACAGAAATATCTACAAATGTTCCACTGTCTGGCAAACCAACAAATGCTGTACAAATGAAAGAGATTGAAAAGGTTTTTTTTATTAACAGTCAATAAGTATATTACAAAAAATCATTAACATTATGTTTGTAAATTTTATTTAGAAAATAAAAGAGGATGCTAAAGCCTTTGCAAAATCTGTTGACAAATAAATAATCATGGAAAAAGTAGCAAAAATGAAAAAAAATAAATTGAATTATACAGAGGATACTACTGACACGAAAAATAAACAGAAAGAAGTAAACGACCTACAAATGGTTATTTCTATAGAAAATGAAGAGTTAGAAGCAAGAAAAGCTGAACACCAAAAGTTAGAGGCAATGAAAGCGCAACATGAAGAAAAGATTAAAACTTGGCGAGCCAAACACGAAAAACAACAAGAAATGTTGAAAAAGTCTAAGGAAATGATTCTATCTTTACACAGTCAACATAAATATACTGCTATCAAAGAAAATACTAATAAATGTTCTGTCGGTAAGAATGTAATTTTTTTCAACTAATAAAAAAATAGATTTTTTTTAATTATTAAATCTCCCTACAGAAAAAGCCACAGAAGGATCATTCGACTTGGAATTATTTATTTCTCCTGATTCACAATTGAGTTTGCCTGCTCCCAAAACACTGTTATTTGATAATACAAACTTTAATTTGATGTCTGGTCTGGTTTGTGATTATGATTCAAGAAGCTCGAATGAAAAAAATGAATCAAGCACTTCCAAAGGTCTGAAGTATAACTTTTTAGATAAACATTTGATACATATAGTACCATTTTTTAGATAACAAATTTGATGACTATGCAGCGGAAGTTCCTCAAGATATAGGATACGCTGCTTCTGGTATTTATTGTAAATATAATATAAAAATATAATACTAAACATTGAAATAATTTTAACTTTCTGCATGTTTAGATAAAAAAAATGCTTCCCTGTCTGTAAAAAAATGTCAAAAACAAGATAGAGGCAAAACTGTTGGTGAAAGGCAACTTCAGAATAGTGATAACCAGGAAAGTGATCTTGAAACTGATTTAGAGCAGACTGAGAAGAAAAAGACAAAAAAAGGAAATATAAGAAGGAAGCACGAAGAAAGCAGTGGGGATGAGATAAAGAATTCTGACATGATATCCAAACAGGACAAGAGAGTAAAGAATAAAAAGAGAAAAATTGCGAAACGAAAGGAAGAAAAAAGTGACACTGATGAAAATGATAATAATTACGAAAGGCAGTCTTCTCGTAAGTTATTTTGAATATGCATAAGTCAATTATTTTGCGAATTACTAAATGATAAACTAATGAACAATAATTTATACATATTTTATTTATTTATCTATTTTGCAAATTTTTAAATGATAAAGTAATAAATAATTTATATATATCATTGAATAATTTGCAAAATAAATGACTTATGCACATATATACATCATATTATATATTATATATTGTGTATAAAATTTAAAAAAATTCAATTTTAATAAAATATTTATAAGAATCTTTTTAAAAGAGTGTAAATTTGCACAAAAATTCGTGCAACTTTTCAGGCAAGAAGAAGTTTAAAAGTTATTACGTTCCCACTGCAAAATACGAAGATATGCATAGCACATCCGATTCAGAGTCAGATGGAAATAAAAGACGGTTTTCCCGTCAAAGTGATGATGATTATCTGTCTCACGATTTACGCATATCAGAGCACAAGAATTATACGTCTTATCGCGAAGAAACAGAAAAAAAGGTAATGAGATGAACATTACGCCTGTGGTAATTCAGTATAGACATTAATAAGATTTTTTTTAGAGATTAATGTTCCACCTCAAGCATGACATCAGTATTAAATACAACATCTGGGACAAATTAAAAAAAACTTTTGACGTAAAAGAGTGGATTCGAATTCTGATTCATGCAATGTTCAAAGAAGACGAATTGATCGATAAAGTATTTCACCTTGCAAGTTGTAAAACAGAACGTCTTCCAGGAAGAACTCGATCAGAATTTACTCTCGAAGAAAAATTAGTTATAAGAAGTACTATTCATATAAATTTATATCATTATATTAACATAAATATGTACAAAATAATTTAATTTTTCTAGCAACATTTTTCTGCAGAATAGATGACGTAGTAAAAAACAAAAAAGAAGCAAAGATGCACAAAAATAATTGGAAATCATATATAATTAAGCGAACACATCAACTCATTAATTAACAGAGAAAAATTTGAACCTAATTCTCTGTTTAAAATTATTATATAAAAATATTCTTGCAATATGTTAAATATTAAATTGTCTAGGTAAAAAACGTGAGAAAGCTATGATACTGAAAAAGAATGCCAAGCACGCTGCTAGACAACAGTCGAGTTCATCCTCGGATGATTCAGAAAATGTTTAGTCATCAAAAACAAAGTACATATACTAGTTAATTTATAAAATGTTTAATTGAATAATAACGCTTGTACTACACTACTTCAGTAATCAAACGCATCATATTATACCGTTCTTCGTTTTTCATCTTTTCAAGAGTTTTTTATACTCGTTTTTTTCTCAGATTAGATTCTATGATCCTCATAAATTATCTATTATCAAAATAATGATAATAATTCGTAACGAAATCAAATGAATCGTAACGAAAGCAAAAACACCTATAGTTAATAATATTATTATTGTTCATTAGTTAACAAAATAATACATGGTAATATTGATAAGTGATCAAATATTTGTATGATTACAAAATAATGTTACAGTTTTAATAATTCTTTAATTAGTTAGTGATACTAGTTTGATAGTCACTCCAAAGACTTGATAAGTACATTATGTATTTAGGTTTTTAAGTAGCATATTCTATGTACTGTAACATGATTAATAAGGGATGAAACGTTTCTGCAATAATAAAGTGTAAGATAAATATATAAAACCTTAAATACAATTGCAATTAATTTCTTGTTTTTCCAACAGCAAAATATAGGATGCCAGGTGAGATAATTTTTTTTAGGAACCATGCAGCATTAGTTTGTTGTACCCTGTTTTGATTATTTTATGACAACAAGAACTGGCTTTCTCTATCATTTTTACAGGTCAAACATTTGCTAATCACCAGATATCCCTATATGAGTTTTATATGGATTCTCAGCATTGCACTGCGTACGCACTGTAGAACTCATATATATATGACTAACTGCCGCATATTACTAATCTTTACATTTTCCTCAATTTTGGATAGAAAATCGACAAAAGGAAAATTGTTTCGTAATCCGGGAATAAGGAGCTATCATCCGATATCGATATTATTTCTTTTTAAACAGGAGAAAAATGTTTAATGCATATTACGTGCTGTCCGAACGCCCGATTTTTTTTCGCAATTTTCTTAAAAGCGGAAAATTCGGAAATAAAATTTCAAGCGGAGACTTAATCCGGAAATAGGGAGAAAACGTTTTAGCTCATGAAAACTCAAAAATATTTTTAAACAAATTTTTTGTGCGTCAGCTTCACAAGTCTCTGTCTGGACGTAACTATTACTCGTCTTCACATTCAAAATTTGCGCCTTCCGAGACAATCAATATTTTTAACTTTGACTAGTACACGCATCCTACCGCGGCGTACTCGTACAGCGCGCTCATGTATGTACCGTACGCGTACCAAAAGTTATAGAATCCCACTTCCGACATCGCTCATGTATAAAATCCGCACTTTTACCGGTATCTATTTTATTTTGTTTATTTTTGAATATTCTGCATTCTGAAATTTGGAACGGTGTCAACGTATTTTTAGCTAGAACCATTACTCATTACTTACAGTACGATCAAATGATTAAGAATTCCGCCCCTAAATAAATACACAATCAATAATTTAATTTAGCAAAATTCAATGATCTCACTACTTCTTTTATATGTATGTATGTACATACATACATACATATACATACATAGATTAACATTTAAAGATGGCGTGTGATGGCGTATTTTAAAGTGCGTAGAATGTAACTATATTTCTTGGAAATAAAATCACTAGTAACCCACTGTTGACTGCGTTCGCGTGCCAGTCTCTAGTTTTTATAGTTCTGTACAGAATATGGAACATAAATGACGCTGCGTGTGGCTTGACATAGGACTTTGTATAAAAAAAATCAACAATTTTATGTGTCTTGAGACAACGTCACAGTTTAAATTAGTTAAAATATTGCATATTAAATATTTACTTTGAATAGTACATTACTTTGTAAAAAATGTCGAACAGAAACGATTACAGAAGGGATGATTATAAAAGAGAAGATTACAGAAGAGATGACTACAGGCGAGATGATTACAAAAGAGACGACTACAGAAAAGGTTTGGTTTACCCTTACATATTTGTGTTACAGATTAGTTTAATAATAATTGTCATTCTGTTTTCAAAATTAAGTGGAGTCTGTGAAAAATGCAGTTGCTTTAATCTTTTTATTTTCAATCATTGTATAATTATCCAAAATAAATGCCTAAGAGAGGATTCTGTTGCTAGAGTTTTCATGACAAATATTTCACTTACTTTCATCAAATTTTGGAAAAATTAAGACAATTTTTACAAAAAAGCATTTAAACTTCAATTAATTATTATTGAAACATGTTGACAAAATAATTTTATAATTTTTATGAGATTCATCCTGGAGAGAAGTCCAGACTAGAGATTGGATTAATTAATTCAAAGTAAAATGGTAACACCTCGTACCATTTTAAAGCTTCGGATTAAATTGTTTGCCTTTTTTTTTAACTTCATCTGAATTTGCCAGTGTTTGACGTTATCAGGGTCAAGTTCTTATTTGTCAGAGGATAGACGGAGGGAAGGTGAGGATAGTTCCAGCTCCAGAGAACGATCACCTCACAGGCCACATGATCGATATGAGTACTCAGGCAGTTCCTTTCAATTCCAAACAGATAAGCAAAGATTGGCCTTTGGTTTTGATCAGAAACCTTCCAGTAGTGACTCAAAGAAGGGTGGTATACAAATGAAATTGGGTACTGGACCGGTTAGTGTATGTTTTTATCATTTGTGAGTAACAATTTAAACATGTTATAACATCCCAAAATTGAGTTGAATACTTTCTGTTTAGAAACTTACTAAACCAGTTCCTCCCAAGAAACACACAGTTGCTTCAGTTTTTAATAATGATGATGATGATGAACCAGAAGAAATGCCTGCTGAAGCTAAAATGCGAATGAGGAATATTGGGCGAGATACACCGACATCTGCAGGCCCAAATTCATTTGGAAAAACTAAGCAAGGTTTCTGTGATTCTAAGAAGATTTTTGAAAAAACTTTGAAGAAAGCAATGGAAGAAGCCAGTAAATAAATGGTGTTTTGGACTAATTTAATAAATTTGAATTAATTCTTTGATATTCAGAATAGTTGAGAATATTTTATTGGATAATAGAGTAATATAGAATTCGAAATTTAATGATGCAATATTTGCATTGTCCAATGGTCAAGTTATGTCAATGAATTGTCATATAAGAAAATGTTAATTTCATTAGAATAACTTTTGAATTTTACAGAATGTATTCTTGATTTACATCAAAAATAAGTAATTACTGTAACTAATGTTTAAGTATGGATTCAAATGTCAACAGTTTCATTTTATGCTCTCTGTAGTTTCTTATTTAAATTTGCTCATATTACAATTATCTACATAAATTGAAATTTCAATCACATAAAAACTTTCTATATTATGATCTTAGATTTAATAAAGTTACTAAAAATCTTAATGTGTATAAATTTTATATTATTAAAATATCAATTTTCTATCAAATTTGATCAAAATTAAAAATAATAAAAATTTTATAATTGATAAGTAACATTCTTGTACAGGATATTTAAAAAAGTACAGGGCTATTATTTTTTCATCTTTTATTTGTGAAATTAAAATACAGTACAGTTACTTCCTATTTTGCTGTACTTGACGTATGTCCTGAAAATTACAAAAAAGAATTATAAAATGGTATAGCTACATTTCTTATATCTTCATAGATTACATTTATTTATGTATATACTATTGTACATTATAAATCCAGTCAATAAATTGAAATTTAAAACAGTTAAATGTAAATAATAAATTGAATTTGGACAGATTTACAAGAACTAAGCTTAAAATATTTTTAACTAAAAATGAAATTACCCTAGGGAAGTTGCGAGTTGGAGGGGTCCTGATACGCCTGTCAGCTTTTGATCTGTTTCGCACCACTTTAGAGTGGATTGCACAAGATACACAGTAATGCAGCTTAGCATAAAGTTTAGGTAGCTGATATGGAGAGTATACACTGGCATCAGTGATATCTCTGACAGCAGCAGCCTCAACAATGTTTCGAATGACGAATTTCTTGATCGCCTTGTCCTTGGGAACACATCGTGCACAGTTAGTGCAACGGACAGGGTTCACATGTCCACGACCATTTTTGGCGCGTCCTGCGTTCCTGCGTTTTCGCGTCTATAGAAAATAATTATTAAATGAAAAGATTACTCACTTTCTACTACTGTTAGTTGATAATTAATGGACGTTTTTAATTGAAATATATAACTTTCCGACATTTTGAATGTTTATAAACGAAGTTTTCATTTGCTTAAAAGATATAGCTATTTTTAACTCACTCTAGTTATAAACACCGAATACTGAATTAATTAATCGATTAACTTATTCATTTTAAATAATTGTACCCATACAATTACTGATGTGAAGCATATAATTATTGGATTAATCAGCAAAAAGAAAGATAACCTAATTTTTATACCACATGGTGTATAATGAAGTATTTTCAATAAACAACTATAAAAATACATAAAATATAAATATTTATTTTAAATTGAAAGTAACATTTCGTCGTACTTGTCTTTAGTTTCACAAATATATTTATTACGTGAGATAAATAGACTTTAAATAATCTACGATAAAATTATGTACACTCACCATAATTGCAGGTTAACCAGCAAAAGACCGAATGTGGTTGTGAAAGCTAAAAGATGGAAGGCTCGGTAGGTGTGTCGCTAGTTGTCTTACTACACAAGGCAAATGTAAGATTTTGTTTGTTTCCGGTGTTTAAAAAATTACGATGATTTTTTTCTTCAATATACGATAAATTACAAATATACATATTATTAAAAAATCAACAATAAAGAAATAAATTTAATTTTTAATAAAATGAATATATGGAAATAGTGCTGATGAAAATTGATTAGATTTCATTAATTGCTAAAAATAAATTTAAAATTAATTTAATAGTAAAATTTTATTTGTAATCGTACATTATAAAAATAATTTGTTTTAAACAGAGAATATAAAAAAATGGGTTTAGTAAAAAAGAGTTTAATTTACATAAGAACTAATTTTTATGTGATATAATTATGAAAAATTTGTAAACGCCAATAACGTTAACAATAGTTTTTCACATTTTTACATGTACGTTTCATTTTCTCTATATCAAACAATATGAGTCATGTTTTTTAAATCTTATTGAAATCAGAAATCTGACTATAACTTGACATTTTTACAATAAAATACGAAGAAATATTCTAATATAAATACAACATGTTGCTTACACGCTTTGCAATGAGATGTGTTTCTTTGAGTCGTTAACATACATTAAAATGGAACTCATTTATGTGTAATTAAAATCGAAAATATAAAAAGTAATTGTTCTAAATTACCAAAACAGTAAAAGTTGACAATTGACAAGTATAATTATACTCAAAAAACAGAAAAATGATAAACAAATTCATATTAAACGCATGACAATGTATGACGTGTCTCGTGATATTTAACATGAAACAAAGAATAAGAGGTAATGAAAAGAAAAATTTGTTAAACAGGAAAAGAATTTAGTTTGCTTCTGATGAATTTGGCCAGTAATATGCTTGCATAGACGACCGTAGATTGTTGCTTGGTTTAAGAGGAGTCTTAGCATCTATAGAGTCTGGAAAACGCTCATGATAACGTTCCAGTCTTAAGTATTTAACAGTTACCAAATGCCCTGTAAATAAATTGAATTTAATTTACATAAATACATGAGCGATTTCAGATAAAGCGAATTTGTAATGAGCATTACCATCAAACCAACTTCCATGTAAGGCTTTGTAAGCTTTACCAGCATCTAATTGAGACATACATTTCGCATACACACACCCTTCACGGCTACCACGATCGACTATAATGTGCAAAATTTTTATATTATCGCCACATTTGTCAAGTACAGCGTCTTTTATTTTTGACTCCCAGTCCTCTTCAAACTCTCTGAAATAAACATAGTATATATTTTTTAATTTTATTTTATTTAAAAATCCAAGCATGTACATGTAGTTCTAGCATCTTATTAGTAACTGCAAAACTGCGGAGAAGCATACAGCACCTGTACGCAGGATTGGATACAAAAGTCTTATACTAAGTTCTTAAAAAACTAAATAACCTAGTATCTTAAAAACTAAACGAGCCTAGTTACAAGCATTTGCATTTTATATACCAGGTATATCCTTTTCAATATTTTTTACAATCCATTCTTTAAATTTTTAGTTAGAATATGTTCAATATTTATTGGACAAATTTTTCAAAGCTCAAGCCTATTAATGAACTTCACAACACTTACACATCTGGCTCAAACATGTGTCTTATTTTTAAGCAAGGTGTTGGAGAACAAGCTGGGCTATTAACAGAGCCTTCCATTGTTTCAAATGCACTTCCTTGCCAAACTTTACCCAACTTTGGAGTTGGACTAGATCCTGGAGAGTTAGAAACATTTGAGTTGGTGGGTAACCAGCGCCACACTTGAAATTCTTCTCCAGCAACCATTCGAACTTCCCTTCGGATTCTAAAAATGATCAATATTGTAAATATTTATGATATCACTAAAATATACAATTAAGAAAAAATTCATTGTAATAATTAAATAATACCTAGATTCGTTCTCATCCAAGAATTTGACAGCCTTTTCCCACGGCCTATATAATTTTTTTCTGTCTTTGGGAGATATAAGATTGTCTCTTATGTGATTAATAGCTAAATAACAATCTTGTGTACTTCCAGGATTAGCATTTGCAAAGCTTTGATAATGGAGTTCTAACTTATTAATAATTTCACTGACTAAATTGAAGACTTCTTTTTCAGCATTATCTTTGTAACGTTTGTAAGCAACAAATGCTTTTTGACATCCAATAATCGTTAGCCCTCCTGTAACAATTGTTAAAGCTTAATTTTTTGATAATACATATTTAGTAAGTTGTAAAAAGTATATTTTGATAAATGAAAAGTTTGCTAAAATGCTAAGTTCCAATCTTGTTTACTTTTACAAACTTACTTGAAATTATTAGTAAATAATATCAATTATGTGCATTATACTAAAAACTAATAATACATATGTATTTTAAACAAATAAACATGACAATAGATTGGCGAAGGATTATTTTATTCAAAGATTGCTTAATTTTAAGAATATTTTAGAGTTAAACTTAAACAATACATAGAGGCTATTGCAAATGGAATTATTTGATAATTTTAACTACATAAAATAGTACATATTTAGCCATGTAACAAATCTACCATACAGCATTTAATATACAATTCCGACCGAATGGAATAAAATTTCAGTTAAAAATTTACCAAAGCCAGCTATTAGAAGTGCTGTGACAATATTTAATAATCTTTTCTTGACGAGACATTGTAATGGTAAATCCGGTTCTTGAATGACAACACCCAACTTTTCTGCAAAACGTGTCAATAATACCTTTTCCTGTAATTAAATACAAATAGATAAAAAATTAGATTATTAAAATGTTCTATTTTTGAAACCAAGTAACTGAATGCATAGAATAGTTTTAGAAAATCTCACCATGGTATCAAGAACTTGAGGTATCTGAGTGTCATCTGGAATTTCAATTAAAGACATTCCCCATTGAGGATTTCTGAATAAAAGAACATGAGCCATATATAAATTTTCTTTCACTTTGGTTTCAGACTGTCCCGCATTTGAAAAGATTGTTACAATGTCATTGGTATTAATATAAGGAGGTTTTTTAGTATTGTCACATTCAGCTGATATGGCTCTTTTCATTAATATAGGATGAAGTTGCTTGATAAAGTGCAAAACCTCTGTAACGATATCTTCAGGTACGCAGTTTGCACCTCGTTTATCTTGATTCGACGCTATAGAACACAGCGGTATATCGCTATCTACAAAAAGAAATATATAAAATACAAAATAAAGTAAATCTGAAGAATGTATTTTAAGATTAAAAATGGCATAGGCGATCAAAGCTCTGTTGTAAGTAAGCAGTTAATAGCCATATTATTTATAAGAAGTAATACGTACTTGGCCTATATATGCATTGCTTTGTAATCAGCAAAATTTTATGCTGTCAGCTTCATAATATTTTCTTATATTATAATATATATTATACACTTGATCGCCTATCCATTTTTGCTCTAACTTAACTTTAATTAAAGAAAGGAATTCTTTTTTTCACAATACATTGAACAATACCAATTATTTTAATAAGTTTTAGCAAATTACTCAGTTTATTTTATAAAAATATTTATAAATTGAACAATTTTAAAATCAATTTTATGTACTCAAAGGATAATTTTTTCAATGAGGAAATATCTTTTTATTTTCAATACAATAATTTTATTGTTTTAAACAAAAAATTGACTTACGAAATAACACTGTATTAAACATAAAGTTGAACTGTGGTACTACACTGAGACTTTCACTTCCACATACATGGTTATATTTATTTACATTATATTAATTAATCAAAATTTTTAATATTTTGAAGAAAATTTTAACATTTTAAGAATAAATTAAAGTAATTGTAAGAGAATATATATTAAATGTTATAAAATATACAATTGATAATTTTCATTGATATTTTTTCCAGTACTCTTAATACTTTTACTGGTTGCTAGTAATTAAAAATTATTGTAAATAGAATGAGTAAAATAATAAAATTGTAAGAAGCGATAGCAGTAAAACTTAGTTTTAGTATAACTAAAGTTACGTACCAGCAGGTAAAAGAGGAAAATTGTCAGTTTTTCCTTCAAGTCCTAAGTAAACAATTGCTAATACTCCAAAAAATAATGCCAGTACCCCAACAAGAACCATTGATATAAAATTTTGATTACTCTTTACCTCTCCATGACCAGCAACAGATTTGAAAACTTTATCGCGGGTTTTATCTAATGACGACGTTACATAGGTCATGCTGAAAAAGGATAATGTTATTTTTAAATTATAAAAAAGCTTAGTTATTTCAATAATTTTATAATTGTTACCTGGAGCTTGAAGGATAGGTATTTCTCAATGGAGATGTAAAGTGTCCATTTGAATCAGTTTCTTTTACTTCTGGTGTATTATTTAATCCTGAATAACGATATTTTGATCCTGTAAAATTTAGATTACAAAATTATTGTAAAATTGTAAAGATTCCATTGTAAAATTTCTAGTAAAAGAGAAAACAATTAATGTAGTTTAACAAATTATGGAATTTATAAATGCTTGTACTGTAAAATTTTAATTGATGAAAATTATTTACAAAAAGTTACCTATCAGAGTAGATTTTGTAAGAGATGGTAAAGGTACTGATGCTTGAACACTAAGTTTTCTTGTAAAGTCAGATAAGTAAGGACTTTTATAGTTCGAAAGTAAATCATCCTTTTTGAGATCCTTCAAATCATTTTTATAAGAATCCAAAGGTTTACTAGGCAAGTTTACAGAATACCTCTCATTCTTAGGAGGACTGGCTTTATTGGTTGTGCGCAAACTAGAATCATGAGATTCTCGTAATGACCTTCTCCAGTTAGTCTCATATGACTTTGGTGTGTTTAAATCAGCTGTTGCAGCACTGGTTCCAGGGGCTTGATCATTGTAAAATTTAGTTGTGCCACCTCCAAACTTGGTAACAACTGTGGGTTTTCTTGGACTATCTTCAACTATGTCTGAATCTGATCCAGTTTCAAGACCATCATTATTTTGAGACAGTCTTTTATTTTTGACAAAGGTCTTGTCACTTTTGGCTGTAGAACGATTATTCAAACTTGGTAGATTATCATTGTCAGATATTTCTGAATCTCCAGCAGTAATATTCTTGACAAGGCGTTTTTTTGCGGGGCTTTTGCTTGTACTAGATGTAATAGGTGCAGATATTGGTGGAGGCATAGGATTGGCTAGAGTCTGTCTTCGTGTATTTGGAGGTATCTTCTTTTTCTTTTTAGCACTAGCTGAGATGTCATCGTCTGTATCATCACTGCTATATCTGGAATTCCAAATAAAAATAATTAGTTATTATTCATAAATTAAAGAAAGTAAAATCTTTGCTCAACTTATACCTGGCAGCCATAGAATGACGAGAGCCTGCAGCACCACGAGATTCCATAAGAGTTTTTAACTTTTTAACAAGAATCTTCCGAGTGGTTTGTGTAACTGGTCCAACTGGATACCCATACTCGGACAGTTTGGTCCTAAGCTCTGAGTCACTAAGTGCTTCAATAGACATTTTATAGATTTGAAACAGTTTCTTCAAACTTTATATCTCAAAATATTTCCTCCTATAATGATCAATCACTGAAATACTTAGTCTTGTAGATCTGTCATGAAAGCAAAAATAAACTTATTATAAAGTATTGAAACAGAAATAGATTTTACAACACTTGTCATAAATACTTTCACTGAAAATCATTAAAGAATATAGATAATTTACTATTGAACATATTAGATAATGAAAGTATCTATAGTATTACAGATACTTTATATATATATATATATATATATATATATATATATATATATATATATATATAATTTCATATTAAACACTAATAATCTGTTCATATCCTCATATTCGTACGCTAACCTTTTAAAATGTGCTGTGATTTCAACGTTTTTAAAAAAAAGATTTGGAAAGAAACTAATATTTTAAATACTAATAAACAACACGAGCATGTTGATTGTCAGAACGAAAATTATAAACATAATAGATCTAACGACGGCAATAAAATCGAACCACTTTTTACAAATTTGAAATATTTCAAGACGTGCAAAAACGTGGAAGACTTAGTTGTAAAGTTGATGGTATCTGAAGTATACACAGTAGTAAAATAAACAAACACGAAAATATTATAAATCGAGTATGTATAAAAATGTTAGTAGTTTAGTTTTAAGAAGGTTCAAGAATGCTTATAATCTTCCGGCGAAAACGCGGCGCCGAGTCCTGACGAATACAGCGTGAATCAAGGGAACAAGCGACCGGGTATGTGTTGGCATCAAAAGATTAAAAAGATGATGAAAAAAAAGTAAAAAAGCAAAAGAACTCTGGATTCTTGATGAGCTGAAAAAGTAAGATATTCACCTTCTTCGTGCTCGCGCCGACAGATAGACGCTTGTCTCTGTCTCTTTCTCTGTCCTCTTCTTTCTTGTTTTCCTTCTCTCCTCTCTCTCTCGCTCTCTCTCTCTCTCTCTCTCTCTCGCTCTCTCTCTCTCACTCTCACTCTCTCTCTTCTCTCTCTCTAAGAAAGCCCTCTACTTTTTTCTTCTCAGTCGTTCTCTTCGGCACGCACGTAAATTAACTTTGATTTGAACGTCGTTCACATCTCGTTCAGCATTTTCCAGAGTTACACGAACAATTGTAACGGTGGCGGTGCGGGGCACATAACGGTCGCCCGAAAATGCAAAATGCGCGGATAGTCTCAGTCACAGACTCACAGACCACAGACTCAGCGTGGCGGCAACCACACATAACATGCATGTGTGCGTGCGCGTATAGTATATGATATGTGTGCGCGGGGCGAACATTGGACGCGAGAGGGCCAAAAACGCGCACTCTATCCATGAGACGACAAGCGCCATGTAGGTATAATAATTGCTGACTGCTTGTTCTAGCCTCCCATCCACAGCCGCGGCATCCATATACACGTTTCGTTCGCTAAATTTAAACCCCGGTTTGACACCTTGATTGCTGCTTTTCTTTGGGATTCGTTTTCGTATATAGTCGAAATATAATTTTCGATCTCTTCAATTTTTCTTATATTTTCGTCAAATTTTTAAGGAATTTAAAAATTGAGAAATAAGATAGTAAAGTATTTTTTGTATTTTATATGTTATTATTTCGGATTCAATTGATTTAGTTTGATTTATTTAACTGTTCCACATTAAAAAGATGAAAATTCGAAGTTAAATTCGGATTAGATTTCAAATCTACAAAATAATTATCAGACGCAGTTACTGACTCAGAGTTTAAGACCAAAGTTCAAATCACTGCATATTTTTATTGCTATATTTTTTAATCAATTGTTTGATATTAAAGATATGCGTCAATTACTATTGCTGCAAACGTATAAGCTTAGAAAAAACGAAGGAATTCTTAGATGAAAGCCTAATGTCTAACTCAAAGAAATAATTTAAAAATTTTAAAGCACAATATCAAGCAAACAAGCCTTATTGTTAGTGACGTCATGTGCTCAATTATTACGGAACGGACTTCAGAAAAATCCACCCTGTCTAATATACCGACTTGATATATATATGCTATATATATATACATATATATATAGCAAAACACTTAGTCTTCAGGAGCAATGGCAATCTAATTAGGTGACGTTAAAAGCAGTTAGTTTTGTTTTTACGTATATTTCGGCAAGGGCCGAGCTTTCGAGATGGCTCTAAGAAAAGTCAAAGGTAATTTCGAACGGATGTTCGATAAAAATCTCACCGATCTTGTACGAGGAATCAGAAATAATAAAGAAAACGAGGTAAGGCTTAATACTTTTGCAAGGTTAACGTTTAATTTCATTTTAAGATTTTCTATATTATTGTAACTGATATCAATTCATTGAGATTGCTAAAAAATGAAAACACTTGTGTAATATTTTTTTATTTCTTACACTTTAAATTGTGGACACTTTTCATGCAACATATTTCAATTACAATTTAAATCAATATTTGAATAATTAAAAATTGATACTTTCTTAATAGTACCTGCTACTGATCTTCTGAACTCCAATATGTTTTAAGATTTCATTTACCCAAGTTTTAATTCTAAAATAATAAATAGTGACCACAATATTATTAGGCACTTCAAAGTTTATCCATAATATCATGAAATTATTAAATAAAACTTGTATGTTATGATTTTAAACTTAGTAACTTTATAAATTGTAGGGTAAATATATAACACAATGTATGGAAGAAATAAAACTAGAACTAAGGCAAGATAATATAGCAGTCAAAGCCAATGCAGTTGCTAAGCTGACATATGTAAGTTAGAATAAATTTGTATTTGTTTTAAACATGACTAACAAATTTTTTAATTTTTACAGTTGCAAATGCTAGGATATGATATAAGCTGGGCTGGATTTAATATCATAGAAGTTATGTCATCTGCAAAATTTACTTATAAGAGGATTGGCTATTTGGCGGCTAGTCAAAGTTTTCATATGGAGTCTGAGGTACATGTTACAGTTATTTTTATTCACATGCCAATCTAAAGAGTATTTCTTAGAATATACTTGAAATTGTTTTATTTTTAGCTACTAATGTTAACAACAAATATGATACGCAAAGATCTAAACAGCTCCAACCAGTATGATGCTGGACTTGCACTAAGTGGTTTATCATGTTTTGTTAATCAAGATTTAGCTAGAGATTTAGTGAATGATATAATGACTCTTTTGACTTCTACAAAACCTTATTTAAGAAAGAAAGCAGTGTTAATGATGTACAAAGTGTTCCTTCGATTCCCAGAAGCATTGAGACCAGCATTTCCTAGACTTAAGGAAAAATTGGAAGATCCAGATAGTGGAGTTCAATCTGCAGCAGTTAATGTAGTGTGTGAACTAGCTAGGAAAAATCCAAAAAATTATTTAAGTTTAGCACCAGTGTTTTTTAAATTAATGACAACATCTACAAATAATTGGATGCTAATCAAAATAATTAAATTAGTAAGTAACTTAACTCACAATATTACAAATTTTGATTCTAGTCATTTTTATACAATGAAAATGAATTTATACTGCATTTCACTATTATTTAATTAACATTATAATAATTTATTTTCATTATATGCTCAGTTTTCTACAATAACATTGATTGAGCCTAAATTGGGCAAGCCATTGACACAGCCCTTAATTCAATTAATAACAAGGTTTTCCTCAAAATTAATTTCATTTTGTATAACATATGGTAGTACTATTGTCTATTGAAACCTGTAAAAATTATTATAATTTGATAGCTTTCCACAAAAACATTACATTGTTTTTTGCAAATTAAAAAACGCTCTGAAGTTTTTATTAAAATATTGTTGAATGCTAGTGTTTGCTAAGAATAATTTAAAAATTTACAGTTTGGCGCATTGACACCTCTAGAACCTAGGCTTGGCAAAAAATTGATAGAACCATTAACAAACTTAATACACAGGTATTATAATTACGTAAAATAAAATCATGTAATTATTTTTTCTTTGTCATTAGATATGTAGTAGCTAATATATATGATACTAGAACCTTCTTCAAAGTTTAGTTGTATAAAACTTAAAATAATCCAAACTTTTTTTTCATATTTGGTTCTGTTTACTAGACATACCAGCTATATTAATTGTATACTCATTTTGATTTCATTTTAGCACATCAGCCATGTCTTTACTGTATGAGTGTATAAATACAGTTATCGCAGTCTTAATCTCAATATCTTCTGGCATGCCCAATCATTCTGATTCTATTCAATTATGTGTACAAAAGTTGAGAATATTAATTGAAGATAGTGATCAAAATTTAAAGTATTTAGGATTACTTGCCATGTCCAAAATATTAAAGACACATCCAAAAAGTGTACAGGCACACAAAGATCTTATAATGCAATGTTTAGATGACAAAGATGAAAGTATAAGGTTACGTGCTTTAGATTTACTTTATGGAATGGTCTCTAAAAAAAATCTAATGGAAATTGTGAGAAAATTGATGGTACACATGGACAAAGCAGAAGGCACAACATACAGAGATGAATTACTGTCCAAGATCATTCAAATATGTTCTCAAAATAACTATCAATTTATAACATATTTTGAATGGTAAGATTATTCAAATATTTTTATTTCAGTATAACTAATTGTTGGCATTTTAAAAAAATTGAATTTGTTTATTGCTAACTATTATGACATAATCAGGTACATATCAGTTCTTGTTGAGCTGACGCGCATGGAAGGAACTAAACATGGACGGTTGATAGCAACACAATTACTAGACGTTGCGATTCGTGTACAAGCGATTAGAAAATTTGCGGTGCAACAATGTGCGATTTTGCTTGAAAATGCAGCTCTTTTGACAGGCCAACCTAGAGCAACGATGTCTGAGGTGCTATATGCAGCTGCATGGATTTGCGGAGAATTTTCTAGGTTTGCAAAATAAAAAAATTTTATAATTCAAGTAAAATTTTTTTTATCACCGTTGAACCAAATAATATTATCGTAATGCTTACAGCGAATTAGAAAATCCAATGGCAACAATACAGTCAATGTTAAAACCTCAAGTATCAAGCTTGCCAGGTCATATTCAAGCAGTTTACGTCCATAATATTATAAAATTGATTGCCGCTATTCTTAGTAAAGAAGATGAGACTGATATCGAAACAATCCAACAGGTAGATCAAGTTATTTCGACGACGGGTAAACAAATTTTGGCTATATAATGTATTGTTTTTCAGATTGCCGATTTGAAAGAAAAGTTGGCAATGTTTATTTGCAGTAGTGATTTGGAAGTTCAAGAAAGATCAAGCTCGGCGGTAGCGTTGTTGGATTGTTTGACAGAAAATCCAAGCTTAGCTAAAGAAATATATGAGGCGTTTGTAGGCGAACTGAATCCTGTTGCTCCAAAAGCTCAAAGAAAGGTAAGATATTTTACTAAAGCGTGATATTATACATTAAAATTTGGTTTATCAAGTTTTTATTAAAATCATGACGTAAAAATAAATTTTTTCAACGGGTTGATTACCATATGAGCCAATATAAGTCACTATGACATTGTAATATATATGCCATTGATATAAAATTAAAAAAATTAATAACTTTACCATCATATTTATCGATAAAAAAGTCAACATTTTTGGTAACTTTTTTTATCGCCATGACAGTTATAAATAGCTTTTTCTCAATATTTAGTTAATTTTACAATTAGTATACATTAATTCAACGGAAAATAAAGATAACATCATCTATATCTCATGCTAAAAATGATATTTTATTCAAATATTTCGATAGAACATCTTCAATAATTACTATTACATGTTATTTAATATAGGTGCCAATTCCGGAAGATTTAGATCTCAATTCATGGATCAATGATCCTCCTTCTGAAAGTTCAGACTCTGATGATGTAGATATGAATGATATTTTTGTTAAATCAGAGAAAACTAATGATAGTTATCATACGCGTCCTTCGTATGAACCAACGGCAGAAGAATTAGAAATGAGACGAGAAGCAAGAAAATTGGAACAACAAAATAATCCTCATTATTTGAAAATCTCTGCAACGCCTCAAAAGAAAATTACATTTTACAATAAGAATAACGATGAAGATTACGATAATATTCCTATAACAGAATTGGATATTCCAGTATCTTTGAAAGTTAACGATTCTATTTATTCAAATAAATATATCGATATGAATAAAAAAGAACGTAAACGCTTTAAAAAGGCAAACAAAAAGAAGAAATCTAAAAAGAGTAAGTTATATAATATTGATGTAATAAAAAATTAATTATTATACATCTATTCTGTATTCTTTCAGATAAAAAATCAAGCAGCTCCGAAGATGAAGACGACGATGAAGTTTATCCAGTCCAACTTGTAAATAAAGGGATTGGTGAGTTGCCTCCCGGTGCGCAGTTGAGTGATAGTAACGATGAAGATGCAAAGGATGCAGATGATCCTCATCGAGCACTTAACATTGATCTCGATATGCCGTTGCAAGAGGATGAGAGGTTGCCAGTGGTAGAACATCGTATCCCCATTGCAAACATTCTTAATACAGCCGAAAAATCTATCACTAAAAAGGGAAAAGTATGTTATTTTGATTGTACTGATCTAATTATTTCTGAATATAGAAGAAAAATGATTTTTGTATATATTTTAGGAACATAAAAAACAGAAGAAAAAGCATAGTTCCAAGGATAAAGTAGAACAAGAATCAAAGAAAAAGGAAGAGGTCAATTTGTTAAATGTGAATGAAGCTGATGAACAATGTAAAGTAGATGATGGCGTTACAGAAGAGAAAAACAAAGAAAATAAAAAATCAAAACGTAAAAAAGATCAAATTAACCAGGAAGATGGAAAAGATTACCAGAAAATTAGAAAAAAGACAAAAAAAGGTAAAAGTAAAAATAGTAAGGAGAATAAAGATTATGAAGAAACTGCCGGAATTTCTACACCTTCAAAAGAAATATTGCCAAGTAGGGATCTTAATTTTGATATTGAGACTAATGTGTCTGACCAGTCACCAACTTCTGCTAAGGAGTTGGCTAAAGATAAGACTGTAAAAATGCTTTATGAAATTAAACAATTAGAGCAAGATGCTAGTAAAATTATTTTATTACTTTCATTTATAAATCTGTCGGAAAATGTATTAAAAGAATTGATATTTAATGTTATGGATTCATTAGCTTTGCAACTAGAAAGAAGGGTATGTAATTGAATTACATGTAAATTAATTATCTGGAATAATTATTAATTAATTTTTCAAATTACAGCCGAAAGATGAGTATGGAATCAAGATGAATTTTCAATTACTTCCATTGAGTTCCAATGAAGCTCACGTGGCGATTTTAGTATCCGACGTAACGTTTGCTCAGAAACTCCGCGGTACTTTGACGTACATGATACAGGGTTCTAACGATACAGTGCAAGAAAAGCTCGACTTTATTTTACGATTACCTTGCAGTAGTTTTGTAGTCGGGCGTCTTTGTCATAACGACATTCTTGCGGAATTGTTGAAAAGTGGCCAATTGTCACAAAAATCAAGGACTGAAGTAACGGCTTGTAAGAATTTCAATAAAATACTGAAAAATATATGCAGTGAATGTCACTTAACACTGGTCGAGCATATTGATAATACGGCGTCTTTGTACGGTCAATCTCTGAAGGGGCACCACATCTGTCTTTTAGTGAAACAAAACGTGAGTTGATTGTTTTAAATCGTTAAACTGTTTTTTATTATTATTGGAACTTTTGAACTTTATGTGAATATTGCTTCTGTATATTGCAGTCAACAACAAACATATTGGTAATAGAAGGAAAAAGTGATAATAATTCTCTGCTTGTGGAAATTATCGATGAAATAACAAAGATATTGGCGTGAGAATTTCGAAAAAATAAATTATTGTTATAGCTTAATATACATAAAATATTGACAAAATTTCTTAAAAAGGAAGTAGCATCTGATACACATTTGCTACAAATTAAATAATTTTTTTAATTATTATACATATTGAAGACCATTGAACTGAGATAAAAAAATATATGTAACATACGATGTTAGACGTGCGGATAATTATGCACGGTTTTATTGTGCACAATAATATGGCGCAAATCAGCGTGTATCAATTCTTACGCTATTATTGTGCACGATAATTTGTGTATACATTAAAACCGTGCACAATTGTCCGCATGCCCGATGTTAAACGTCGAACTATTGACGGATTTTATATGCGACCTTTGTAGGACAGTATCTTTTCGTCAAGGGTTCACTTGCGAAAGTTTCATTCCATTTTACTAAAAAAACTATTTGATGGTCAATATTGTGTATATTTAATTTGTTAAATACTTTGAAGGGCTTTTGCAACTAAATAAATTACTTAAAAAATAACGCTTTTTAAATTAAAATGGGCGGAAGAATGAGATGTATATTGTTAAAAATACACATAATTATTTAATGAAAATTAAAAAATCCACGATTACGTAAGATTTTAAAATGTAAGCTATGTTGTCTTTATAATTACTCGTGAAGGTTTTAAAAAATTATTATGTTACAGTTAAAATTTTAAGCGCTCATTACATCGAGATTTATTTTTTTGTATTTCATGTTTGTTGGTACATAACTATATTTTACAATTTTTTTACCTCAATTAATTTCTAAATTTAATCTTATTATTATGCAAATAGTTTTATTTGAAAGAATATTGTGTTGATCAATACTGAATAGCGTGATCAAAAACGATTTGATGCTCACTTATTGAAACATTGATTAAAAAATATTTTTTTAACAAATAAATAAAGGTATGCTTATTTCATTAAATAGATTGTAAAATGTATTGTATTTTGTACAGAAATAAAATAGATGAAAGGATAATAAAACTTATATTAAAATTACATGTTATTACATTTACTGTTTATAATAATACATTTTAATGAAACCCATACCCTGCGATAATTTTTCAATGAAATATTTATAAATATAAAAATTAATGTAATAAGAATAAAGCATTCGATCTTTATTTAGTTTGCATGAAGGGTTATTGTGCGTGTGAACATGATTTGACCCATTATCTATCGAAAGATATATGTCGAACTTTATCAAGGTTTTGTTTGTCAAACCCGGCATTGAACTCGCTATAGCCTATAGTCCGCGCATTAAATTTTATATTAAGTTTTTTTCTAAAGCTTTATTTACTCTTATATAATAAAAAGTGTTAATTATCATTCGCTGTGATGAATAAAATTATTTACTAAGATACTTGTTTAATATTTACCGATTTAGAGTTTCATTTAAAGTTTTCCTTTTGCCGATAATTCCATAAAAAAGCTTTCGATATAAAAAGTTTACCTTTTTATATTATGGCGAGAGATTATAAATAATATTTATGAATCAATATCTATCGCATTTTTATAAATACTCAACGAATCAAAATCCCAACATCGATTGTCTTACAAATTGAATTCGATCAACGGTGTTACCAGTAGGTATCAAGAACAAAATAATCGGCGATGGAAACCTCGCTAACTATATTACTAATATATTACTACTTGGAACACAAGAGTATCGAGTTAGAGTATCAAAAAGCAAACGCACAGCAAACTATCACATCTCAAAGCTATCGCACAACCCACACGATATCAGAATATAGGTTTAGTGATTGCGCATAGGTATAGGCATGCAGTCGTCTGTATTGGCGGTTTCGCGAGTCGCTACGTTCGTTCGCGCAGGTGAGAGCGGCGCATGCAGGGCGTTATCCAGCAGCGTGACTCCTCCCTGCCTCTTCGCGCTTGCGGCCCATCATACGGCGTGCAGCACAGCACACATATACACACCTCTCTCTCGTAGTGTGTCTGGCGCTGGCACTTGCACTGCATACGTGAGGCGTGCGTGCAGCTCGCATCTTTACGCTGCTGCTTGCTCCACTGTCATGAGATAGCTAAAACTCCGGTTTCACACGTACGCAGGTGAGTCCAATCTCCAACCGCTCTGGCTGCTCGCTACTACACCTACACCTATACGTCCATCTTCAGCACTGTATCTGCGAGTCTCCCTGTACTGTTATCACCTTGGTAGCACCTTTTTCTCAACGAATCCTATTAGTGCTCACGTACACCACGCACATACTTGCGCGCGTTTGTTGATCGACAGCGAAAGAAAAGAAGAAAAGAAAGCAAGTGCGTATGCCGGCCCAGCCGTCAATCGCACCACACATTTTATTTGTCTTGTGCGTTATTGTTGCCCGGGACGTTCAATCAGTCTGGCTATTGACGCAATTCCAATGCAATGCTCGCGTGAGCTATCCACTTATTAATCATGCCACTTCTACTATAACTTAAATTTGGCGATTGTTCAACTACTTCTCCAATCGAAACAGCTGCTTTCAAGTTGATTGACCAGTCCACTGATTAAAGTTTGTATTTTCCTTTAATTTTGAGCTCTCTGCAAATGATGTATTAATTGATTCTTTGATTCAATATTAAGTGTGTGTATGTATGTGCGTGTGTATTGCCTACTGTTTGCTCTAATCTAAATTTAGACTGATTGCTTTTGAACATTGCAAAGCATATAAGTTAGATTACGACCATTTTTCATTGATCTAGTTAAAATATTGAGGATATTTATGAAGTAGTATATAGTATGGTTGGAAGATAATAACTTTGATTGTTAGTTTTGCTTTACGTTTACAGAGGTGCATGTTCAACATGAGCTTGCCAACACCAGAGGACACAAATGACAATGCAGTTGCAATCCAGGCAGCAGCACAAGCTAAAGAATGGGTGAAATTTGAAGAGGATACACCAGCTGCATCATCTACTCCAAAAAAAGCTAAAGATGCAGAATCAAGTGCTCCGGCATTTATCAAGCCAGAGTCTGTAACTGTTGATGTAAGCAAAATTAACAGGTCCTTGGATACATCTGATGGCGAGCACAAGAAAAGTGAAAACTACAGTGGAGCTGTAATAGCAACTAACTCCGTACAAATTAATTTGGACAGATCAGGACTCAGTCGTTCAGTGACTAATGAAGAGCCTAATTTGCAGTCTTCGGCTGCAGGTGTTTACAATCCAAAAAGTGCCTCCTTGAAAACTATAGATTTGAGAGATACCTCTAATGGCAGAAATATTATAAGTACCCCTATTGGTAATATAAGACAAGGTTTTGCTAATGGTGACACCATTGTTACTCTTTTACCAGTTAATACTAAGTGGCCTTGGATAACTCCAGCTAGATTCCGTCCAGAACTTGTACCTGAAGAATTGATGGCACAAGGACTGACAGTCAGTATTAGACATTGACACTTAAGTAAAATTTGAAAAATAGCTTTAAACAGTAATTTTTATTTATTTATTTATAGTTAACAGTGGAGGACTATGTACAAATAATGGAACTACTTGTTAATGATGTTCGATTCAACATGTACAATATTTGTTACAAAAGAATTCTTGTAGTATGGATATTCACAGCTTTTATGGTCTTATTGGGACTGCTATTCTCAGGAGTGACAGGACTGACATTATTCGGTCTAGGAGTAATGTGGCTGGTCCTTAATGCTGCTGCCATATTCTTATGTATGTTCATCAAAATCAAGCTCAACCACAATCTGGAAAAATGTATGGCTCAGGTGAACAAGCACCTGCTGCGACATAAAATTTTACTCGGGCTCGACGACAGAGGAAAAATATCCTGCCACAAAGTTAATTTGTGCTTTATCTACTTCGACACCACGGATTGCATTGTAAGTATTACGGCATATTATTTACAGAGATTACAAGATCCGCGTGACGAGTGGGTTGCTTGCGAGTAAAATGTAGTGGAAAAATGTAGTGTAGCGATCTCATCATGAAGCTTTTACTATTTTTCGCGATGCGTTACTGCATGATGAACACCCCGGACAATTGTAACGCGCACTGTGCGAGTCGAGATTCGGTGCCGCGATTCACTGAGATTCGGTAAAATAAGAAACTCGACGCGCTAAATATGTCCGGGACCACGACCAGAGTGAACGCGAACAGGTGCATTTTTCATTTTAGCGCTAAAGTGTCGTTGGCCCGCATACGTGCTCGCGCGTGCAAATGACAAATCGACGAGATGTGCGCTCATTGATTTGGTTAGCTCGTAAAATTGTCGTCGAAAGCTGCGGAAGGCGTGCAACCGCGCGTGGCTTATGTAAATACACGTAGTGAGCGGATCGATAATCGGCGAAGGCTGCGGCAAGAGGGTCGGCGCGAGCTGGAAGTCGATGCGCCCAAATGACAAAAGTTTTCGTGGCAGAAAAAGCTGCAGGAAGTGATCGAGCGCGAGGAGCGCGAGGGCCGGCTGATCGGCAACAACGACGAGAGCTCGCGGTCCAGACGACAGCGCGAGCTCCAGCAGCGCATGGACATCGACGACAGTGACATCGTGATCCAAGGCGCAACCACCACTCGGGTCTCGCGCAAACAGGTTTGTCACATGCTCTCTCTCTCTCTCTCTCTCTCTCTCTCTCTCTCTCTCTCTCTCTCTCTCTCTCTCTCTCTCTCTCTCTCTCTCTCTCTCTCTCTCTCTCTCTCTCTCTCTCGCATTACATAAAGGCTGCTCATTTTCCATTAGACGCCTATTTGTGCACGCGCGCATTCGGCTATTCGGCTTTGTGTGTACAGCTGCGCTCTTGCTGCTGGTGTTCCGCGGCAAGCGAGCTCGTCGCAATGCGCGCTGCTCGTTAAATAGCCAGCACTGGCGTTGTCGGCTCGCTCATTTGCCCGGAGCAGCGCTCAGAGGCAGCTATGTCGGTATAGAGTTAGCGAGAGAATAACGATATCGATAATCCTTGTCAAGCCGTACAGAGGCGACGAGTCGGTAGCGAGGAGGCGAACGTTGACGAAAGTTCCGCTGTCGAGGGTGCTTTTCCGGCTCCGATAAGGAATATCGATAGGACGGAAAGAGAAACGATAGATGCTCGCGCGCGACGAAACTGCTCGGCGGGGGTGCGCGGGCTAATCATCTCTGACTCACGTGTGTATTGGTTGGTTTGCGGGCAAATTTGGCTTGGCGTCCGCAGAGCAAAAGCGAGCAGGTGTTTTGCCGATACGCGCAGCGCTGGGCTAAGGACTATCTGCGACGTCGTCTCGACTGGACGGTCGACGAGGAGGCCGGCAATCCCTCGTCGCCGCGTCACCTCAGCTGCGCACTCTGCCCGTGCCAATACATCGAGGAATGGCTGCGCAACAAGAGCCACGTGCAAGGGCGCGACTTCTGTCCACGGTGGAGCAGCTTTCTCAGGGATCGCGGCATTTGAGAGGCGATCGAGCCGCCCGACAGCTTTCCTTCTGTCGGTGCACTCGCTCGGACTTGGCCTTTCCAGCTTTCCAGTGCCGATCGGCAATCTCAATTTTTCGATATTTTTCTCCGAGAGCACACTCTCCAGTTCTTTTTCAACATTCCTTCGTGACTCTACTACTAGACTTTATTCTACCTTATGGAATTTAGCGTACACGCAAGACCAATATCATTCCGATTTTTTAAACACCAATTTTGCGTATTTTACACACCAATTTACAAACTACAATTTTTTCTATGTGTACTTATTGTGTGCATGATTTTTTGTACTAGTTCTTTTTAGACTTCGTGTAGATCTATTCAATATGTATACACCGCTGATCGCGACGCGGCGATTACATTTCTCGTGCTTTTTTGCTGCGATCTATCTCTGGATGGTAATTCGCGAATCAAGTGGCCTTGTCAAGAATTTTTGCACGACCTCGTTCATTACATGTACCATTGTCTTGCAAGACAAACAATGTATACTTATAATTACAGTGATGGCGTATCCTACGTATATTTTATTCAGCTGACAAATTAAATGCAATCATCCCAGTCGTGAATTGAGCTGGTGATTTTTTCTAGAAACGATGACAAACGATGAAAGTTTATTAACCTTGATTGTTAATTGTTTGTACATTAAGCTTTAAATCAAAAATCTTTGAGTCTTTTTAGATCTCTTACGATTTTAGTATTCATATGTATTTAATACTAGTACATACTTCTGTTTTAACTGTTGACATACAAATGCGAATTTATGCAAATATTAACTCAAATATTTTACTCTGAAATATATGTACATGTATATACATGCAATAAATTAACCGACAGACTTAGAAAAATAAGAGCGAATAACAGCCTAGTAAAAGTCTTGGATATGTACTTAAAGGCAGAGCAGAACGGTTGTAAAAAAAAAGTGATAAAGTTGTAACATGCCGTCCACTTGTAATATAGCGTGCGTAGTCTAATCTATTGATTAGTCACATAACATGAAATTTGTAAAGTACATAATTGTTGCATCTTGTTGACACTGAAGCGTGTGAGCGACGAAAACTTAATACAAGTCTCGTTCGCAGAGAGACTCTAAATCAAAATTTATATATGCCTGTTACTAAAAGAAAGTTATTATATCTTTTTAGCGGTTGTTATGGCGAGAATAATTAGAAAAGTATTTATATACACGATGAGCCGGTGTCGAGTGAGAGATGTACAGCGACTTTCTCTTGCGAAGAAAGTGCGCCGCGGCGAATTCTTGTAGCTTGAAAAGCAGACACACAGCCAATATACTAAGCGACGAAGGAAGATTAATAAAGAGTTTTTATTTGTCAGGCACAGCTTATTATTGGAATGGCTCCTATGTCCTTGGCTGGCGGCGCAGTGCGTTCGCCGGAAAAGGCGAGTGTAATTGCGTGCCACGCCGGCTATGTCGATATCGAACGAAGCGAGAGCGCAATTAAATACACGCATGCGAGTACGTGAGGAATAAGCAAGCCGCGTGCACGGCGTTTGTTGGCAGGAGCGCGCGGAGATGCTGCTGCTGAGGTACGCTTCGCGCTGGGCACACCACTTCGTGCGCAGGCGGCTGGAGCTTGCGGTCGACTCGCAGCTGCGCGGCCGCGCCTTGGCCACCCTCAATCCCAACCAGCCGCCCAGGCACTGCGTCAGCTCGCACTGCCCCTGCCAGTTCATCGAAGACCATCTCAAGTACAAGCCCAAAGGCAAGTTCACTTATTTGCGTAGCTTCTTCCAAATGCCCGACTTCCGCTCCAGCTAGGCGCGCGCGCCTTCTACCTCGTCTCGCGTCCGGTCTTTTTTTCCAATTTTCGTCGAAACGCTTGCGCCTAATCACTCGGCATTACCTTCATCGCAGCTAATTCCACACCATCATGGCATATCTTGCTTTTACTACTTATGCTAATACGAAAACTGCAGTATTGGTTTTGTGTTTTTACGTTCACAAGTGACGTTTGTTCCTTATGATTAATGTGATTGATCGCGCATTCCCACTGCAGTTTTGTTGAAATCGGGTTCATTTCATAGCGCAAAGTCCAAATATCTAGCAATTTTCAAAACACTATATTTTAATACAGACAACATTACAAGAACCTTCTCAAATTTCTATCAACTTTCTATCACTATAATTTGTAAATTTCATCACTTTATACATCTGGCAAAATGTGTTCAAAGTGTGCCGATATATATGCACCTTCATTACTTTTCTTAGCGATAGCATAATAGAAAAGCTTATACTTAGCGCGTTAATTAAAAAATCTTGTTCTTTCAAATTCTTTTCAATTTGATTGTTTAATTGCATAATTCGATGATGGAAAAAATGGCTTGTTGTCATAAATTAATAAAAAATGAGTGAAATGATATTATGCAAACGAATTATCGGTTTATGTACTAATAAAAAATAATAATTTATTTTATATAGTACAAAAAAGCTTTACTCGTGCATCCAATGGTTTGGGTATAAACTAACCAATGAGCTTCTCACAAGACAATATACATGTGCATTCGTAATTAAATTTTTTTTGAGTACTGTTGAAAATTTACACTCAATTGAATTGGGAAAACTTGCCTCAATGCTATGTATACTTGTAAGGGTTACTTATACAGTGATATTACAATCAAACAATAAGTTGCAAACTTATATATTGACTTTGCTATTGCAATGTACGAAAAAGTTTAAAGAAATGGATGTTACTATATAATTATCACATATCGATATTGATGTATATAATACGTCAGTTAATAGATAACAAGATATATCAGTAAGCACAAACACTTTCTTATCGTGTACTCATGTCTTTATAACCGACGTTCAGATAATAATCTACAAATATTCAAGACTTTTTCAACTAAAACTACTAAACACCAATATACTACAAATTTTTCTACAAATTTACTTTATCGACTTTTTTAAATCCAATCTTTTATCAACACGACTGATTATGACTTGGAATATCAAGTATAACTATAATTTCATTGATATGTTGTTGAGCTGAATACTCATCATATGAAATATTTTCAAACATTAGATACGTTCATCTCTTAAATAATATATATTATATATTTTGAAAAAATTTTGATAAATGCACTTATTAGACAATGTATCTACTAAAATATAATTTAACCGGTTTGCGTTGTCTAACAAAACTGTTTTTTTCTATAAGAGAAAATTATTGTAATGCCGTCAATTTTCCAGTGACATTATTTCATCGATATAATTTTTAACTAAAGTATTTTCAAGAACCGACATTAGATCCAAATGCGCACGTTTCGTAGTGATAACAATAAGCAAAAGTCACGGTAACAAGTCTCATAAAAGTAGGCTCGAATAAGTAAATAAGTAGCCACGAAACGACAGCGCGCTATAAAAAACAAATTAATTCACTTGCTGATGCATAATTAATGTCGTTGATTATACCAGATAAATTGAAAGTCTTGATTAACATCCGATACCCGAAAAAAGTTTCAGATTAATCGATGTAGTTTTGTGAAAGTTTTTCGGGGAGGGGGGGGGGGGGGGGGGGGGGTAAAAGTTATACACGTTTATTTAGGCCTTTTCATAAAACCAAAAAATGTATTATCTTCTCAGACGTACCTAGGCATATAATACGTACGTATATGATGACGGTAACATCTTTCACCTGAAAAATTATCTTTATATATATATGAAATTTTATGATCTTAAACCAGTGAGTAGGTCTTTTTCCCTATCAATACACCTTCGTAGAAAAGTAAAACCTCGTGCGAGTAGGCTGCAAAACTTGAGATAGTTTTAAAATCATTATTTTTCTAGTTGCGTACAAGTAGAGCATAGAAACTGTAATTTTAATTGCTATACTGCGAAGCGCCAACTTTCTATCAGGTCCGTCAGTACAAATTGTTCAAAATTGGTGTTTCGTAGTGGCAATTAAAATTACGGCTACTGTACGGTTGCATGCAGCTATAAAAAAAATGTAACTAATAATAAATTATTAGTTACAATTTCTTTGCAGTATAGTCCACTATGTATTTTGTTCAACTTGAGTAGAATATAAAAATTATAGTAGAATATAATTATGTGCTTTTATAGTATAGGTGCGTGTATTGCGTATAATTGTTAGGTCTTTATTGTATTCGAAAATTTTTACTGTACTTCTATTATTTTCTGCGAAATAATTTTTGTACTTATTATTATTATTATTATTATTATTATTATTATTATTATTATTATTATTATTATTATTATTATTATATTTATTATTATTATTATTATTACTTTTTTTTTGCTCAAAGAAAAGACGCGAATTTGATGAATATAAATAGAAAAATAACAAATCTGACTGTTGATAAATAGTGATTAAAAATTTATTGCAGACAAATGTAATATATTACAAGTTTTCACATTGAGACTATGTTGCTTTATTTAGATTCACTAAAATTTATTGACAAACTGTAGTTGAATTATTATATTTTCTTTTGTATTTTTATAAATATATATATGTTTATATCATCTAAACATATTGTATCAATTTTACTTTATTCGATTCAACCTAATTGAATCGGTTACCTGAATAAAAATTAGTACTCCTTAATCCCACAATTCCTTAAATTTAAAATATCAGTCAAGCTAGTCGTATGTGTAGGTATCATGCCACAATTAGTACTCTATACTCATAATAAATGTAAGTTATAAATCAATGATTGTAATAACATTTTATTTAAATTTTTCAATGCGCAACATAAGTTATGTAATGATAGAGCTTTCAAACAACCTAACATTATTGTAGTATCTGCCTTCTCTTAAACTAACAACTGATTGCACGCAGCTGGATATAAATGGTGGCACATCTTATACTATTCTACTATCTACACCCTTTGAATACATTCAATTCTTTAGTCGGTTTACAAAGAGTAAGTATTTTACTATATTTCTATAAGTTATTCATTCTCTTATACTATCTTAGTAATTTTTCTTAATATCTTAATATTTATTTGTTCCCAAAATATCATACAAATAATATGGAGCTTATATTTCAAATTTCTTCAATAATTAATTTATGAGCATAATATTTAGCTCACTATATTATAGGATATCCTCCAGGGTTCACATGGTGTGCTTATCTAGCCATTTCATCAAGGATGCAAGATCCCTCGACTTATGGATATCCTCATTGAGTTATTTATATTTACTGAATTGTGATCACACGGAAATACTTATTTTTATAGAAAAAAATATAGACATGTACTATAATAAACTTAGTAATAAGAAATAAATGTTTTGTTGTTATTTATTTTTTTCAAAAAGACAAAGCATATTTAATAGTTACAAAATATATAATATTTACAATTTGAAAAATAGGTCTATTGAATTAGAGCTGCTTGAGCTTGCTCTTTTATCTCTTCTTTTAATTCAAGCATGCTGGTTATACTGCTTTGTAATTGTTCTTCATTCTTGATAATAGAGTCTTCCAATATTTTTAACTTTTTATTTACATCAAGATATGTTTTGACTTTATTATAAATGTTATTCAAATCATGTGGTTCTGAATTGTCAATAAATGCCGGTTCTGTATTGAAAATTAAATTACATTTGAAATAAGTTCAGTAAACATAATTCAACAAATATTGTTTCAATTAATGCATTTCATGCCAAAAAATAGTTTAATGATATTTATACATTTTCTGAGCAAAGAAAATCAGTAACAGTAAGATTTATTAAAAAATATTAAATAATAATCATAATAAAAATAACAATTACCTTGAGTTAAAATTTTGAAAGCTATATCATCTTTATTTGCTGAACTTATTAAATCTTCTGCAATTTCATCAATGCTTGGAGGTTTTGGTCTCGGAGGTAAAGTATTTTTATTTCCAAACATTTATTATTTGTTTTAAATTAAATATCTAAGTATTACGAGTCACAATTTGCAAAGATATATATATATATATATATATAATGTTTACATCACAAAAATCGGGTTGATTACTGTTTAAGAACAACATAATCTGAGATCTAAATCTTTCATCATTTCCATACTTAATACGCCTCTATGACACGGTAAGTACTGCCATCTAGTAAAGTAAAGTATAAGTATATATATTTAGAAAATATCGCTTAAAAATTTCATTTTCATGAAGTCGTATCGCATCTATATTGTTCATACAACTATGCCTAAGATTCACAGTCGGCAATGCCGAGCATCTTGGACATAGTTGTATAAACAATATAGATGCAGTATGACTTCATGAAAATGAAATTTTTTCTAGGGTCATCGGATTCTTATCACCGTATGTGGCCCAAACAAGACTCTCTCCACTCTCCAGATAAGATCCGAGGTTCAGAAAATCGCGCGGTATTTTGCCATAGTTTCGCTTTGTTCCAATTCTGTACTAGCAATAGCTAAAAGCAATCTGACAATAGCGTTGCGTATGTCGGGGTCGGAATATGTAAACACAGTTGATTAGAAGAAAGTAACTAATTAATTTACTAAATTAACTTTTTTCATTGTTCTTTTGTGTAGTTTTATAAATTAACATTATTATTATTTATATATTTTTTTCTTCTAATCAACTGTGCTTACATGTTCCGACCCCGACATATCACAACGCTATTGCTAGATTGATAACTATTGCTAGTACAGAATTGGAACAAACCGAAACAGCGGACTATGGGAAAATATCGCGCGGTTTTCTGAACCTCGGATCTTATTTGGAGAGAGCCTAAGGCTGACATTAATAACCTTATACAGTATTGTTTCTTTTCAAACGACTTTTATTCGATGTTTAAAATTTAACGTAGTTAAAGTAAGAATAGCCATCGCGGAAAAAACCTTTTTCCTGAAACTCGTATTGCTTGAACAATGAGTCAGTATGAAACCGATCCAGATGAAAGGACTTCTATAAGAGAATATTAGACGTCGAACAATAAACATCAGATTTGACGTGTACCAAGCAAAGCAAAATACTAATTGTTAAACATCTAAGTATATCTGTAATTGCGGAAAATGCGAGAGCAATGATAAAAAATATTAACCCACTATATTTCCATTATTAATACAATTTTATATATATGTGTGTGTGTGTGTGTATATCATTTGGTTATCTTTTCTTCTCCATGATATACATTTGATGACAACACGTACATATATGTATATATGTATATACATACACTGCTAGTTTATTGATTCGTAACCCGCAAAGTTCAAAAGCCAATCATTTCAACGATGGGGCATTGAAGACATATGGTTTTTTTGGTAAATTCTGAGAGTGAAACTTGCCAAAATAATACCATTGACCTAACTTCGTTCGGTGTCATCGATGCTCAATCGTCAAATATAATTCATCGATTTTGAACTTCGCGGGTTGCGAATTAACGTCCGGGCACAACGAGTAACTATTACGTCAGCGAAGTTAGATCCCCATTTCCAAGGAAAATTAGTAGCAAAAAAGGGAAAATAGCATTAATTGCCCTATTTGTCCTTGATTCAGTGCTAATTTTTCTTTTTCGATCACTTACTGGAAAATATATAAAAATTCCTATTTTCCAATCACCTAGTGAATAATTTGTTAATGAATTTTTGTTAAGTCGAATTGAACAATATATTTCGTTTGATATATGAGTCGCAAGATAAATAATATTCACGATCGGAATCTCTATACTGGTTTGCAGCTCCGTTATTCATCATATACATTAACGTAATGTAAAAATGATGGTTTAACATTCATTTAAAAATGATAATATCAATAATATTAAATGTAACTCGCTTTGTTCTTGTTTTTCGATGTAGCGATGACGCAACGACGTTGTTTTCATTTAAAAGTAAAAGACTGCGCGCCGTTGACCATAGTATCTTCGTCAAAACGTGGACTGAGCTCGTTTTCCTGACGTTCGAGACGTCGAACATTTTTATTAATTTTATTTGAAATTCATGCAATTGATTGAAAAAGCGAATGGGGAGGGGGGATGACGAGGGACATAATAATTTTCATTTTGAGACCTTCTCCGCAAACATTCAACAAATCATCAAGATAATAGCCATTTACTAAGTGATTGGAAAGTAGGAATTTTTACCTATTTCCCAGTAAGTAATTGAAAAAAGAAAATTAGCACTATTAATTAATTTCCCTTGCAAATAGGGGAGCCAACTTGGCAGTCCCCATTACGTCTCGATCTCTTACATTAGACATCAAATTAAAAATTCGTTCTACATCGAAATTCAAACATAGTATTTGAAAAAATGTAAAGTGCAGCTATACGCGCATAATGCACTATATAAAATATGATTATTAACGATTTCTCTCCTTAAAAAACGAAAAATGTGTTCAAGAAGTCCAAAATTTACATTAAACGGGGCAAAATACTTTTTCCTTTTCTGAATAATTTAATTAATAAAATATAAATCAATATGCTTCATCATATTTAAGCGAGTTCGATTTATGACCGTTCTATTTTGATCATACATAATTGACTTCAAAAATTGACACGCACCTGTTGTACTGATGTTTGGCTGAATATTATTAATTCGCCAAATCTTCAAAGTCCATATTCTCTACTTTTCCATTACCACTGTGGTCTATATTAACTCGTCAACTTCGATAATTATAAATTGATTGTATTAATGTTTGGTTGAATACTATTAATTGTCCAAATCCTCCCAGTCCATTTTCTCTAATTCTTCATTACCACTGTGGTCCATTGACTCTGGAACTTTAATAATTATATAATTTGAGAAAGATGACATTGTTCACTGATGATTTAATAAATAATCTCATAAATTTTGCTTGAATATTTTCACTTATTCATTTAGTCTGTTACCAAACAAAGCTTAGAAAATTGCAGATTTCCGATATAATTTGTGCATAACAAAAAAAAGCCGAACCCAATAATTGCATAAATAGAAAAAAAAACATATTTGACGACAAAGAAGATATATTGACTTAATCCAACCCTAAAAGGTCTCTCCTGCGCCGCTCTATTGGTATTCTGAAATTATATCGCAAGCTAAAATTAGTCCACGAAATGCATTGCCTAAGTATCGTTTTCTTTTTCAAAATTTTGAGTTTTTTAATGCGAAATTTGTTCTCAAACTACTAGTCCTATCAATATCAGATTTTTACAAATTTATCAGCAATATAAAGTACATTATCATAATACAATATTCATTATTAAAACTTTCTTGAAAATATCCATAAGTTATAAAAATGTTATGATTTTAAAGGCATTTCATAAAAAATGCATTACAACTTACGCGTTGTACCACAATTCAATATTTGATAAGAATTTTTAAATGATATTCAAGCTTACCTTGTACTTTTTGACTATTTGATTCGACAAAGCTCGATGTTTCCCTGTCCCAAACGACTATACGTTCTGGCAAATACAACGTTGGAATAGCATTTTGTGATAATTGAGTTTTGCGGACATTCTTTATAATTTTAACTAAGATGAATTTGGGATCGAAATGTTTCTCACACACGCGAAGATCTTTTAATTCTTCATAGGGCATATTCGTCAAGTCTTCACTTTTCAAAGCCGCCAGCCATTCATTTCTTTGTTTTTCTTCCACCGGAAATGGATACCTGTGTATCCTATCTTTTGGAATTGTCGGGCATAGAGGCACCGCACATTTCTTTCCATTAACCAACCAACTCATAACGATACGCTCAATTTACATACAAGCCATCCACGTACGAATACTGCTTAATCTATAAATCACAAGTGATGAAAACGCACTCTGCGAAACTACGGTGCTAACGTAAAAGGTACTCGGTATACATACACTGATGTGCTCTGAAGGACTGCGAAGTTTGCACTGTTGATTACTGAGAACGGATCGTCATTTCACTCAAGAAAGTTTTCAACGAAAATTGGAAATTGTACAGGCATTTCTAAATTAAATAAACTAAACAGTATTGGCATGTACCCTGCTCATCCATTTCTATATCTTTGCCCAAAGGTCGAGGCTATACAAAACATCACTCATCAAAAATTCGTTAAAACCACAATATTTTTTTCGAATTCCTAAATAAATACGTAATGGTTGATTCTTGCGTGCCGAAAATTTTCGAGGGATTATCTTCAGAAACGTGCTTTGCAGCCTGTTAATGCTCTACTCAACCTTACTAACCGTAATACAATTCACAAGGCTATAAACCAATCAACAAGCGAACTCATCCATCGTAATCTTATATATGCCAAATATCAGAACAATGATTTATAGCGTACATATAAGTCATATACAGACTGGTAAATTGTTCAATAGAAAATTCAAAAAACAAGTCCCGTTAGCTAATTACCTGGTTTTTATGTGTAATTAAATGACTGCGATTGTCTGTTATCACACAAATGTACTCTGTAAAATTCATTTTGTATAGAATAGCACGGATAAAGTTTCATGCTCCCCACACCATCAAGGTTCCGTCATTCAATTTTCTATTACAGTTCTTTTTGTCAGTCCCCCGAATACCTTTAGTATGAAAGATTGACGTCTAGATCACATCAAGGTTGAATTTTCTTTCATCGGAGAAAATTACTTTGAATTACGATATAAGTGCGGGAATGTAGATTCTTGTCTCGTGTGACGTACAATCACTCTTCTAAACCCTGCTTTTTCGAGACATCATTATTTAGAACACAAGCTGTGATTATAACGAGGAGTAACCACTACAGCCTAGCGTACAGCCTACACAGGAAAAACTTAGCCGGATCACCACTCTGCCCATGTGGCCTAACATTGAAGACCAAGACCATCTCAACCACGTGCTCTGGTCCTGCAAACACTTTGACACTCTGCGCAAACTGCTATTGTCTAAACTCATAAGAAAAAAGTCATATCCTCCATACATTATCTCGCAATTCCTTTCTGACCCTGACCCTTCCCTCATTGAAATACTTTATAAATTCTTAAAAATGCAAAAGTCTTTCTATAAAACTACTACTAATTATTTGACCTACAACTTCAATTATCTAACTCTATTGTATCTTCAACTTACTCTCTTTCAGCTATGCAATCTACTTCTCTATAACATCTCTCTCCCTCTCTAACTCTATTCAAATATCACACCAATACGTTCCTGCAGCGCGCAAGCGCAAAAGTCATTGATGGCCGTATGGGAATTTATCTTAGCGCTCACTTCAGTGAGCTAAGCCAGAGCCAACTAATACACAAGAACAGAATAAGAACAGAACTAATCAAATGTTCTGGTCATGTTTAGTCCGTACCAAAACATAGGTGACAACATTTTTTGTATAAACTGCTTTATACTCAAACATTCCTTGTAAAAGTTGATGCGATTCAATTTTAAAATAATTTAAATTACATTTGCTCAATTATGGCTCGAGCAGGAACAAAATTAGATGCTAAAAAAGTTGTAAGTAATATTTTTGTGCACAGTTCGTTGTAAATAAAATTAAGATTTTAAGGCTGATGTACATTTTTTATTCAGAATTCTGAATTATTTACTCTTACATATGGAGCTCTGGTTTCTCAACTTCTGAAAGATTATGAAAATGTAGATGATGTCAATAAACAATTAGAGAGAATGGGATACAATATGGGAGTCCGTTTGATAGAAGATTTTTTGGCTCGGACAGGCTCTGGTAGATGCTATGATTTCAAAGATACTGCTGAAAAAATTCAATCAGCTTTTAAAATATATTTAGGCATTACACCCACAATCACCAACTGGAGTGTAACAGGAGATGAATTCTCACTATGTTTTGAAGCAAATCCCCTTACAGAATTTGTTGAACTTCCAGATCATTGTTTACACCTGAAGTATTGCAATGTATTGCCAGGAGTACTTAGAGGAGCATGTGAAATGGTACAGATGGAAGTTGCTGCATGCTTTGTACAGGACCAATTGAAAAATGATAATATTACTGAACTTAGAGTAAAGTTTATAAAGCGATTAGAAGATGCAATTCCAGCTGGTGAAGATTGAAATAATTCAATGTTTCTTTATATTTCTAAATAAACTTTAATGTTTTAAGTGTTACAATATTTAAATAGTGTAGTAATAGTATTTAGAGTCAAATTCATTCTATTACACTTATAAATAATCTATTTATATTATGTATAAAATGATGAAAAAGAAATGTAATGAATCTTTTATTTGTTCTTCAAACTTATTCAACAAAAATATTGATTTTTCTTTGTAAGTCTTTAACATTCAAAGTTTTTTACAGATGACCATAAAAAACAACTGGACAATGATCACTACCAAAAACTTGATCTCTATTGACGACATCACAAACCTTGTTTTTAATTCTTTCAGAAACAATGTAGTAATCCAGTCTCCTAAAACATCATTTATCAAAATATCATAATTTAATTTTTCATTTAAATGTAGGCTCATAAAACTTTACCAGCCAATGTTCCTGTTTCGTGCATTATTGAAATATGACCAAAAAGTATAAACTCCAGTTCTATCAGGATACAGATTCCTGAAAGTATCAACGAAACCTGCTCCCAAAAAATCAGTCATACCATCTCGTTCTTCTTTAGTGAACCCAGCATTTTTCATATTGGTTTTTGGATTAGTCAAATCTATAACAAAAATGATTATAAATATCTGTATTCTACATTTGAATAATTGAACTCCAAGAGTTTATCGTTAATACCAATTTCTTGATGTGCTACATTCATGTCACCACAAATGACCACTGGTTTTAATTTATCCAACTCTTGAATATATTTTTTAAATGCATCATTCCACTTCAAGCGCTTTGGTAATGTTACTAAACCTTTACCAGCATTTGGCACATCTAAAAAATGTACATTTTATTAGTGATTAGGGGTATATAAAGAAATGTAGCATTACAGAAATATTACTTACAAACAGCAACCAAATGAAAGGTTTCATACTCAGCAATGATTAATCTTCCTTCATCATCAAATTGGTCATCATTCAATCCATAAGATACTTTGAGAGGTTCTTTTTTAGAAAACAAAGCAACACCACAATATCCTGTTTTCTTGCCTGTAAAAAATTTATTTGAATATAAAATACAGATTATCACGTTTGAAAAAGGACACTGATCAATCAAAACTCACTATCAAGAAAATAATGGTTATATCCTTTTAATTTTACTTCAGGTGGTATTTTGTTTTTCTCACATTTTGTTTCTAACAAAACTATGATGTCTGCATTTTCACACTTTAGATAATTTAAGCCATTTTTCTACAAAATATGAATTATCAAAGGATCTGCACAATCTATAAATAAAGTTATATTCAAACTTTTAATCATACCTTCACTACTGCTCTAACTCCAGAAACATTCCACTGACAAATTTTAATGTTGTATTTCTCTCCATCAACATTTAACTTATCACATTCGAAATTAATATCTTCTAAGTTTGAATCAGTTTTATTCAATAATTTTTTTGGTTCAGATTTTGTTCGTTTAGTATCTGGTTCACCATTTCCATTTCCATTTTGATTATCAATATCTCTTTCAGCTCGTTTAGTTTTTTTTGTATCTTTTTTGACTTCAAAAGTTTGTTCTGATAACTTATCTTCTGAATTCTAATTAAACAATAATGCAATAATTTGGTTAATGAATTTAATTGAAGAATATCTTGATTAATTTAACTTTACAAACCTTATTATTAATTTTAGCTCGATGACCTCGTTTTGGGGGCATTATAAAGCTTTTGCAGTAGCAAGAGTAAGTTTCTATTGACTGAAAATTAGTTAAAACTGTTTTCACCTTTTGACCAAATATTTTATTAGGCCTATATTTAAGTGCTAAACATAAAACTCTATAGTTAGCAAAACTAAACATAAATATTGTGTTTAATTAATGTGACAAAATTTACATACAATTTCTTTTCTCTTCTTCTATGAAAATTCACTTATTACATTATGTATGGTACCGGGCGGCATCTTTTTTCGGGCGCAATAATCACACATGTGTGATTATTGCGCGCGAACTTTACTAGCGCACATATGTCGAAGAATTATGAAATACTACAAATCTTGTACATACAAACATACAGGTACTTACATTTAGATGAAAATCGCGTTGTTAATAGCGATACTGAAATTTAGCATATAAGAAAGTCTATTTAGAACCACCCGTTCAGGATAGGAGACAATACTCTTGATAGGGCATCAGCCTAAGGCTAAGACATAAACGGCTTTTGGAAAACGAGCATGTGTCTGTAATTCAATAGACGCGTACCAAAACCATTAACAAATCAATTCATAGAACGACACAAATAAATATAACAAATGACAGAAAACATTTCTCTTTATGAAACATTATTAAACATTAAAAATTAAAAATCGTAGTTTGTTTTTTTGTTTTGAGAATTATTAATGTCGAATTTAGAAATAAAATTATAATTTAGACTGTTTCATTATTGTACCGAATTTGATAGTATATGTACCATGTGCGTTGTATATATTTAAGTATAAACTCACTCATTTGTAATTAAAAAATTATGTTTACTTTATTGTTTTTTATTTAAAAACAACATCGTTACTATAGGTAAAATCCTATAGTTATCAAAATATGAGCTGAAGGAACTCACAAACTCAGCGAGAAACCGACGGAAATTGACCTAAAAAAATTATTAAAAAAACTACGCGTGACTGGTTAGAATTTGATAATTCCGTGCAATTTAGTTTTTGTTAATAAAAAATCCAAAAGTTGAATATTCCCAAATTATAAATAACATCTGCGTAGCATTTTAATTCGGTTTTATGCATTTTATGGAAATAAATATGTTGAAACGTTAGTAAAACTCACACCCAATTTTTCTATCTAATCAAAATATTATTGTAACTATCCCTTAAAGAATAATTTTATTACTCATTATAGCGACATAACTGTATATATATTTACATACCTCAAACATCAATCGGTAACATAGAGCTACACTTTTGTGCATCCAGCAACCCCATTCGATATGCGACCAACTCAAAAGAAATTGCGCTCTTATAAGAGCTGCATTAATAAGAAAAAATATTTTTTGAAATAACCGGCAATGTTAACTATTTGTTAAGAGTGCTTAAAATTATTGGATAGTGAAAAAGTATAAGTCATGATATGCCAGATAATGCCGGTACGCTGTGTTATCTGGGTCCCTATATCATAATACAGCTCTTACACTGACATTCCTAAGAAGGTATTGTCTGTGTTAATTAAAAGTTGATATATTACTATAGATATTTGAAAAAACCCATGTTTATAAGTACAGTCCTTTCAAAGCGAAGTACTTCTCGAGTCTGCGTTATATATACTGAACTTTGAGATATGTATCGCTATGTAATAAAAAATAATATGGGTTTCTTTGTGAAATTTTGATTGGATAGAAAAATTGCACGTGATTTTTGCTAACGATTCAACACATTCATTTACTCTTTAAAAATTAAAGTACAATGCTATACAAAGTCAATTTCTATTGATCTGGGAGTGTTCACAACTTTTGAAAATTTGTTATTAATAAAATCTTAAGTGCGTCGAATTATTAATGAGTTTTGATATCACTGCCATTCATACGCGATTTTTGGCAGATCAATTTTCGGCGATTTCCTGCTGAGTTCTTCCATGCTTACGCCTACAGCGTGCTTGCACTGTACCAGTATATGCATACCAAAAATTATAGACACTCCTGTGAAGAAATGACTATCAATAGAGCTCTTAATTCTTTCAGTATTATCTATTTCAGGGTAATTGACATTGCCGATTATTTGAAAAATAACCCATGTTTATGAGTGCTTCAGGACTTTTTACATAAGCATCAGACATCGGACGTCGACCATCAAATATTGAAACAAATAGTCAAATGATGTTATTGTACTAATAATAAGAAATATATATTTTTTGACATATTGCTCGAATTCTACGCAATCGCGCATACAATCAAATGTTAAACAAACAATTTGTTTTTAATCTTGATACACATCCGACATCCGGTGTCGAGGATCCCTGTGTAGAAAGCTCCTTCAGCTGCACGTATCGCTGCAATGAAAAATAATATTTCTTTGGATGTCAACACTTTTATAGCGAATGGCTATAATTATATTTTATAAAAGATTTATCTCTATAAAAACTGAATCAAAACGCTATATATATCCATTTATACTAATCTAGGACACTTTTTTACTAATGACAACTGAATTTCGTTAAGTTATTAATAAGTTTTGCTATCTTTTAATCATGCGCAGCATACACACACATACTCATTCACGCGCGCGTGCATACACACACACACACACACACACGCATACTTGCTGGCTCCACGGTTACAGCTTAAACACTCGCGCTTGCGCGTCTTAACTCTTGCAGTGTAGATTTAACAGACTGCAGCTCGCCCAGCGCTCACTCATTACAGCTGTATTCAAAGTATATTGATATAGAATTAGGCAAAACAAGAAACGTGTGAATTTTTTTTTTAATCAACGTAAATATCAGTCCATTTTTAAACCAACTTTCAAATTAATAATTACTTTTCAGCATAGCACAAGTTTGTTTATTTGAATTTGAATAAGTAGAAAGAACAACTTGTCCATCAATTGAGGTAAATCCGAAGCATTATCACTAAGTTTGTGTTCAAAGAAAATTGTTTGAAAATATATTTTTTTTTAAATTCTCACATTGATTAGCTAAAAAAAGATAAGGGAAACAGAAAAATAAAATGCATTAGCACTTTCATATAGGTTATGATAATCCAATAAATATGTAAACAAAAATATTGTATAATTGCTATTTAATTGATTAAAAGGCCGGATATGAGTGAAAAAAATTAACTTTATATCCAACTTTTACATAATTTGTACTATTTTTATTGTTTTGTAAAGATAAAACCATTAAATATTAAATATCATTGTGCTTTCACATTAGCTTTAGGTATTTTGCCGAGTTGGAATTTTGTTAATAAAATTATAAAAGCTGCATAAATTAAATATTCTTATTTAAATTATAATTTTATAATATTAATACCCTTATATTTCAAAGTAAACTATAAAAATATGAGTGTGTATTATTTTTCAGTATTGCATTAAATTCTTGCCACAATGATAGAAGTCACATGTAATGATCGTCTTGGCAAGAAAGTTAGGGTAAAATGTGATCCAGAGGACACAGTAGGAGATCTTAAAAAATTAATAGCAGCACAAACTGGAACACATTGGGAAAAAATTGTTCTGAAAAAATGGTACACAATCTTCAAAGATCACATTAAACTAGGAGATTGTATCCTTTTTAATACCTTATTCAATTTTCTTTTAATAATCTTATATTTTCTTTCAATTTTGTATGTATGTGATATAATTAACGATTTTAGGATAATAAATAGTTAAAGTTTTATGGTAACTTTTTATTTCTTTAAAATAATTTATTTCCTTAATTGACAATCACAGATGAAATTCATGATGGCATGAACCTGGAACTTTATTATCAATAAACGAGTTAATAAATATAATGACATATTTAAGATTGTGATGTATGCATATTTTGTAAAACTTCTGTAATTTATACGTTAAAATGTAAAAATTAAACAGTAAATATTTAGTGAATAATAAAAATTAACCAATTACATTCAAAACTGTTTATTACATAAACGCTTTTTATTGAGAAATAGTTATTGCTAAATGCATCATTTTATTTGTATATAATTTCATTTTTTATTTTATCACTCCGTAAGATTACTTATCTATGATGTCTTTTAATAATAGGTAACTTAAGTACACAAATCTATCGATCCAAATAGGTATCTCTTGTAATAAAAGTAATTTTCTCGGAATTTGTTATACGAACTCTTTGGTTCAAAGCTCATAAAATGACGTAATTCTATCTTACTCAACTTTGTTGTTTAAAAAAATAAGTAAAAAAAATATTGTGCTCATAAGATTTTAAAGATATTCTATAGATCACAATTCTGAATACTTCAATCATAAGCTACATCAATAAATCAATTGAATGTTTATACATGTATTAATTATTCCTAGTTTTAGAAGCGTCATAAAACGTTAGTGAGGTCTCTTGAGTGTTCCATCAGAACGGCTTACAGGACTTTCAGGTTCTATAATTACTCTACCTCGGTTGCTTAAAAAATCTCTTATATGTTGAACTATCAAGTCAATGGCCACTGTAACACAATGGAAAAGAAGAAAAAAAAACCAATATAGTTAATTACTAGTCAATTACAATATATATTTGAAAAATATCGTTATAATTAAAATTTTCGTTACAGCATGCATTATGTCGCCATTCTATCAAACTATGGTTCTTTTTAACAGTTAGGCACAGTACGTGATTATAGTGATGAATTATAAAGACGCTTGCATATTTATAATGACATACTTTAAATGCATTTTGGCTAGATTCTAACTTATCAAATAAGTAAATGTATAATGATAATACAAATTGTATAATCAGGATTTCTACACAACTTGTAAATTAGGTTTGTGCATAATATTTACAAAAAACATTAAAAAAAACATGTATATTTTTTTCTAAATTTGAACATCAATAATAATTGACTACTTTGATGAATATTATGCCTTGAATGGAAGTATATATATAAAATGAATAGATTGAATAATCTTAAACGCCGTAGTACAAAATCAAATATAAATTGTTTAAGTTCTACAGCTATTTGTAATAGTAATTAACATTGGTTTTTAACGTATTGCTAAGCAAACTTTCGAAATTATTGATTTTATAACAAAAATTATTTATTATTAAAAGCTGTAAAAATACTGTTATTCACTTGCACCCTTTTTATACATTGAATTATTTTTTTAATATTGTTATTATGTAAAATTTGCATGCAGTTCATATCCCGTATGAAAATTAATATATCAAATCTTGTGTATATGTAAAATGCATTATAAACATGTAAGAAAAAATGGAAATTTGTATATAAGCATAAGGACTATAATAATTGAATGGTGAGTTCAATGATAATTCAATCATCTCTTGAGGAAATCTGAAGATGTAGACACTCTCCTATGATCGATGTATGGATGCTGCCCGGGTGTGGAACCAGCCTTTTTAGACTGCAAAATGTCCCAGATGTGGTGCACTATAAGGTCTATTGCCACTGTAAACATACAACAACCAAAACCATGTGATTTTTTATCAATCACCCATTAAACATAAGACCTTTCAATGACGATATTCTTCTTGCCAGGTATACTGCTAAATATGAATTACATCATTCCACGTATGTTATCTCAACTTATAATAAATTTGTTTAAAAAACAGCATTGGATATATAGCTGAAAAAGTTATTTACTCAGAAAATGGATGTTTTATGCATTATTGACAACAGTTTTTATCTTTTTATGGCTTAATTTTTAATAAAACTGTGACTATTTCCACAGTTATCTGTAAAAATTAAAGCTCAAATTTTATAATATTAATGTAAGCTGTCAGTAACGGTTTTTTCGAAATGTTTTATCATTTCGATATATTTGATTTAAAAACAAAAATATACAGTGTTTATAGTCTTATAGTACTTTATATCCACCAATACCGGGCAGCAGTCACAAGAAACTACTATTGATACCATTGAAAATGGATTATTAACAATTTTAAAGATCACTACAGTCAATATACTTTTGAAGAAAGTAAAATTTCGAGAATTTCGTAAAATACAAGCCAACAGTATAGTCGATACATAAATTAAATTGAGATTAGTAATCGAAAATTGTTGTAATTCCAAGTCAAATTATCGATCATGCAAAAGTGATGATGAACGCGCATGTTAATTAATTATTACAATATAAAAAAGTGATGTTAGCATGTTTGCGTTTACAGCCCCTTTCTAATGATATAATTACTCTTGGCGAAATAGAGAAATCATTAGTGTTGATAAAAGACTAATGCATTTGTTCGATGTTACCTGTGTTATCGGCTCCCCGAGGAATGATAACGTCAGCAAATTTTTTCGTGGGCAAGCAAAATTCTTCAAAAGCTGGCTTTACGTAATTCATATACTGATTCAATACATATTCCAAATCTCGTCCTCTCTCATTAATATCCCTTGGAACTTTGAATACAAAAAAATATACTACAACTATCGATGGATTCTCAATAAACTTGGCGTAACTTTGCCATTGCTTTCAGGCATTTGAAGGACATGTAAAATAATTGGACATACCTCTCCTAGCCAGTCTCGTATCCGAATCCGTGTCGACAAAGAGTTTCATGTGGAAGAGGTCCCTTATGTCCGGGAAATAGAAGACGAGTATTCCCTCGAACAAAACAACGTCGGCTGGATAAATGACCGTGATCTGATCCTTGATTCTGAAACAGAGCAAGAGCGAGAGAAAGAGAGAGTTGAATGTCCTGGGCAGGAAAAAGTTGACAACGCGGTATGAGGATGTTGTGTTCTCCGCGAAAAGTAAAACTCACGATCCGATCTCGACGACACACGCGCTTTTTTTCGCAATCGGCCAAGCTACAACAAAGCGTTCAACGACTTCTTCCTTGTCGTATAAACATCGTGCTCTCGCGAAAACATCCTCGTTCCCGCGCTCGCTATAAAAACTGCGAGCTGCGCCGAGACAATTCATCGCAGTCGTTCACTCTTTTCTTTCTTCATCGGCAAGTGCAACATCGGCGAAGATGAACAACAAGCACCTGCTCGGCGCCGTCCTGTTGGGCATGCTACTAGTGGCGCTGTTCGATCTCGGCGAAGCTTGCAAGAAGTGCGGTGTGCCCAATTGCAGTTGCATTCCGATGGGGATGGGCTTAGGACAAGCTCAAGGCATGGGGCAGGGATTCGGATTGGGATGTGTTCACGGTCTTTCTTCCCTCTTGAAACCTCTTTGCAAGCCGTCACTTATCTGCAAGCCGCAACTCTGCAAACCATGTATTTCCCACCATGGCGGATACGGTGGTATGGACCAAACTCCGAGCTATGGACATGGCATTGGGTGTACATGCAGTGTCGGACCTGTATATGGACTTACGGCTGGCTATGGGTACAGTGGATACGGTTCTCAACAGCAATACTACCCTACCTTACCGCCTTACTGCTACGTAAGTTCATTTTTTCGTAAATGACGTTTTTCGCAGAAAATCTCATACAAATTATTCAAAATTATTTACAAAGATAACGCTCGCTTTGCTTGTTTTTATTACAGGGCCATGGCTACCACCACATGCGAAAACCCTGGTACAAGCCACGTTGCCGCTGCTTCTAGTCTGGCGTTCAACTACCAGTCATTTGTACAATATTTTGCAAAACGTGCGAATAAAAAACAACAAATAAGTTACCCAAGACGTTTGTTCATTGTCGAAACTGTAAACATTGTAAATATTATGAAAGCTACTTACAAACTATTTGTCCTGAAGTCATAAGCGGGAATTTCACACTTCTTTCCGGCCAATATATCTTTCAGAATTTTTAGGATCAAATCGTTGTTGAATGCATCGGGATGATCGAAATTGAATTGGCCTTTCTCTGCCTTGATTTTTTCAGCGGGCGTTAAATCTCTGTAGAAACTGTCCTGCGATATGCACACCACTTGACGCTCTGTGTGATCTTTATCTACTTGGCCGAGTTTTTCCATTATCCTTTTGCAGACTGTGGACTAGAAAGAAATTCACGACTGTAACGAAGCTAAATATTGCATAACATCGGCCTTTTTTTAATCAATAATATTTTTTACAAAGCTTGATTCGAAACAGGAAAAATACGAACGGATTTTTCTTTTCTTTGTTTATACCCAACGACATGAATTTCAAGATATTTGTTAGCATTACGATTTTGGAGTGACAAAGGATTCACAACAAAGAAAAGTGAAAATTGAACTTAAAGTGAGTTTATTATTTCTTTATATAATATTTACAAATACAGGTTGACAACCTGATACATAGTCATTTTTAATTTTTTTGCATTTGTGTGCGACATTTTGATTTACAACAATTCAATCGTGTTTACAAATATATCCATGAATACACTAATAAAATAAATAGTGTTTTAAAAAATATTTTTAAGACAAATTAAGACATTTACTATATGAAAATCCAATTCATACATCAACAAAAAGTGTTACATACGTATGTACACGAAAAATAATTTCATTTTATTCAACCAAAAAGTCTGTGCACAAGGATCACATATTAATTTCGACGCCTTCGAACGCGAGAAATTCGCCATGCATTCGGCTCTTCATATTTGTTGTAGAGTGGCTCGAGACGTTGATTTTTCTTGAATTTGCTGAGTTTGGTGGGATCGCTGAACTTGAAGAATGCCGGAGCATATTCAACCAGCCATTTTGGCTCAATTGTCGTTACTTCTCTCATGTATTCTTTAGTCGTTTGAACTAATTCATGATAGATGACCCACTCGGGTTGTCTGTTGAAAAGTGCGCTGCTTGGATGAATGTAGACAACTTGACTGTCAACCAAAGTACGATAACCTTCCTGTGGATCCTTCTTTGCTGCATTTCTAAAGAAACCAGAACAGATTGCCTTTTGAATGCGAACGGTATTTTTTGCAGCTGATACGACGTCTAATTTGTGTCTGTCCATGATACCCAACAATTGCTTTCGCACGTCTTGAGCTCGTTTGAGAGTACGTATCTGCACGAAGTTTTCGTAACACCAGGCGTTGCTGAATTTATTATTCTTCCACGAGTTATAAACTGCGAGAAGCGTCAAGTGATCACCTTCAGTCTGATTGAATTTAGCTTTTTTCTGATCAGCAAGTGCCTGCTTATCTTTCGGTCTATAGAATACATTCTGAACGGACAGCATACTGACGATAGTCAGAATCTCATCAGAGCACTGCAAATGTACACTCATGATGAGCATTTTCGAGAGATTGGGCTCAAGTGGAAACTCGGCCATGCGTCTACCAAGACGAGTTAGTAGACCCTCATCGTCAAGGGCACTGAGACTGTGCAAAGTTTCCAGAGCCATGATGAGCGATTCAACAGGTGGTGCGTCCATGAAGTCAAAGTGCAACAAGTCATTAATACCCATCGTTTTCAATTGAAGCACCGTCGTCGCTAAATTGGTTCGTTGAATTTCCGGCACCGGCGACTTCAACATTTCGTCCTGATAAGCTCGCTCGGTATAGAGTCGATAGCACTTGCCAGGTCCCGTTCTTCCGGCTCGCCCTTTTCGCTGTTTTGCTGCAGCCTGACTGATGGGAGTAACGATAAGACTGTCCATGCCCGTTTTAGAGTTATAAACCTTTTGCTTGACAAATCCCGGATCGACCACATAGTAAATACCATCGATCGTGAGACTTGTCTCGGCGATGTTTGTTGCGATGACGACTTTGCGTGATCCAGGCGGCGCTGGATCGAAAATTCTTGTTTGCATTTCCGAAGGTAAAGCTGAATATATGGGAAGAATAATGAGATCTGGAATCTCGTTTCCTAGGACTTTCATACGCTCGTAAAGGATTTCACACGCTGTGTCGATCTCTTCTTGACCCGTTAAAAACAGCAATATATCTCCAGGAGGCTCACGAAGATGTATTTGCATTACTGTGATAAGAGAAGCATCCAAATAATCGGTTTCTGGCTCTTTGGTGTACATGATCTCGACCTCGAAGGTACGTCCAGGAATGGTGAATATAGGTGCTTCAAAGAAATACTCGGAAAATTTAGTAGCGTCCAGAGTGGCACTGGTGACGATAAGTTTCAAATCGGGTCTTTTCTTCACGGCCTTTTTCAGCAAACCAAATAATACATCCGTGTGTATCGTGCGCTCGTGAGCTTCATCGAGCATAATCACAGAATACGACTTTAGATCTAAATCCATCAAACATTCTCTGAGCAACATACCGTCTGTCATGTATTTAATTATTGTTTCTGGCCCAGTACAATCCTCAAAACGAATGGTGTATCCAACTTCTTGCCCGAGTCGACAACCAAATTCTTCTGCGACTCTGTTTGCTACGCTCATTGCAGACACTCTCCTCGGCTGAGAACAACCGATTTTTCCTCGAGCGGTATATCCATCTTGTGCCAAGTACTGGGTCATTTGAGTTGTTTTGCCTGAACCTGTTTCGCCTACTACAATCAAAATTTGATTATCGTTTATAGCCTTCATCAAGTCGTCTCTCAATTTATATATTGGCAAGCTCTGTCGCTGTTCCACAATGCTGAGATTAGTTTTTTTGCCGAAAGAACTTTTCTTGCCGCCGATAACATGCTTCTTCCATTCTGGCAAATCTTGCATTTGTAAGCCGATCCCACGCATATTAGCCGATGCCGATTGACTTTCCACGTCAGGAAGTGGATCTATCCAATTTTTATTTGAATTTGTAGGCTGAGAATCGACTTCTTGTTCTCTTTGAAGCATCTTTTGTTCGCGTCTTTCTTTAGCTAGAGCACTTTGCATCATAGCTGCTTGAGCTAACGACCCATCTGGATTTTTGACAATTCTAACAGGACTTAAATCACCCAAAGCTCTTCCATGTCCTTGAAGAAATGGAGGTTCGTCTTCAACAAGTTCAATTTCTACATCTTCTTCTTCGTCATCTTCACGTGGAAGTATTCCAGTTTCCATATCAAAGTCAGGTAATTCACTTTTGTCAATACAAGATGCTGCCATCATTTGCTTAATTTCCCATTTCTCTGGAGATGATAATCTTGGCATTTTTCTGGTTGGAAGAATGTCATCTTCTTTGATACTATTTTGCAAATCTAAAAGGGATGTTGGACGATCTGGATTACGTAAGTATTGTTCATCCTCATCAGCTTTATTTGATGTTAAAACTGGATTCAAGTCACGTCCACTTTCCTGGTCCACATCTTTCATACTTAGAGCAATTTTGTTTCCATTGATAGTAAGAATTTTGACCAAGACCTTTTGCCCACGAGTAACAACATCACTAACAGTAACTACTCTTCCTTCTCTTCTCAATTGGGAAATGTGTACTAAACCTTCACAACGACGCCTCAGCCCTTCTAATTGCACAAAACAACCAAATGCAACTATATTAGCTACTTTACCACTGTAGATCTTTCCAATTTCTGGTTCATTTGATAATTCTTCCAATGATTCTGATGGTGATTTAGAATGAGAACGTGACCTGTGTTTTCTGTCATATCTGCGTGAATTTTTGTGGTCTTCATACTTATTTCTTCGAGACTTTGATCGTGATCTTGATCTAGATCTTGATTTGTATTTTCTTTTATCATCAGACCTTTTAGAATCTTCTCTGTTATATTTTCTAGAGTCTTTGTCATGGTCATGATACCTATTAGAGTCTCTTCTTCTGTCCCTATGTCTGTCTCTGTTGTCATCTCTATGTCTATCTCTTTCATCGTCTTTATGTCTTCTTCTTTCTTTATCACTACTAGACTTACTGCTGTGTCTACTTTTATGGTCATCAACTTTATTCTCTTTGTTTTTGTTATCAGAAGTGTGATGTCTATCTGTATTCTTACTGTCTTTGTTACCCATATTGTTTAGCTGATCCATCATGTCGTCAACAATATTGGAATCATTATTGTCACCATTCGAGATATCTTTTGGTGGGCTTTCATCTGGCAAGGCTAATCCAGGAAATCTAGATGCCAAGGAGTCACTTTTGGAACTTACAGGCTTATCTATATCTTTTGGCTTCATATGTGTAATTATTCTTAAAATTGTTGATATAAATGAATCAGGCCATTCAGCTCCATTACTGTGCAGAGCTCTTTTAAACGAATCAAACGTTTTACTCTCTTCAGCCAAATGTATTACAAATTCTGCTAACTCTTTACTGTTTATACTTAAATGATTTTCCAACTCCGTACAAATTTTTGATACGAGAGAAAGATGTTCAAGTTTTCTAACCTCATCCATCTTCGCTTCTTTACCGATGTACAGATAATATGAATTGCTTGACGGATCTACAAGTAAATTTATCTATAACAATGAATGATTCTAACTCAAATATGAATTTAAACACAATTGATAGTATCTCAGCTTATTTTAATGTAAAATGTCAAACTCGACTAAACTCCAATTGCATAAACGCCATTACGACGCGTTATAGTCCGATACAGTTACAGACGATACTGCACTCACAGTATAGGGATAGGCACAAGCTATATGAACATTATACGTCCTTCAGCTAAGCCGAGCTGAGAAAAAGTGGCTAGTGGTGTACTTCAGTCTATACATTCGTAGGAGTATCGTTATAGTAGCTACGAATGTATTGACTGAAGTGCGCAGCTGGCTGAGAATACGCAATGCGGGATCGATTCATCGATTCGAGATTTACATTATCACTAAGGGCCCTTCCACATGAAGGAATATTCCTGTGAGGCCCTCACCACATATGCGCGCGTACGAGGGCGTACAAACGCGTACAAATCGCTAAAAATGTTGATAGTGCCAACAACAGAAAGTTACTACTATTCCTCGCATGCCCCAAACGAACACACTTACTCTCGGAACAAACGTATCATAACCTTCAATAATATAGCGTTATGATACGTTTGTTCCGGGAGTAAGTGTGTTCGTTTGGGGCATGCGAGGAATAGTAGTAACTTTCTGTTGTTGGTACTATCAACATTTTTAGCGATTTGTACGCGTTTATACGCCCTCGTACGCGCGCGTATGCGCATATGTGGCGAGGGCCTGACCTTGTTTCGTGTGATTTTGCATCTCCTGGAACATTGGTATAGTTCACCGACTACTTCCCTATACGTATTCAGAGGTTTAAGAAGTGCAAAATGAATACGTATAGAGAGATAGATGGTGAACTATACTAATGTTAGAGGAGCAAAATCATACGTGACAAGAACATCACAAGAATATTTCCTCAATATATGAAAAGGCCTTTAATGTATACTGAACGCTAGGGATCCCCAATTATAATCGATTAATGAGAAAGTTCTCGATTATTTTGTTCAAGAATCGATTATTCATTCGATTATTTTAACATGCGATTATAATCGATTCGATTCTTATTACTTGAAGTTCGAAAGTTGTATTCGGTTATCGCTCGCTTTTTTATAACTTGTGTTTTTATAGCGTTGAACATATAGCTTTCAATATTATTGGATATACCGCCATAAATAATTGAAATATTTATTTATAACAATGGATTGCAGACAAGTGGTAAGATGACTGAAACAAATCAATTGGACAGAACAGTCGGTATAAGGTACGGCTAAATCGAATACACTCACAGTAGCGTGTATGTGATGTGACATAAAATAAGTACAGAAATTCGGTATCAATTTACCATTAACAAAGTTTTTCAAACATAATAATTCTGTCATATACCACTACTTTATTCTACAAGTTGCAATTCAAGTTTTAGCCTTGTTTTTTAACCTTGTTTATTTAAACTTTAATTTTGGGATTCGATCTACGCAAACAAGTAGAAGAAAATATTTAAAGCAAATAAAAAATAATTTTTATTAAATTATAAATTTTTATACTGATATTTATTGCCTTAACTAAAAATTGCGCGAAAATTTCAAATTAATAATAATATTTGAAATATTTACATAATCGATGTTATAATCGATACTTGGATTATTTTTTTCAAAAATCAATTATTTTTTTCAAGCAATTAATTATAATCTATTACTATTCCACTGGGAATCCCTATACTGGGCGTCCTTTAATTCGCGACCGCGGAATTTGAAAACAACTGCGTTTTTTATAGTAGTGGGCAGCTCAATCAAAATGATTCGGGTCTACTATGAAGCGAATTAATAAGAAATGTATAGTTGTTACATCTGCAAAAAATATATATCGAGCAATATAAATCAAGAAATTGTTAAGTCTTGCTAACCTGGAACTGACAGATAAGTATAATTTTGTTTATTTTATTTCTTACTTTCTATATTAAAATAAGGAGAGTTTACTTTGTGTCAATTTTGTTTTTATTTTCAAAACTATGTATTCAATTACGAATAATAATTAACACAAATATATACAAGGACTTGTTTCACATCAAGATACTTTGGGAATGTTGCTGATTCAATTCTGTCTGAGGTCACAAGCTATGTCGGTAAACAAGCCTATGAGTTGATAATAGATCATTATTACAGCTATGAGGACACATGAATTTCATTATATTTGTAAGGCACTGAGTAAAATTATATTAATTATTTCTATACTGATATTACAGGATCAGCAGCATCTACTTAACAAGCACAGTAGATTTACAGGTAGTAACATCTTTAGGAAATACTTGAGCTCTAGCACGAACTGTGCAACTCTCAAGAAGAAATCCTCGACCTAATCTTGTTCGATGTCACTGATGCTCAATCGACGTCGTTTAATTTTGTTTTCCAATTTCGCGGGTCGCGAATTAAAGGGCATCCAATGATATGTATAGTACCCCCCCTCCCCCTCCTGCAAACACATATGATGTATAAAGGTCGTTCCACACTGAAAGAATATTCCTGTGATGTTCTTCCTGCATCATTGTTACGCGAGATAAAAAGTGAGACGGAATAAGAGCACTAGAATTATGGAATTATGTTTATTCATGTGGGAAGACCCTGACCTCAATTTTTTAAATACATTGAGTAATTATAGAAATGTAATTAAAATTAATTATACAAAAATTTAATTTAAAAAATTCAATAATTAGAATATATATTTAGGTACTATTGCATTGTGCTTTTTGCGGATGAATTGCTTTTAATTAATTATATGTAAACTTCGACTTCGAATACTACTTTGATTATCAATTATATAGTTACATTACAGTTATAGTCAAATAATGTCATCGATTAGTTTTTACTTTTTAGATTTTGTACTATAAATTATTTTAAAAACAGATGTCAATGGAATACGAATAGGTACGTATATATCTTTTGACCGACATTATTTTTTAGTTTCTGCAATTTTTACGAATAAACACAAGTTTTGTCGCAACTAAGTACACGATATTGAAATATACATTTTCTAATGCGAATTTCGCTCTCAAAAAATAAATATTTTAAGTATCTTAATTTTGCAAATTATCATTTTTTAATTTAAAAAATTTTTTGACAATAACCGAGCATTAATCAATCAAAAATATCAATAATGTATATTAGTCAGTTTATTTGTATTTTAATCATAAATTTGGTTTTTATAAAATTTTTAACCAAATTTAAAAGCAGTATTATGTCTTAATAATACATCTCTATTTATCATATATTTATATTGTTAAGGAAAAAAATATACTCACACCTTTTCTTGCTAATCTTTCCTATTATAAAAAAGAAATATACAAATTTGCAAGAATTATAAAAAAACACGAGCGACACTCATTATAAATATAAAAACGAACGATGTACCTGTTTCGACAACAATAAAAACCGCTTAGTTGCCAAACGTAAAAAAAAAGATCAAGGGAAAAGCCTCGACGCAAACCGCGGTACCGCCAAGAGATAGTAATGAAATAGAATAAATATACTGATACCGCATCACGAAATAATAGGTTATAAACGATGGGAGTGTTGCTAATCTAGCTTTATAGTTTTAGCTTTATAGCTCTAGTTTTATACGCATCTCGTGTGTCTAGAATATTACCTTGCCGCTGGCTGTGCCGCCGGAAACGCCGATGAGAAAGGGTGTTTTGCCTTCGACACCATTCATCTTGCCGTTGAAACCGAAGGACATTTTTCGCGTGGAACTGTTGTCTGCCATCGTGCTTAGTGGCGAGTCCACGCCTGCAACAAAGAGAGCCTCGCTACTGCTAGCTCGGGGTCAGGGCTAAGCAAAGCAGCCGATCGATTCTGATGCAATAGCGTACGCCGCAGATTATACTGACCGCAAACCAGCTGATCGAATCAACTTGCTACTGCGATTTTATATATCATTCACTACTGTGGTTATATTGTGGCGTTGATCAGCCGAAATGATACGTCGTATCACGAATGTGTCTGGTGTTAATCCTATGATGTATCACACGCATCATGTGATTCAAACTGCAAGCTGACCACTGCTCAGACCGCTGCAAATATTCTCCAATTGCTTTTACGCTATTTAATATATTTTGCGCGACTTTCGTATAGTTTCTTCTTATATACACGATTTTATTTATAGACTGACATGCAATTTTACAACCATGTGGGTTTTTGCTTGATAGATTCTTTTTCATTTCGCACTCCTAGTGGTACGTGATCGCAGTCACTTGTTATTGTTGCGCAAACGTGCGAAGCATAAGTCTGGTACTTAAACGACTGTTTATTTCACTTGTTGCAAATGAACGTCACTAGTAATCTGAAAGCGATGATAGTTGCAGTATTTAACATTTATTTTGAATCACTAATGGAGGAACGAATGTTATTTAATTCTATTTTGGCTTAGCTTATTTCAATGACTTTTTCTTAAACACGAACAGTTACACTATCATAATCACGACAGTAGTAGCTAATGTTTCGAGGCATTATATTTATGCTTTATTATTAGTACCCGCCTGCGCATACGCGTCTGCACAAATGAGGGATCGAATTCAAATATATATATAGCTAGTAAGTTTAAATAAGCATTACCAACCGTTGGCTAAAATAACAACATTGACCGCGTAATTTAAATTTAGATGTACGTGAGAAAAAAGTTTATTACTTGTTTTTATTTTCTCGTCATAAGTAAATATTTTGAAAAAAAGAATACTCATCTGTTTTGACAATTTATTCTATTTGATTTTCTTTCTATTTGATTACAAAGAAAGTCATTCATACTATTTTTAGAGAATATAGATGTAACATTTAGTATTATGCATTACAAAAATTATTGTCTCTAACTTTAAGTAATGTAACATAATGATGATTCCAACTGTAGACAAACTTAGATGAATACAAAATTTAAAAGTACATATCCGTCACAAAATATATTGTTTGCCTTTAGCTCGCTAAAGGCAAGCCAAAGATAAGAGATCTATTTAAAAATGAAACAGCAGTACACTATTACGAGAGGGAGACTGTGAAGCGCCGGAGAAAACCAAAACTTTTGCCGATAAGAATATATAATGTACGATGCGCCCCACTCGATGGCGTATCATATTGTCTGCAGCAATACGCTCGGCAGATATCGAGTGAGGAATATTGTGACCAGTTTGCCGTGTGCCGTCCCGCGTTTTTGCGCTCCGTTTTACACACGTGCGGCTACTAAGCTGATCGAATTGCTGTATGGGACGTCCTTTTGGATGAAATAAGCTTACTCCGAAAAGTGTTGATCGCGTGCAGTTACATCGAGTTGTATATCATTTTGTATTTCGTACCAGCTAAAGTGTAAGCTTTTTAATTATTAGCGGTTAGGATGCCACATCGAACATTACTGTATAGTTAGCCAGATTAGTGTATTCGTGTTTTGCTTTGTGGCCAATGAGACACGTAGCTTATGCGACATTCAAGTTTATTTATCTTTCGAATGTTTCTTAGTAAATATTGCAATTAATCATCATTTAATGATCGTTTACCAACTTTGAGATACATTTACGTTCTCATATAATATTTATTTTACTTTTCTTACAACATAACTTTGTTGTGATGTAATTCCACTTATCATTATAGATATGTAAACAAACGTTTCTATACGTCAGGTACATTTATTCAAACTAAAATCGTTTCATGAAGAATAATAGACTATAGGAAAAGTTACTGTTGAATGATATTTCATCATCAGTACTTAATATTATCAGTTATTAATTTTTGTTTCACTATGAACACAGTTCATAGTCCTCGGTAAATAGAGATTGTGAATTGTAAATGACGTCATAAACAGGATCGCGATTGCTGATACTCCTTGCGTAAAGTTCGATTTTGCATTTACGTTCAAAAAATTGTAATCTTAACTTCGCGTGATGGTAGTTATTAGAAAGTTATACAGATTACTATGCAGTAGAGAAAAAATATGGCAACGGCTCTGAATCGGGGAAAAAACTTTCTAATGTACTTAGTTGTCCGGTGCGTTGCGCACAAGCGAGCCTTTGATAGAAGTCTACTTATTACAGTTGATTTCCCAGCAGATTTGTTTTCTTTTTGAAGTTGTTCAAGTTATAACACAAGAGGAAAGACACAATTATCTGCTTATCCGATCGAAGCATTGAGGATCAGCTGCGTTACACGATAAATAGGAGCATTCTTAAGGATGACATTGTCCGGTTTATGAGCCTCGTACTCCTTTCCAGAGCAGTAGCGGACCGGTTTTATCGGTGTACTACTGCTGCCATCACCACCACCACCGCCGCCACCAGCAATCGTAGCTTCGCGTGGGGATTCAACACTTGCATAATAAATGTGATTTTCATGTTTGCTCTGGCTAAGAGGATGATCCAGAGTGTAGCTAGCCAACGCAGCGTTGCTTCAGTCAACTACGAAGTGAGTATTTTCTGTAAACACGTTTTAAAGTAACAGCAGAGCAATGCACAGGAATGCTGTCGGTGAGAAATACACGTTCAAGGTGATTTTGATTAAAATGTCTTTTCATCTTCGACCAAATATAGTTTAAGTTTGCCTGCTCGAAAGTATAGAATTTGATAAGTCACTATATAACGTCACGTCATTGCGATAATGCTATACATTGCTTTGATCTGCGATCGAACGCGGCGCGACTCCCTGCTGCTTTGCAATGATCGACGAATGACCAACTAATAATGGATCCATTTATTGACAGGAAGCTATAAGATGTTTGAATAATTTGCAAAGCAATGCAGCTTACTTGAACGCAGCCAAGGGAATCGTACCAACCAAGGAGAGCACGTTACAGGATGTGAAGAAATACTTGATTCGGTGAGTAACTTGAACTCAAATTACACTGTTCACCGTCATCGTCAATCTCCACTGCTTGCTACAATATCTATCGCTACAGGCAACAACTCTGACGTTTAGCTACGTATCATGGAAATTTTGCTAGAGATAACGATATTTTTCTTACAACCTATGTTCTCGAAATAATTAATTACGATGAGTCAGTTATCTTTAAAATTCCCCAGTCAGCATGCAAATGTAAGCATGTAAACATTTTACGATTTCGATAAACGAAAAACTCAAACTCATCAAAGCGAGTTGTGGCAAGATTTATTATATTTAACCACATCTATTTAAAATAAAACGATTATCCCATGAAAAAAACGTGAAAACAGGTCGGGTATCACTCTTGAGCAGCTGGATGGATTATCCATAATTCATGTAGCCGGTACCAAAGGCAAAGGATCGACTTGCGCCTTTGTCGAGACGATCCTACGTGCACACGGCTTTTGTACTGGATTCTTCAGTTCACCACATCTAATTTCGGTGCGCGAGCGCATTCGCATCAATGGCAAGTCGCTTAACGAAACAGAATTCACACGGCAGTTTTGGCAGGTGTACAAAGCGTTGGATCAGAAAAAGGAACACGAAAATGACATGCCGCAATACTTCAAGTTTCTCACCATACTCATGTTTCACGTATTTATCAAGACCAACATTGACGTCGCCATTCTCGAGGTAATAATTTGTTGCTTCTAGTCAAATTCGACAAATTCTGTTATTCTTTTCGCGTTCCGATTTTGTTATTTGCTTTGAATTGCTAAACATCTTCAAAATGTTTGCTTATCATCAAAGCCTCATAACAGTAAAATTGCGGTGAAATCCAAATCAAGTACTAAATCACAGGTGGGCATTGGTGGCGAGTACGACTGTACGAATATTGTGAACAGCAGCGTTTGCACAGGTATCACGAGCCTCAGTTTGGACCACACAACCCTCTTAGGTGACACGATCGAGGCGATAGCTTGGCAAAAAGCAGGTATCTTCAAACCTGCAGTGCCAGCTTTCACGGTGCCTCAGTCGAATGACGCAATGATCGTTCTGCAAAGTCGAGCTGTCGAGAAAAATTGCTCGCTCAGTGTCGTGCCTAAAATTGAAGAATATCCTTGGAGAAGGGGTGTACCAACTCTAGGTATAATTATACGTTCCATTAATCGTTTGCTCTACTTTCAACATTTCTATGCTTAATGATCGACTTAGCTTGGGAGCAACAATCGATAGTTCATCGCCTACATTTATAAATGCATTTTTTCTCGCTCACATTTTTCTTTGAGAAGTGGTAAGTTACATCCAACTCTAGTGCACGATGATTCATTCATTCGCCGCTAGTAAATCAACGAGGAAACTCAATCAACTATCAATCTGGGCATCTACGCATTGGGCTGATTTGTTAATTGTCCTTGTTTATTAATTCTACAATCACTCCTGTTTTTAGAGAACGTGACTAAGATTAAAAAATCCGTCTCAGGTATTCGTAGTAGCGTGCAGTCGAATAACGCCTCACTAGCTATTCAGTTGGCATCCACATGGATGATGAAGAACAATCGAATTCGACGCTTTGGTGTCCTTAAAAGTACCGAGAACAAATGGATAATCGATGAGGAACCGGCCAAGAAGACGTCTCTATGCTTCGATAAGATTGCCGTGGCTTTAAATTGTTGCAAATGGCCCGGACGTACGCAGGTTTTACTTGGAAAGAGTCTCGATTTTTATATCGATGGCGCACACACCTATGAGAGTATCGAGTGCTGCGTTTCATGGTTCCGCAGTAATATTCAAAACGAGAGGTTGGATATTAGATTGAAGATTACCAGTGCTATCTTATTTTGATCTGCTATTTTTTTTTTAGGACGGAAAGACCTAAGTACTTAATTTTCAATACGACAGGCAACAGAGATTCATCAAAGCTAATGGCACCTTTGAAAAAGTTACACTTCAGTAAAGCCTATTTCGTACCAAATGTTGCCGGTATATGCAAATTGGCCGACCAAGAAAACTTGAACGTACCTGTAACCAAGCAAAAAGAGAAGTGTTGCAAGCATGCCGAAATCTGGGGCGAAAATTCAGTATTAGCAGATAGCATTTACGAAACTCTTCAACTTATAAAGGAAGATCACAAGTGCAATTCAAAAAATCACAATACTGTTAAGCCTCAAGTTCTCGTAACAGGATCATTACATTTGGTTGGCGCGTTGTTATCTGTGGTCGATCCGGATTTAACGATGTCAACCACATTTTAATAAGAGAAACTCATGTACTCCAATTATTATCAAATAACAATTACTAAAACTGATAATTACTGTCAATTCTAAAATAATTATTGGTTAAAAAATTGTTTGTTTGCCACTTTTCAAAAATGTACATTTTAAGCGTTAAATATATTTTATGAGTTTTTTTCTAAATCTTTTGATTCGTTACCTATTAAATCATATGTAAGTAAATCTGAAATCTTCTAGAATCTACTACTGAAAAAAAAACAATTTTGTTAGGGCACAGCTTTGAAAACCTTATTTTTTCCGGTGTAAAATAAAAATAAATTGCCTTAAATAGCAGTAAGAAGTACAGGCTCATAATTTTTTTAAAACCTTTTTATGTAAAACAACATAATTAACTTGAACCTATAATTTTCTAATAAAATCATGAAGGTTATATATACGTCTTTGCTACTTTTGCCTTTCTATGAGGTCCATTGTACAGCTAAATTGTAACTGTGATGACGCATCATACGATTTCATACCTTACTGCCCGAAAGTCAGCAAAACTTCTGATGTTTGTTTACATATTTCCGTACACGCATATTTTCATAGCGTGTTACAACTTAAAATTCTTGAAATTCAATGAATGGACATACCAATAAGTTCATGTAAACACATAATTGCTGTATGATATGGATATTTGATTTTTAAAGTTTTTGTAATAAACTGTAATTAGTCAATACAATGAATATCTAATATAAGCATCGTTTAAAACGTTAATAAAGAAAGTGCACAAAAATAGGCTTCGGGTTACAGACCAATCGGAAAGGTATTTTTAGTGTGCCAGTAGAAAATGACAATTTTTAATACAAGAGGCCCAGTGACAACTCTAACTTGAAAAGCTTATAACTCAGAGTATTCATAAGGCACACTAATAGAAAAAATTATATTAGATTGGAATTTTTAAGTAGAATATATTCTACTTATTTAAATATGATTTATAGAAAACTTTTTTCCTTAAAAAAATGAATAGTTTAAACTTTTAGATTTTTTAAAAACTGCGTTACACATCCACTTGCTTGGTTTATTTTTTGCCTAATAATAACACATGCTTGAGACTTATTTTTTATGTAATATATACCAAAAAGGTACCTACAAAACAATTTTAGAATGATTTGCTCAAGACTTTTTTTAACTTTAAAACAAAATTTTTATGACGAGTTACAGTGCAAATTCTGAATAAAATCATACCTTTTCATCTTATAGCTTCGAAACTATAGTAGATATCTTAAAATAATCTTACGGAGTATATTTTTCATTTTTCTTTTCTACAGAAAATATTTTTCAGTCTTACATTAACTCCTTTTGTAGAACGGTTATCACACAGTAACTAGAATTTCAAAAATTTTGGGGATTTGCTCATATATTATAGAGAATGAATGAATGAAATATGTTAAATAATAAAGATAACTTTTTATTTCTCGTTTTTAAAAATCCTAATAATTAAATGTCACATTTTAAGAGTAGATTTTTCGTACTTATTAAAAAAATTTTGGTGTGAAGAATTTCTACTTGGTATGTGGTAATGCATGTCAGTTTCCGCTTCGGTGTCAGAAAGGCTCAATGAAACTCCGGCCCTTCTTCTTATTCGAGCATCGTCGGGACTCTATATAAAAATCATCACTTGAAGAGTTAATTACTCTAATTTATATTTTGAATCATAAAATGTACATACCTGATCTAGAATTCCGGCAGTGGGTTCTGAAGCGTATCCAACTTCTTGTGCGTCTTCTTCAAGGTCTGCTTCGTATTCTTCCATCCCATCTGAGTCGGAATCTAAGTCGGCGTAACGATTACCACGAGATACTTTGCAAACCATTTGTGCCAAGTCAGTAAATGTGTATGAAGAAGGAACCTGTTGATTGCTAGCCTGATGTTTTGCTCGTAATGCCTTGGCAATCTCCCGATCTGCGTTAAATCGAGGCAAAATCCCTGCTTTCGATTGTCCTTCGAAGTAGGTTTTACCTGCATATAATTATTAAAATTTGTTATTAAAGGAACGTTATAGAACTCATTTTTTAATTTCAGAATTCAAACAAATCATTTCCCATTTTAACTTTAAATCAAAATAACTTAGAAAGCAATGCTTAATTTAAAATGCAATTTCAATTATCGGCCAAAAATCTATTAAAAATAATATTTTATACGCAATTGACAAAGAAAGAAAAATATTGCTTATTACGTCAATTAAATGAATAAATTAATCACTTGTACTCAACACGCGGTTTTACATTACCGGTAATCTCGCGATCACGCTTAATATAAATATTACAGTGAGTCAGCACACGATTAGGAGAAACAGAAAATGATTGAATAACTGACCGTGATTATAGCCAACGTCCTTGATATCGTCAAAGTTGGCGAACTGCAGTGTCTTGTATCTATCAATGGGCGGCCTGATGTACTCGCAATAATCGGAGTTCTTGACCTCTTCGAGTTGCCTGACGCAACTAACATAAGCTAGACGCGATTGTATATCCGGCAAATTCGGCACCTTGACAGGCGTTGCAAAAGGATTCCACCGTTTCCACAACAACCACCAACCGGAGAGGGAATCTCCGTAGTTGGTCAAATCCGTGTCGTCCTGCGATCCAACGTCGATGGCAAGGATATGATGGGCACCTTGTCTCAACATCTCATCAGCTTACGAATGCGACAAAAAGCAAAAAGAAGGTACGGTGAGGCATACGGCTCTTTTTTGGATTTTATTTACTATCAGTTCTATTGAGTTGTGTATAGCGTATAATGAACAATATTGTGACAAAATTTCAGAATGTTTGAAAGGAGTGAATGATATTGGGTTTATAATTAATATTTTTTAGTTGCACTTGCGCAATGCATTATCGAGCAAGCGTGTAAATAAGAAAATCTTTGAACTCCTATTTACGCATTATTTGATTGATTGTAAATACTTGAAAAAATTACAGGAGAATACCATTCTTACGTATGCGTTTTATATCATAGTTTTATATCTTGAGTATATGTGTTAAAACATTTCAAGTTGTTAGTGTATTCAAATGAACGTAAAGTTGAGAACGAGTTTTGAAACGCATTTCGGTGATGTAGTGAAATTTTTGTTCTCGCTTTTCATTGTTTGGTAGGTACTCGTATTGTACTGGATCATGGAAATAAAGACAGAAAAATAATTTGCTCGACAATAAACATTAATTGTCAACTGAACGATTTCGCCGTGTTGGCAAGCTTTATGAAGAGGTTCTTAGACCCGCTAACAAAATGTCGATCCTCGTTTTGTTGATCTTTGCATCCACGATCCGATACAACAAAATTGTTCACATTTTGGTGATAATTAATAGAAATTATCTAGAAGTAAAATAGAGTCAGAAAAGTTTAGTGGCGTATGTTTAGAAAAGAGTAATCAGGATAATTCATACCTGGGACGTTATTAACATAACACCCGTCGACCAAAAGATGCCCGTCATTAGGATCACAAATTGGCGGAAATACACCGGCAAAAGTCATACTGGCGCGTACGTACTTCCAAAGCAAGCCTGATTTAGGCAAACTACATTGTTTATAATACGAAGACAAAAAAGGGTGTGCATCTTTTTATCAACGGGAGCGAGCTTTTCAACAAACCGCACTAAAAGGCATGAAGTATTTTCAAAGTAATTTTAATATAATAAATTATTGAAACTTTATAAATTTGACAACTCATTATAAAAAGCTATATCAAATTTAATACTTCGTATCTATGCAAATCAAAAAAAGGTAAATTAAATCTGAATCCATACTCCTAGCCGTTAGTGAGGGACTTTGGGATTGTTCAATAGCGCGAAACTGCTGTAATTTTTTACGCCAATTTTCTTTTCTGATTGTCTAATAAATTGTGCTATGTTGTTTTGGACAAACTATCAATTTTTTTTCACGCGCGTACTGAAACAATCCGCCAAATGAAAATGGCAATATGTTTTGTACATCATTTGATTCTTTATCGAATTTTCATACTATAAATAAACTTTTTTCCAACAATCAAACTTCAGATAAACCCAAGTTGAATAAAATTATGGATTACAAGCATCGTCATGATTAACTAGCAAGAATTTGGTAAAAAAGTAGTAGTTAGTAAAGATAATACAATGCAACTTATTCATAAACAATAAATACTTTAGAAAAATAATACATTACAAAATAACGATACATAACAAAATAAGCATAAAGCGACAAGCATTAAGCTCTCGGTATGTTGTACAAGTCAAATTACCTGGAAGGTTATTGACGTACCCGCCGTCGAGAAGAAGGTGGCCATCGGTTGGGTCGCACATAGGAGGCATATAACCGGACAACGACATCGATCCACGAACGTACCGCCAAAGCGATCCTAAACACGTCGACATATTTTTTTTCATTAGCTCATAATTTTTACTTTGCAAATTGTCAATAAATACGACGTTTTTTGGATTTAAACCCACGATTCTCTTCCTACTACACTAATTAGCACTCAAATACTATAAACTTTGATTTTTTTGACGTGTATTCAAAAAGTGAATAAGAAAATATCTGAATTTTTCTTTTCACAAGGTAGATCGAACAAAAATTTATTATTTGCCTCCCCACTTCATGAGACTGAACCAGAGACACAAAACGGAGAGTACGTCAATAACTTTTTTGTTCACACAGCTCACTCCCGCTAATTAAGCAATCTAAGTTTTAAAAAAATGCATCTACAAACTAGTGCAAGTCTAATATAAATGAAAAGAAATAAAATTATATGTAAAAAAACGTGGGTATTAAATTTGTCTGTATATCTTTGATATAATGGTAATCTTGTTTTGTTTGCGCGATGTTTGTATGATTTGAGAATAAAAAAAGATCAAAGCATTTGCGAACAAACAATTTGCGTACAGACCGTGTGTGTGAACGCGCATACAAGAAGCAGTAATGTCAGTTGTTATCGTGAAATAGGGAAGCCACAAGTCCTCGATATACACATCTCCCAAAGTGCTTTGGATTGTATTATTGAAATCTTTGCCGGAAAACATTGAAGTCATTGGATATGTTAAATCCAATATTTGCCTCCACCACTGTGTCATTTTCTGCAGTAAATAGTTAAACATTTTAGGATATTCACACAACTTATTTTGTTTTTATCTAATTTCGACATAAAAAAGTTCAATTATTTTACATCAGATCAGATTATAAAAAAGATCATAGTGTGGTAAAAAAAAAACAAAAGCAAAAAAGAAAAAAAAAACAAAATAAAAACGAACAGAATTTTAGAAAAAAAACAAGTTATTCGAGAATTACTATACCTTGGACCATTCGCGAGCTTTCTGTGTAGTAGTAGTGATGTTTTTTTCCATACACCAAAGGGCACCCATGAATGCCCCTATACTGACTCCACCTACCATGTCAATAGGTATACCAGCTTCGATGATAGCTTTGAGCATACCCACGTGTGCTGCTCCTCTAGCTCCACCGCCACCAAGGACTAGACCTACTGAAGTACCTGTTAACCAACGTGCTAGCCTGCTAAAGTCGCTATGCACGTTTGGTTCTGACATGAGTACCTTTGAATATAGTTCATTCTAAAAAAACAACATATAAAATAGTTTCAGAAAAATTATATAACGAAAATATACACAATGTACAATACTATTAAAGATACTTACGATTCGGTACTGTGACTTTCTCGTAAACATGCGTTTGGGACACTGTATGTGGTGATGACTAGAAATCCAGGAACGCATATTCAGCCACTGGACAGTATTGGTAGGTCTTTGTCCGCTTTGTTCTTTGTGAAGAAGTACTAACTCTTTCTGCGTACGCATTGCCAGGCGTTCGACTTCACGTTCTGTGCGGCCAATCGAAGGCGGTCGATCGCCTAAGCCAATGATGAGAATACAATCAGCTTGCCGAACACAACGCTGCGTCCACAAAGTGTAAGTCGAGTCGCATTGATACAACGAGATACGATGTTGATCTTCTTGTTGCGCGAGCCAAGATGTCAGACGGTATTCGTTCATTGGCTCCATTATTGATGTACCAAGTGTCTGTTAAATTTATTCATATATCTTAATATTTACTATCTATTCTTATATTTTTATGATGAAATGCTAATAAAATCTTACTTTTCGGATTACATCAGAAGTTAGACGTAAGCAAGGCCCGATGGCACACAGAGAATGGTACAGTTCATAGGTGAATGCTGTCAAAGGAACATCATCCGAAACTGGGACAATCGCTACTGTCGAAAAATTGACTTGCGACGGTCGTGAATCGACAGCTGTTTGTCTGAAATTTAATTTTAAGAACAGCATGAACTCATCGTTATAAAGATTATCGTGATTTTGGAAACGTTTGTACCTTGACTCGCGAGATCCATTATTTGACGGCCCCTGTTTCCAAGTGCCAAGCAAACGATGACCAAGTAATCTAATTAGTCTAGTAACAACGATGGGATATCGGAGTTTGATGACATTAAAAAGGCCCTCAGGAAGTTTCGCCAACTCAGAATCTCGCACTGCCATTACAGTTGTCGATCTTGGAGTCTGCGTAACCATCTCGACGATTCCAACTAAATCTCCTTTACCGTATTCGGCGACCAGTTCCTTCTTTCCATTTTCATACGTAATCACTGATCGCAAACGACCACTTAGAACGATAAATGTTGAGTCCGAATCATCGCCTTGACGATAAACAGCTCTTCCACTTTCAAGGAATAGCCAGTCCAAAGCAAAGTCGACCTGTAAGCCATCTACTTGGTAACAAATCCCAATATACATCATATAAATATTAACGCATTTGCTGCGATGGTCTTTTCGGCTGAATTTAAAAATATCAATCAGTGAATATTTAATATAATTAAAAAATAAAAATGAAGCAATATTCTGTAGACATTCACCTTAGTTACAAGCTTTCAATTGTCATTAAATTTGGATCAAAATTATGAAAACTTGACACATATATGTGTTATGCCGCACATGGTATTAGTCAATATTGAATATATATGTATCACACTGCAGAAAATGAGTTAAAATAACGTTATAAACTATACCTGTCTGACAAATGGGCTCAAACGCTTAACAACGGTTTTTGCAACGTGTAACACAACAGTAGGTTTCTCTCGCATAATTGTAAAAAATGTCGATTTACTAAGCAAAGCTATGCGACTCGAATGCTTTGCCCTGATTGTATAAAACGACGGCTCGCCTGTCAACACGGCCAATCCACCAACGATTTCTCCTTGATGAGCGCTAAACATATGTACATCCTGACCTCCATCGCGCCCTTCAGGACCTCGTTGACTGACCATCAGTGATCCAGATACAACATACACCAAAGCTACATCCTAGAAAAATAATTAAAGAGATGATTTTTAAAATTTTGGACGTACATGAATTTTGTTATTATTATCATTATTATTTACTTTAGTAAATAAATATTTTCCGTTATTTGTATTATTGTTTGCTATTACTAAAACTTAATTTCGCAATAAATAAAAATATCATCAAATCACGTTATCTTTGTGAAATCTGTTTGGTTTTTAGAATATCGGTAGCTAGTTAAATACGTATGATGTGCACTTTATGAATAATTGATGTCAACAAAGCTAGTATAAATAAAACTGTTCAAAATGTATATCGTAACTGTCTACAAATTATTTACCGAAACATTTCAAACGTTTAAATAATATTACCGACATAGATAAAGAAATCAAATGTTAAGTGAAAAAGTACGAACCTTATGAGACTCTTCTTTCATGAGGTAAGTACCAGCGGGTACTTCACGAATGTGTACTTTGCCATCTTTGAGAAGAGAATCATTCTCAAGACCCAACTCTTTGACAAAAGCATCAGTAGCGATTTGAACTATCTGAGCTTCATCCATTGGCTGCTGCAAACCCTCATTCTTCGAGTGCTTACGACTTGCGCTGCCAGAGTGTGTCTCAACAACTCCGATCCCACCGCCGTCTGAAAAATCCTCTGGATGTGAAGATTGTTGATTCGATGTAACGGAATGAGGCCAGTGCGAGTCGCTCTCAGGTACCATGTCAGGTGTATGTTGGCTAAGCTGACTCAACTGTGAACCTGAGTTTGGTGTTTTCCATTCCAGATTGGTTTTAGATCTATCAGTAATATTGTGAATTCAAAATATTGTAATAAGAATAAAAAATAAAATAACTAAATATTTTAATCAAGGGAATTCTATGAAATACCTGCGACTCGACATAATTGGTACAGGCTGGGATGAATTGCCACTTAATTCTTTCTGAGAAACGTCGATTTGCAATGGATCAGCAACTCCCGAGTATGAATTGATGAAGTGGTCTGAAACAGGTACAGCAAAGTTCTCGCGTGTTCGGGATCTAACTGGTGAGCCGGAGACCGAGCTGTGCTTTTTCTTGTGTGCACTCGGATTTACTAGTTCTGCTGAGAGTCCCAAATATTGATGAAGTGCTGTAAATGTTACACGTTGCAAACGAACCATAATGACCTGGATAACTCGAACGAACGCATCAGGATGATCTTGAAAAACCTAAAAAGTTTTGATGATTTATTTATTAATTTTTTTTTACATAACAAGAAAAATAAATCGGATAAAATATGTTTGCTATTTAAAACATATTTTTAAATTAGAATCAATATATTTTCTTCTGTGAGGTTTCTATTTAATAATACAATCAAGTAAATTTCCAGGTGAATCATGAAAAAGATAACATCGCGCTGTTTACGTCATGACTTTGCAAAATTTCAAGTGTATCACGTGAATTATGAAAACAGAGTATTTTTTTAATTGTATAAATTAATTATAAAAATACTAGAATCTCTCTTATAACTTCTACAGTATCTAATTTTCAATATAATCATTGACTTACTTCTTGAAAGGCGCTCATTGGTAATTTAACAACTACAGAATCTTCCACAGCCCTTGCAGCTACTGTTTTGTAAGTGCTTGTATGACCAGTTAATACATCGGTAAAACTTAATAGACTAGTAACAGATTCTCCTGTTTTTACTAGCTTTAGAGAGATCTGAGACCCATCAGACCCTGTTATATAAACATTAACTAAACCTTGTTGAACTATAAATACATTTTCATCAGGATCCCCAATTTTAAACAAAGGAGTTCCTGCTGGCAAATTCATTATTTCTGTATGTTTACACAACTTAAGAAAAACTGGCTTATCAAAATGTCCAAACACTCTAATGCTTTGTAAAATATAAAGAGCATCTGGCGGTACTCTATCACCAGGACCAACATCTTCCTCAAGGTATTCTGCTGGAGGCTCCAATACTTTCAACTGCTGTGGAGTATTTTCTTTTTTCAATTGCAAAAGTCTTCTAGCAAACCGCATGACAGCCCTTCTTTTTTGTCCTCGACCTGTGCCACCTGGTACTTGGCCACCTATAGATTTGACTTTCCTCAGCATCTTCCTTCCATAAAACAATACTTTGTCTCGTTTTCTGAACCTTGGTCTGCCTGTGCCTACACCTACAAACTCTTTGACTTGAGGCAGAAGTTCCTTTGTTTTCCATTTCCTCAGTACATAAACTGATATAACTAAGATTGTCAGCAAAATACCAACAGACACTGCTAACAATGTCTTTGAAGTTTGATACTCTACAATTAAATATTCTATCCATCTTGAAAATGCATAAGAGCCAAAACTGTCATTAAACTTATTTATCAGTTCCACAACCTGCAAGTTAAGTGTTTGATTACTAGAAGCTTTCTTATATAACTGAAATAACAGAACCACATACGAAAATTAATAAAAAACAAACTTAGAAATTATCTTACAATAATAGGAAATCATCATATAAAGCTTATAAGCTTGGATAATTATGTCTGTTTTAAACTTTTGTTAAAAAATTATTGATCAATGAACTATTTGTTATAGCATTTACTTGTTTTAAATAATTTTATATAACAAATCTAATATATATAATTAGGTTGCCATTACTTTGAAAATTTATACTATTACTGATAAATATATCACTATTAATAGAATGAACAAAATCCAAGCGATAAATGTAGTAACCTGTTATAAAAAAATAAAAATTGCTTAACTACCTTCATAACTATCTAAGCTTTTGAACCAATGATTGAAGTCAATCATGAAGAATTACCAAGCCGCTCAAGTTATTTAATAAGTCAAAGCAAAGAGAAGTTATCCAATGTATAAAAAAGACACAAGCACAGGTTGATTGAACTTTGATTAAAGTCTATTTAAAGGGTATCCACGAACATAAGATCGAGAAAGAGGGGGCTTATCAGCAACAAAACTCGATATAATCCAGAACATACTTTCACTATTATTGCCTAACTCTATACGCAATCGTTTGGCTGACGGACGTACGACGGCAAGAGGAGAACGAAAACGAAAACAAGTAAATAAATAAGGTGAAGGCAAACACACTCACACACAAGCAAACAAATACATGTTAAAACGTACAAACCTCCATCATGGACATTCATGTCTTCGTGTGTTGCTCCGACGATTCGTTGATAAATCCCAAGAATACGCACTCCGGCAAATTTCGGAGCAGAAATGTACGTTTAAACGACGATTACCGGTGATTAACAGATGATCACCTTTACATTAGTGGCTATGAATATATCTTATATGAAAACAGAAAGCGTACACTTCACTCACTGACGGCGGCTCGCGACCGTCTGCTACTCTCCTCTCTTTGCGGCTGATTGGGAATACAACGAGAAGAGGAGTGTAGGAGAACGACGAGAAGTTGTGGAATGCTGCAGAGCGCACCGCGACCTTTGATACTTCGTTCAAGTCATCCAGCGCCATTTTACTGTTGAGACTCGATTCGACGTCTCTATGCGCTCATAATCGCATAACAATATATATATGTTCACTTCATTTAACTATCGTGCACATATATCTCACGTACACATGTCAAGATGCATGCGCGGAAAGCGTACTGTGTATACGTGCGAAAGCACATACCGATATGTTCTGCTGCTTGCTTGTGTACTTGCGCCAGAAACATGACAGTTATCTACTGCTTGTGCTTGTTTATATTTTCTTTTAGAACCGTTTATAATTACGGATGAAAAAATTCGATTCGAATCTCTTATTCATGCCTGTATGTTACAGTTGACTTATTTTATTTCTATTCTAGTTCAAGTCAATTTAGTTAAAATCAGATGAAAATGAAAATTGAGTTGAAGTTGACTTTTTAATTAGAAAATGAGGAAGATTAATCACGATATCATGGCTATAGTGACTACCCCGGAATCACTTGGTTGAATATAATACATAATGCGCTATAAACACTAATTAATATTTTATTTGAACAAAAGCTTTCTTAATTGTTTTAAATTGATACTTTTTGTATTATTTATGCAATAGCTCAACAAATAATTTATAAATAGAAACAACATCAAAAAGATTTATGTTAATCAAACCTGTATCAATGATAGCATTGGTGTTTATGCAATTTCCTGTTGTGAATAAACAGTACAATATGTAACTTCAAGAAATGCAAGTTTTTAAACAAGAAATTTACTAAATATAAAATCTTTAAATTAAGACAAAGTAGATAGACGTAAAACCTATTCTTATCTGCAAAAGAACAAGTCAAATAAATCAGACAAGTTTCAATTTGAGTTTTATATTTAAAAACGTTTGTCAAGTAGTATTTTAGAATTAAAATAATAGGATTGTAAAATGCATAATGGGCTATATGTGTCTATGCCTGATGCATAGATGAAAAATGACTCAGAAATTAAAAAAAATTAATTTATCTTTTTATTTCTAACGTGTAAAGGAATAATAAAATCTTTACAATCATGATTTAAATTGTTTGAATTTAGATAGCAACTAAACTTATCCAAATATTGTAATGAATACATAAACTTTTGCAGAGAATGTATCATTGTTTATAAGTAACTAAATATTTTAATGCATTTGTTTAATTGAAATACTGCAAAATACCCTGTTCTTATAAATCAATATATATTATTGGAAAACCTTTTAAAGTCAACTCATCACTGTAAATATAACATATTAAATTAAATACATCATGTAATTAATTCAATTGTATAAATTACTTTACAATATATTTTACCTCTTCACAAGAATGTGCATATATAAGGTCAGTTTTGAATTCATTAGTAATTTCCAAAATTTCATAAAATACTATGGATGACAAGAATATATCAAGAGTTGCTGGGAGTAACTATCAATAAAGATTACAAATTTACTCAATCACCTTTTTATAAACTATTCATTTATTAAGTACTATACAGCCAACTTTTTGCTCTAATATTGCCAAATTATGCTCTAATATATGTTATTAAAACAAATAACAATCAATTAACTTATTTCAATACCCTAGTCAATAATGAAACAGAATTTTTAATCGTTAATATATTTGCTGCTACAGTAAAATAAACAATTTTTTCCTGCACAGAACTGGAAATTATAAAAATTTGGAATGCAATTGAATATAATTCATTTATTTACAAACCAAAATCAAAGAGTCTACTTGTTTAAAACATCTCATTAAACAAGAAAAATAACAATAAATTATTTAAATATTACAAGGACTTAAAATAATGGATCATATTGAACTTGGTCAAGATAAAAAATGATCCATATAGGATTATACTATAGTGAAAATATCAATAATAAAAAATAATATTTTAACACATCATAAACAAATTTATACGAAGTCTTTCAGATAAACAATAAGATACTTACTTAAATACTTGTAAGAAAGTTCCTGGAACTACACGACAATTAAGTCTTATTTGCATGTATTTTCCAGTAGCAAAAATAACATTTTTAATGTAATGTGCAATTTTTGTGATTCACAAAGCTATCAAAACTTGTGTGTTATTCAACATTGTGTTTAAAGATTATAATACAGATATAGACAGTGCTGCTTATAGTACAAGATAGGCTGAATTTGGACAATATATTTCTCACTTTCATAATTGCTATTGTAGAACGTTTGATGACTCATGGTTTTACAAAACCTATAAGAAACACATTACATTTGTATTTCTCAAAATTGATACAAATAAATGTTACGAATTATATTACAGAAAAATTATTTGAAATAAATACAATTTTTCTTTCGTTTAAGTCATATTGCAATGAAATATTCATAGAACCTGTACAAAATTTTCATATCATTTATGTATATACACTATGTTATAATTCTACTTGAATGCAAACAATCATATTTATTTGTCTGACTCTTTGACTATCAATGATAACGTAATATAATCTGCATTGTTTATTTCAAAGAAGGTTAAATTAGTCGTAATAAATTTATACATATATGTGTGTATGTGTATACATCGCATGCACAAATGCTTCATTCCTTATAAGGGCTCATGTTATTGAAAATAGGAATGATTTAAATATGTTTGTTTGAAAATCGAGATTTAACGAATATTCATCGTCTTGGAGCTTGCGGCTCGGCCATCGCGCTATACCCACCCAATATATATTCTACGATTTTCTGTCGTGTCAATTTCGGTTTATAACCAGTAGTCAGTACGTAGTGGCTGCGTCCACATTGTGGATGCAATCGCAGTGCACCCCGCCTTTTCCTTTGGCGCTCCTTGTAGGCAAGAAAGTAGCTAGATTATATCTGTCCGTCTCTGTCGCGCTCGTGAGCGCGGCTAAACTGCACCGTGACTGCGCTATCACAAACAGGCAGAGCAGACCAGGCAGTGCAGGCAAGCACAGGCGGCATTAGCAGCAGGTAGACGTGAGCCGGTGAAAGAGCAAGGCGTTGTCGTGCGCCTCCTCGTCACCACGCACTGGCTCACGATGAGTTTATTCTTTTCTTTTTTTTTACCAATCCCGTTTGCACACACGTATACACGACGCCGTAAGTGAAGGAGAGAGAAAGAACATTTATAAATATAGTCGCCCCTTTGTTCGCGAGCTCTTTTAGGCTAAGGCAAGAAGGAGAAAGAGAGAGAGTGAGCGACTATGCGAACGATCATATAAGTTGCTGGGGTAGAACGGTCAACATGAGTAAGGACGGCGAGCAGTTACTCCAGTGTCTAACTGTCTACTCTCGCACATCCTCTTCTCCAACAGTGTCAGCTGATCAATGGATTACGTTCGTTTCACACTAACCACGATAATCAGTAAGTTCTTATTATCCTTTATTTTTACTATCACTATTCTTATCCCTTTTATTCCATATATCAACTTATTCCATCCCAAGTGCTGCTCTTTATACACTTCCGTTGCTTCGAAATATTATAACCAAAGTCGTAGTATTTTTTGGCTTTTATGTCTTTTTCCAGTTTATTTTAATGTATGAAGTGTTGGAAATAGGTACTGATAAAATATTTAGACCACAAGAGATTGTCACGACATGAATCTTATATTTAATTTCGCAGCTAAGTTTCTAAAATAATGCAATTTTAATTTTGATTGCTTTGATGGTTATCTTGAAACAGTATTTGTAAACAATGTTTTTAAGAGTTGATGTTCACTTATTTTATTAAACGTACGTGTATAGTAATCATTCAAATTTTCATTTGTCAATTCCTTGAGCTCCTAACTTTTATTTATCAATAAATCAACACATTTTCCTTTAAGAATATTAAAAAAAGTTGTTGTTTCTTACAAGCCTGGAAAATATAAGTTCACTCAACAAGGCTGTACAATAGCAATACAGAAAATGGGTAACAAAACAAGTTGTTGCTCATATACTAGTCCACAACTTGGACAAAAAGATTTATCAGGTGATGGTGGTGTGAGGAGTATTGAGGAACGTCTTCCTGAAGGTGATATCAGTATCAATAATCTTCAGCACATTAGTGAAAGAGAACCTGAAGATTGGGATTGTGATCCGTCGATACATCCATCTGCAGGCACTATTTTTATGGAACGTTCTAAACAAGCAATTGAAAGTATGTAAATTTGAAAAAATGAAAATGAACATTTTTATTATTCTTTTGTTTATTGACATCTGTTCTTTTCTTTCTTGTTTCATAGATGGGTTAACAAGGAAAAAAAGTCAATACCAAATAGCAGATACCAGGCCACTCAAAAAGAGCAGCAGTTGTAGTACTATATATCTAGATGACAGTACTGTTTCACAACCTAATTTAAAAAATACTGTGAAATGTGTAGCTCTAGCTGTATATTATAACATTAAAAATAGAACATCTAATAGACAAATTGATATATTTGATGAAAAATTGCATCCGCTAACTGTAAGTACTTTAATTATATATATTATCTGTTGGCTTGTTAATACTTATGCACTAAGTTGTATTATTCAAATTTTTAGCGTGATGGCGTGGCAGAAGATTATGATAGACATAATCCAGAGCATAAACAAATTTATAAATTTGTCAGAACCCTTTTTAATGCTGCGCAACTCACAGCTGAATGTGCCATTATAACACTAGTGTATCTCGAACGCCTACTTACATATGCTGAGATAGATATAACACCAGCAAATTGGAAAAGAATAGTACTTGGTGCGATACTATTAGCTTCAAAAGTATGGGATGACCAGGCTGTGTGGAATGTTGATTATTGTCAGATCTTAAAAGATATCACGGTAGAAGATATGTAAGTATTTTCATTATTTTAATTTCATTCATAACTAAAGTCAATGTGCTCATGATTGTAAAAACATCAGCACTCATCAACAAATTTTTTCAGGAATGAACTCGAAAGACAATTTCTGGAGATGCTTCAATTTAATATAAATGTTCCTTCAAGTGTATATGCCAAATACTATTTTGACTTACGCACGCTTGCCGAAGCAAATGAATTAACATTCCCTAGTGAGCCTTTAAGTAAAGAAAAAGCTCAAAAGCTTGAGGCAATGTCGAGAGTTTATGAAGACAAAGTTACGGCCGACGTTTTACGAAATGGTATTAAAAAATGGTCTAGTTTAGACAATGTATGCTTAGGTGGACCCAGGCGGAGTATAGCTATTTTGTCTTAAAAAAACTACTTTTCGCGACTGTAAGCATTGCTTTCGTGATCTTATGAAAAGTATACTTACAATATCGATCGTCTGAAATGATCATTAGATATTCGTTATGACTGTGAGAGTAATGTAATCAAATTTTTTATACAGCGGGATTTTTTAAGATCTTTAATAATAATACTGCGTGCTTTGTTTTACATAAAGCTGCTACATTTTAAGTAATATTTACTTTGCATTTGGGAACTGCATAACATAAAGTTTATTAATAGTTTGAACACTTTTTAAAATGATTATTTTGTATCTTTTTATAAATCCAGTTACATTATTGATTATTTTGCTCGAATCACGCATTAAAAAATTGTAAATAAGAAGAAATCGATTTATACAAGTTTTACAGTACATTAATACAATATTTAGTAACACTCGTGCATGTGTATCAAAAAGTATTTAGTTCTTGCAATTCATGTAAGATAGTTTGGGAGCAAATATCTTTTGTGATGTGAAATCAAACAAAATTAAGTGCGACGAAAATAATACAAGAATAATATTATTATTGAATTTTTTACAAATACTTACATTTTTTGTAGAAGGTTGTAACATTTGTTTAAGTTTGTGGTGTCTTTATATTTTTTAAATTTATTCATTTCAATTTTCATTTTTTCTTTCCTTTCTAAATTAAAAATGAAAATTGTTCGTATAGTTACGTTTTCTTTATAATAATTGGCGCTAGTTCCGTTAAAGTATTTATTGTTTCTATTAGCTAAAATTATTAAATGTACGAAACTAACCAATTTCATTACTTAAATAGATTTTAGAAGCATAACATAATATTTTACGAATCTAGATTTGTAACTTATTTGCATATTCTATCACATCACAGTAGAAGACAAAAATGTAACACGTAGATGAATTTAATTCAAATTTAGGGTAATTCAAAATTAAACTTTTATTTGTGTATACTTAAGCAACTGCACAGTTTCGTTTATGCGAATATACCAACTAAGCAATTCAATGCTAACTAAATAAAAAATCAAATTTTTTACAATGATAGTTTTGAAGAATTAAAGAAAGTAACAACAATATCAAAATTGCTATATTGCTCGACACTTTTTTCAATAGTTCAGCCTCTCCAAATATTTAAAAAAACTTCGCGTGTTTCTTATTTTTTACATTTTTTTATTTAATCCTCATTCTTGAAAGTAAGAGAAAGCCACCTGATAATGAAAGTGGGAAAAAATAGACAAATTTATCAGACGCCAAGAAAATAAAGTATGATGTAAAAACATCCAACTGAATATATAAGATGGTTTTTTAGATAATTAGAAATACTTGCAGAATATTGCATGCATAAATCTATTTTTTATATAATAAAATAGGAAACGAATATTAAGACAATCTAGTGTCCCATTTGCGTCCTGCATTTTAAATGCCATTTAAAACTAATAACTTAGGTTGTTTGCAATAATGCACGCTATTAATTTGAATAATAAGATTTGATTTAATAATGAAATGCTGTGCAAAAGATATTTTATAAAAATTCATAATCTTTTCACGAATAATAATTTTGTATAATCAACGATGCTTGCTAATAAATTGGTCTGCTATCATAGAATAATAGTTCCTCGGATTGCATTTCGTTATAATTCACAGTGATATACATGCGAAGTATCAAGAATTATTTCATCTAATCAAAACCAGTATATTTTTTCAAATAATACTATACTGACTATTTTTACATTTGCTATTTTTTCACATCAAATTAATTTATCGAGTGCATTGTTGTGGAAGCCTGCCTTAAAATTTGTAATCGATTGCACGAATTCCAATGTATTTGTTACCTTACATAAATTCGAACGAGATTAATATTTACTATTTAATTTATTAAAATTTCTTCCGCGATGTCTTGCTATAGTTCTAAAATGGTGTAAAAATGGTGCATTTTTTGATAGTATACATGGTGAAATGTAAGCTTTCACTATGATCATTGTTGTAGATAGCTTATGTATACGTTTACATTTTTTTAAATGTTAAATGCAATTTTTGTGAGCTTTAAAAGACTAGTATTTCTGCCACTATCAGAAAGTTTTAATTTTTAAAATAGAAAGAGTGAAGGAAGCATGCCGTTTGCGACGAACGGTACCCTTTGCGCTTTTTGTACGTTTGGTTTAATTGTAGAAAATTATGTTTGTACATATGAAAACTAATTTTTTTATAATTTTTAAATGCTAGGAAAAAAATATTTATTATTGTATAAAAATAATGAATGTGGTATCTAACATTTTGAATCGAAATATTATTTGTTACTACATTTTCACGTACTGCGAAGTGAATCGTAAATGATTCGATATAAAAATCATTATTAATTGAATAATTACCGTTACGATTATAAATGTAGTACTTAACTGTTATTAAAATTGGAATATTATGGAAAATTAATAAATGAATGAGATGCTACAATTTTTAGAGTAACTATGCGTTCAAAGTTAGCTATTCAATTTTTTAGAGAGTGTTCAATGATGTATTAGACTGTACAAAGCAAATTTGTCCACACATTATGTAAAATAATTATGGCTTTTTTACAAGAGTATATTTTACATTACACAATGTTAATTGTAAATAGAATATGTTGGGGCCAAACACTTTTTGTATAAATAGGGCCGTGTATTTCGACTCCGTGTTTGATGAAGAGAAAATCCAATAAAGAATGCACATTTTTTATATTAAGCTGCTTCGAACGTCCACGCAAATATTTTTTGTAAATAAGCAAATCTATACTTTTAACAATTCTTGTAATATTATAAAAAATTACAGTAGATAAAATAGAACAAGATGGTAGACTTGGAATGTAGACTACTTGGTCGTCATTCATCTGTAGAATATCGTATTTTGGAATTTATCAAGTTTATATCATTGACTACACAAAACATTTACATCTATTACAACTAGCAGGCAAAATGAATTGGGTTTGTATCGGACAGATACCGATTTTATACGAATATTTAAATTTTGTTTATTTAACACGATGTTTTTTCAATTCAACAGAAAATATATAATAGTACCTATTTATTAATAAAAAGAAATTATTATTGAACATAAACTTCCTATAGAAAATTTAATTAGAAAATAATTGGCATAATACATTAGAGAGCACTATATTAAAGAAATTAAATTAAAAAATTATTGTAGAATCAGTATCTATACGAAACAAGGCCGGTCGTAAAATGTCATTAAATTTATCGCTATTTATTCAATTAGTAAGTAGCTTTTCTTAGGAGTCTACGAATTATTTCAATACATGGTGCTATATTTATTGTAAAAGTGTAAATGTTTGTTATAGTCTTCCTACGTAGGTCTATTTATTAAGTCATGTAATTAATCTTGTCATAAAATAAAATTTTTTTACGAAATACTCTTCGAATTTTTTTTAAATTTGTTCTCGAATGGAATGTATGCGTTTATTTAAATACACGGAGACGACGTCGATTCGATCCGCCTACACACTGCTATATTTCAGACTTTCACAGGCAGATTGTCTGAAATTGTGTGCGCAGTGTTTAGCAAACTTTAGAGACTGATCATGATTACTATACATCGATTGTGTCTTTAAAATACTCCAGATATTAAAATTAATATCTTGTCCCATCGATTCGATTTTGCATTGTTGCATTTATTGTAACGGGAAGTCGTATTAAAAAAAAATGTAAAACTATCTAATAAATTATTTACAAAAAAATAAATAATTGAATTCCTTTCACCTCTTCTGATATCATTCAATTACTTCATTATTTTATAATATATTCAAATAAAAATAGCATCTTGCTTCAGAAAAAGAATCGATAAGTTAAATTTTCTTTTTCTTAGTCAGAATAAGACGTGTCAGCATATCGTATAGCTACTAAGTTGTAAACAATGTAGATTGTTGGACAATTTTAAAATGTTCCAAAATTTAAAAACTGTTGAAATGTGTCAAAATAATGTAAATTTTTACTCAGTTGATACCTATAATGCCGTAAAAATAATACAGTACCGACCGACAAAATTTGTTATAAAGATAAGCATGGCTATCCCATAATAGGCAACACAGGGATGAAAAAAATGACGCCAGGAAAAGAAAATACCTAACGACAGAGGAGCCGGTGGCACGGTAGCTGGCGGTCACACGCCCGCGCTTTTTCAGTACCCACTACTCAGCCCCATTCATTAACAACACTATGTGCATCTAGCTGCCGCATAGCGGCGCTAGTGGACCATTTACTTAGCGACATAGAAAATCACGAAGCATCTGCAATCTGCATTCTGCAATATCTGCCATACAGAATGAAAACGCAGATCGAGCTGGCGCAGGCATAGTATATAGTCTGTACATTGGGCTCGCCGCTCGGGTGTATTTTCGCGTAAAAAGCTTGTTGTCTGTACATCGGCACACGTAATTTTGCACGCAAACACTGGTAACAGGCGACTGCGCACACATGACGCTCATTCGTTTGGCTCTGCGAGCAGAGCAGCGGTATCGTAGTAGGTTGTAGTAGCACGACGGTGACGACGAGCAGGAAGATAAAAAAGGGGGGTAATCTTGTGATGAGTGTACGATGACGATAAGGAGTAGCGTTCATTGAATGTGTATATTCGCGTGGATCAGTTTAACGCTGCTCCAAAGGACGACGTTAACCTTTCGGACCATCCAGGTCGAGATAATAAACAGGTGAGAGAGCCTAGCATAACAGAGCAGACATTTTTTCGTTATGTCGACGTTGGGAGGGAAGAGAAGATTTTCGCGCTCTCGCGGGAAAACACCTCAGTAATATACGTCTATGGAGGCAATGAAGAGTCGTTGCCTCAGCCTCTTACTCCTCGTAGTAGTCGTAGTGATACGACGCCTCTTCAGTATGATCATTTGGCCCTCTCCTCTGCGTTTCTCGCTCTCCACTCGTCTCTCTTTTTTCATCTTTTCTTTCCAAATGTTGAGTGCAAACCCTCTAGTGTGAACGTTTATAACGTGTATACATTATACAATAGATTGCTCATTCTCCTTCTATTGCACACTGTTGTATGCTTGAGAGTGGGCATATACACTTTATGAAAAGTCAGATTTATTTTTACTGGCTGTTACAACATGGCCTCGTAACACTGGACAGACAAGAGAGTATCGTTCGATTTTTTCGCCAGGTACCTACTTGTTCTACGGTGCTTTGTCTCAGTCATCGCGTTTCAACGGAAATGGAACTGTCTCTAACTCAGGTACACAGTTGTTGATAAATCTATCAACATATTTTATGCTACTACTACCGAGCAATTTATTACGTGATCATTATTATTCGTACTTCGTAAATAGTTTCAATATTGTATTTCATGTAAAAAAGAGTAATTTTTCTGCTGATTCTGAAAATTACAATATCACATAATTATATTTTCTAAATTATTTTTATAAGAAACTATGTTTGGTTGTATCCATTTTTCCTCTTGAGCGAGGTAAAATTTGATTGTCGTGTATTCTCCGTATTAACTACCAACTCCGTGTTTTTTCTATTGCAAATTAGATCGAAATCACAATTCAATCATGAAAATTGTTCTTTTTAGCTTTATGGCCTGACCATAAATATGTAAATAATCGACGTTTTGCTATTTTTACATTCACAGGCTATAAAAAGTGGAGTTTAATAGCTATATTTAGTTGAGAAGTTGGTTTTCTTTTTTAAACACTCAAACTTTATTGTAATTAAATTGGCTGCCATTTATGATTGTTTATCAGAAATTTTACCTACACAAATCCTACTATTCAAGAATTTTGGGGTTATTTAAAAATATTTATTATTTAGATATTCAAATATTATGTAGCCATTATTTTCAATGCAAATAAATACTACTTGTTTATAGGATCATTGAGAATCTAATATAAATCAAGATAAATGGGTAAAATAAGAAATAAACCCAACCTGTATCATAACAGTCAATCACAAAATATCCTCCGTAATTTGATGCTACGTGATTGTGGACTTCGCACAACTCACAAAAGTAGCACAAAGGAATTTGAACCTCTTGCAGAAGAAAATTTTATTGGTAAAGCATTCAAAGAATTGGTATGATGATAACGTGAAATAACATAATTTTTGAATTTATTTAAGTTAATTACTACAGAATTATTATTTCCCAGAAATGCGATCTACCAGGGGTGCCTAAAACTACTTTTTTAATGGTTTTTAGTCCTGATGGGTATGTGATATTAAACTTGATAATGATAGCACAGAACTTAAATAAAACTACATCATTTTAATATATTTTCAGTACAAAAGTTGCATCAACACATGGAAATCATAAAATTTATATCACAGATTTGCCAAGTGGAAAGAACATACAAATTCTTTCTGGCCATCCTCGTACACCATGGTGCATAGCATTTCATCCAAACTCTAATGATATTTTAGCGTCTGGTTGCTTGGGAGGTCAAGTTCGTGTATGGGATCTGAGTGTAAGTTCAAATCATTATTTCACCATAATTGGTTGTTTTTATTTTAGAAAAACAATTGTAAATCAAATATGGATTTTTCAACAACTTTCTATTTTTAGGGAGGCAGTGAAGTTTGGAATTCAAAAAGCCCTATAGCATCAATAGCATTTCATCCGGTACAAAGACTGCTTGCTATAGCTACGTACAATGAAATTCATTTCTGGGACTGGAGTGAATCAGATCCATTTGCAACTGTCACTACAAAAAGTCATAAGGAGAAAGTTCGGTGAGTTCTATTTAAATACATTGAAAATAACTTTCTTACATCGTTTATTCAATAAATTTAAATTAAAACAGATATGTTGCCTTCGATAATTTGGGAAGAAAATTAATAACGGGTATAGCAAACGCAACACATACTTCACAATGGGACAGACCTCCAGTGGAGCATTTAATACGATCTATTCCACTCTCAAGGTAATATCTAATTTGTTTTGAATGTAAAAGTATTGTTATTAATTAATGTATAATTGGGATGTGTGTGGTATAGAGCACCAAGACAAGAGCATGAGTCTGGTCAAAATGATAATACTCCTTCATCTCAGTCAAATAATGGACCGTCATACAATTCATTTCGTCCTGCAAATACTGAGCACGGAAATGAGTCTGATTCAGATTATCAAAACAACTATCAAAATAGAAGATTTCGCTTTCGTAATAATTTTGTGTAAGTAAATATTTATCATTTATGAATCATATAATTATTGTGAATTTTAAAACCGATAAGCTTTGACGTTTTAAATTTTAACAGAGATCGGATACGAGCAATCCGTAATCAATTGTTACATCGTCACAATTTATGGCCTGCTAATAATAATCAAGAGGCTGAACTCGGTAGTTCATACGCGCCTTTTGTCGAGAGGATGTTTGATCAAGATCGTAGCAATAATCCATCGACTTCCGGTGCAAACAACAATAATGCTACTGGCGATGGTAATAGTAATAATGCTAGATTGCGTGTTGCGCCAGTACAACAGCAGCCTTATTCTAATTTTTACGAAACAAGGTCAACGGCGAGTACTAACAACAATCAAAACAACAATAATAACAATAATAGCAGGAATACAAATAGCAATATCAGACCGATGTTGTCAGTATTAAGGATCGAGCCAGTCTTACCGGAAGAAAATAGAAGTAACACACCGCCTCCGAACAATATAAATACCAGCTACGATAATATGCGATTTGCGGAGTCCCGTCGTATAATGAGATCAACAATACGTCAAAGGCGGTTACGCAATCGCTTTGGTTACCAAAGATCTTCCGCAGATATATTAAGGCGTCGAGAAACGACCGATCGAAGTACAGACCCCATGAGTAGAAACCGAGATGCTCCTTCCACCAGCACGAGCAACACCACAAGCAATACATCAGAAACAACAAACAATTATTTTCTAGCTGAAGCCTTTGCGTTGATGTTAAGAAACATTTTGAACTTTAGTGCTCAAGAAACAAATGTCAGCCTTGAAAGACTTCAAAGAAATTTACGACTACTCCGCGAAGAGTCCGGCCAAGTGGTGAATGTGAGATTACACTTTTTATGTGAAGATCTGCACGACACCGAGCAAAATAACAGCATTTGCTTATTGAACCTGTACAAGCTACGCCAGGGTTTGCAGACGCGTATCGGCATGATGACGAATCAAGCTAACCGAAATCCGCGTTTGCAGAGCTTCCTCAATACTGTAAGTCATGAAGTGCAATCTCTCAATAATATGGAGGGACAGCTGATCAACACCAACTATCGCATCGAATCGCTGAGAGAAGAGCTTTCATCTTTCAGAGATGAGATGCGTTTTCGTCAGTCCGTTCAACCATCGAATACTACTCAGATTTTGACAGCTGAAAGAGAAGTCGCGAACGTGCAGTTTCGAGTTCAAGAAGAAAGAGGAACAACGTTGGCTCAAAATGAGGAAACAAGAAGAACAAGCCAAGCAGAAGAATCGGCACCGCGGACGGGTGTTAGACGTCAGTTGGAAATCGATGATAATGACGACAATCAACCATCGGTAACCAGACGCCGACTGGAGAACGACTACGAATATCAACCGAACGGTGGTCCAAGTGAGTTATTTGATCTTTGATTCGCTCCTATTACTACGCGTTCACGTAAATATTTAAAAAATTTTATTTGTAGCCTACAGCTCCCCATCGAGCGACGACAATTGTGTTCCTTACCGTGGTGCATCCGAGTTCTCCGTATCGTCTCACTCGGCCTTTCAGCCAACTCGATCTAGTTCACAGCGTAATAGCGTAAGTCCACGCAGTGAACCGGGACCTTCGTCAAGTCGTGCCGATCTAGCTGTTGCGGGCCCATTGACATCGAGCACTGCGGGTGCTACCAATGGTGTGGATGATTTCAATTCACGCCGAACGTCACGTATCATACGCAGTGCTCAACGTATATCCCAGAGCAATTTCGACATATTTTGGGAGGCATTCCAGCGTTATCTTAATTCAGCAAACATGAACGAGCAGTTACCCAATGAGAGCACGTCTAATGACAACACGGGAGAACAATGGGAAAATGGTTACTGGTTATTGGAAGAGAACAGCAATTCCGACTCGAATCACGATGAGCAAGGGGAGACAAGCAACTCTATGGTCGGACCGAGACGTAGAGCTAGTCGTTGGATCCAACTTGACTCGGTAGGATAAATGTTTTATCAAGATTTTTCCGATTTACTTTATTAGATGTAACAGAATTAAAAGTGATGAATTTTCAATCAAAAGTCTATTTTTAGTTTTCACTCAATGATTCAAGCAGTTTTTTGAATATATTGTTTTATTTAGGGAAATCGCTCAACAAGCGCTTGGGAACCAATTTCATTCCGAGTTCGATCAAATCAAAATACATCAAGCACTGATCAAAATCGACTGTCCCCGATCTCAGCTAATTCGACACGCTACGAGCAACCACCATTGTTTCCATTTCGAAGTCTGCGCGAGACTTTAAACCAGAGGATGGAAATGAATCAAGCAAATGCATTAGCAAGAGCACAAAATTGTGAAACTACTATATCGTCTGGAAACGTAGATCAGTCAATATCAATATCTGATCAAAGTCAAAGTCAGCGAACGGGATATCATGAGAATAGTGTTGATCGATCGACTAACACCGACCTGTCTAGTCTCGTACCTGAAACTTTGAACTGTGTTGATTTAACAGCTTCAACTTTGTCTGCAACGGCAATGTCAAGTACAGCTTTGCCGGAAATAAATACTAGAAGCAACGAGGAATTTCGAGAACTCAGATTGTTAGGTGAATTGATCAAAAAAATTTTTCTAAAAAAGTGCAATTATATGCCTATTTTTCTATTTAGGTCGTCACGTAGTAAACGTCCAACGTCTTTGTCGCATTCGTTTAGAAATTGCTCAACTGCAACATATTCGACGAATGTGGGAGAGACTTCAGTGGCGCATTCGTCATGTTTACTTAACGTTATTTATTAAAGGATATTTTACATTAAATACCAATGTTGAAAGTAAGTTCGATCTTGATATATCAGTGACTATTCTGCTTGAATGCTCCTTTTCATTTGCTAGTGAATTTTTTATTCATTTGTTGTCGTTGCAAATTACACATATTTTGTATATTTCTTTTACAGATTCGAATAGTAGCGATGATGATGATCCGGAACCAAGCACTAGCAGGTATATAGATTTTCTTTTTTAATACTTCACAGTGAATGTGATTCAATAAATTAACTTAAATACTCACAACTACTTAATTATTTCTGAAATCAGGCAAGGAACAAATAGGTCATTAAGATCCACTTCTCAGGCACCAACATCAAATAATGATTTTCAAACGGAAACAGCTCAGAATTTCAGAAAAGCTTTATTGGCAAAATACACAAGACAAAACAATAAAAGTGAGCCTAATCAACCTCAACCGTCCACTTCAGCGGCAACACCGTCCACTAATAATTTGGATCAACCTGGTACCTCACAATCTCAATCCGACGCCAATACTGTTGTTTCGGGTATTTCGAATTTAAAACAAATTTGTACTATCATTCAATTTATAATATCATTAATAATATTTCCGTTCAACAGACTTATCCAAAGCCGTTTTTGAACACCTTAATAAATGGCTGACAAGATGTTCAAATGAAAATTTGATTTGGGAAACGCAGAATCGGAGTAAAAGGCCACAAAGACCAACTAGTGATCATACTTATTCGAGTGTATCTGGCGAAGGCAGTGGCAATTCTAACGCTCCTATCATGCAGCTAGCAAGACTTTATCAAGTTATCAACGGCATATCTAAAAGTATCTCAAATTCTCTACGACTGGCAAATGTTTCTATCTCGCCAAGTGAAAATAACATTAGTAATACAACGATTGACACAGCTGTTCCTAGTACTTCTACTGCCAGTCAGGCTGAACCTAGCAACACAACGACTACTAATACTCGTGACGTAAATACGCCAAGTTCGTCATCACAAGTAGATAGCTCGGCTTCTAGCAATATGTCTGAATCGCCAACAAATGTCACCAATACCCAAGAAAGACACTCCAGGTAATTGACAAAACTTAAGCTAGTCAACAAAAATTAAAAACCATCCTGCATATTAAAAAACACTCATTATGAAACTGTTTATTTTTGTACTAGGCGTTACGGACGGAGAACGTATCTGCGGCGATCACGGTTACTTCAAATGGGTCCAAGAATTAACAGAAAACGCTTAGTTCGCATGCAAAATGCTAACAATTTGTGTCGCATGTACGAGGCTGTCTCTGCCGCATACATGGCCGTAATGCGACGTAATCGTGCCCGTAATGCAGCCAGAGCAGCTACGGCAGCTACGACAGCTACGACAGCTACGACAGCTATGACAGCTACGACAGCTACGACAGCTACGATAGCTACGGCAGCTACGACAGCGACGATAGCTACGACAGCTACGACAGCTACGACAGCTACGACAGCTACGACAGCTACGACAGCTACGACAGCTACAACAGCGACGATAGCTACGACTGCTATGATAGCTACGACTGCTATGATAGCTACGACAGCTACGACAACTACGACAGCTACGACAGCGATGATAGCTACGACTGCTATGATAGCTACGACAGCTACAATAGCTACGATAGCTACAACAGCTACAGCAGTTACAACTAATACAAGTATTAGCACGAGCACCACAACCGCGAACGCAAATACAAATAGGGTTACTAGTACGAGTACTACTACTTCCGGCGCTATTAATAATAATACTAGTGCCAGCTCAAGTGCTTATTCGAGTACAAATACCAGTACTAACACTACCACCACCCCCACCACCACCAGTAGTAGTAACACCACTTCTAACACGAATATAAATCAAAATCCTCCTGCTGTAGAGCCAGTCCAATATATGATCGACAGGTATAACAACTAAAATCATGCATGTAACAAAAAAACAAATTTTTTCTTATATTCAATTTAATAAAAATAATACTTTGACAGGTTACAAGCTTTAATTGATCAACAAACAATGCTCACGCGAAACAATGAAAGCAACACCAGTAACAACGATGCCAATTCAAACACAACAGCAGATTCAAATAACGATACGCAGTATGAAAATCATGAAATAATTGAAAATATTCGAGAAGTTATGTGCCTCCAGGCTAGACAAGTGTTAAGTTTGATGGTCATAAGTTTAACACGTCTTTTTGAAAACAACAACTATAAAAATGTACGTCAACATCAAATGATGAAGATGTATTTGTTACCTCGTCTTGGGCTTAGACTAACGGATCTATTGCTCGAAAGACTAGCGTCAACATTACGTGAACTTGAGCAAAATTATAATGATTACGATTCAACTTTGTCGTCTACAAGATCATCAACTAACAATGAACGCCAATCTGTGAGTACCAATACAACTAGTGAAGCTCAAACTGCAACTGCTAGTACATTATCTAGTACCGGTGGAACGGAATGTTCCTCCTCCACCAGCACTAGCGTTACTAATAATTCAGGTAAATAAAATTTTCTTAATTTCAATTTGGTTATTTCTTTTGTTTAATTTTTAATTTAATCTTTCCGAAATTACAAATTTATTTTAATCATGAAATTTACTATAGTTTTGATTATTTGATTGTTTAGAACCATCAACTTCTAGCGGTGTCACGGCAAATAGCAGCGATAGCAATCATAAAAGGACTTTAGTACGTCTGGCTAAGTTTTTCGGTATTGATGATGCAACAGCGAGCACATCGTCATCTCAAAGGGCACCAAAGCCATCCACAAGTCGTGAACCTGAGACCATCAATGCAACGCCGTCTACAAGTAATGAGGCTGACAACAATGATAACTCACTAACGAATGATTCTCGCAATGAAATAGCACTTTCTGCTGAAATTCAGAGTATCATCGAAAGGATTAAAATTAACAGCACGAGTGCGAGTGATGCTACTCAACGTTATCAGACTCAAAGTGGCGCAAATACTAGATTTGACAATGATAGCGACGATCGTGAAGATGAGGATGATACATCTGGTATAATGAGAAAAAATAATTTTTAATAGCATTCAATAAGACCAACAATTACAATAGTAGTTGATTGTTGTATAATATTTGCAGGAACAAGAGATCGTTCTAACAGCGATAACCGTGATGATAATCGCGAATCTTCTCGGAATTGGCCTGAAAGTTCTTCGAGGCACCCTCAACGTCGAATCGACGGTCTCTCGATACTGCGGCGTTATGCTTTGATGCGCCGTCGTCTACTCTATCTTGAACCGTTTAACGTTTCTCACCCTGCGCGCGATCGTAGCAATTCAAACGCATCTATGACACCGCGTGAACACCTTAATATTCTAGATTATGGTCCTTACCGCAGTCGCAATGAGCTAACAAGGACAGAAGGAAACAATACATCCACCTCGTCAGTTCCGCCTTCGTTCTTGAGACAACCTCTCAATGTCCCAGTTATAACGGTCAATAACGTACCTATGATTGATATTAATCCACTTACGGTACGAAGAAGGCGACTGAGACAAAGACACTTGCCGGAACTCTTATACGGTAATGGACCGAGATTTGATAGGTTTAATGCTGCTAGAAATAATACATCTGGAGGATCTGGTGCTAATCAAGACAACGAAGGTGGAGTGGAATATCCACCGCAACCACCGTCGTTTTTGAACAGCTTCAGAAATCAGGTATACCAAATTCGCAAGATTAATATTTTAGTTAAAAATTATATTTTTTCGTAATATTAATTTCAAATTAATTAATGTGCGTTCAGACTCCTTGGAGGCTCTTTTTGTCTCGAGGACCATTTAGCGCCGGCGAAGGTTCAAGTGGTGGTCAAGATCCAGAGAATGATAGCGACGACGTAGAAATTAGAGGTAATTTAGATCTTTACACATTTTTATTAAGAGCGATCTTTATAATCGAATAGAATGTAAATTAGTTAGTTTTTATTCTTGCATTAATTAATTCAGCATTATTTTTATACTTGATTGTATCTTACTATCTTACGTCTAGGTACGGCCAAATTAATGAAAAATAATTACTTTTATACAGCGTAATTGAGATTTTCTCTAAAATTTTATTTTCCTCTACAGATCACCATATAAACATGGCTTTTATTGGTTTAGAAATTCAAAGTTACCGCATCCAAGCTTGGGATTTTTCCAATATTCCTGATATACAAGACTGTAAGTTTTCATTTGTATTTGATTTTATAGAATTTAAAAAAATGCTTTACAAATTTATACATGATTTCTCGGTTGACAGCCAAAAAGAATGTGATTGTTGGCGAATGTAGAATACACAATGATGCAAATATTGACATTTCATCTGATTCAACAGCATTAGTAACAGTGCTGCCATCAAATCGTTCAAATTTAACAACTATAGGTAAGTTAACTGGCAATTCTAATATTGATATTATGCAATTTGAAGAATATTTTATTAAATCAAATTAAACATAAAATATATCTCGTAATATATGATTGATGTCTTTAGGTGTATATAGTTTAGACTGGGAAACATTAGGTGAAAAAATGTATTCAACAGAAACGGATCACACAGTCATTTCGGTATCTATGTCACCGACCAAACATCATCTTCTCGTTGGATTGGGTTCTCGTCGTATTCATGTACCTTCTCGTCAAATGCCAATGGCTCTCATTTATAAACTGGTGGATCCCGAAGACAAACCAATTAACGATTTACCCGACGCTGGTGGATTATATCGATCAGTAGTAAGCCGACATGACCCCAATTATCTGATCTTCCTCAATCATTACCTAAATGATATACGACAAAGAATCACAACAAACAACGAACAGCAGAGTGGAAATCAGGCACAAAATTTGAATAATCAAGACTGGCGGAATCAAAATAATAGCGGATTTTCAAGAAATTCTGATGCAAGCGATGCCAAACAGAACAGAAAGAAAATGATACTTTTAAGGACAATGTTCCAAAGTCGTGATACTCCGAGTTATGTCAGTTTGAATTGTATTAGATGGACACCGCATCCTGGTCAAGGTATGGTTTACGCAACCAACACTGGCTTGTTGAATATATTATATTGAAGATATTAAGTTGAATATATCTATTCTTCTTCGGGCGCTACTTACCTTACTAAGTAAATTTTTGACAACAGATAAACAAAATAGCCCGATGGTTATTAAGAAAAATGAAATGTTCTTTAAATTTCTAATTTTATTTAGAATAAATGAACATTCGTGGCTAATCTGCCAAAATTTTTTAAATGACATAGTTACTAAATACGAGTGTAAAAATCAAAGTAACAATCTTAGAAGCCTTTAATCTTCTGTATACAAAATAGGATTTTGTTACCTTGCTCCATTAAAAGTAATCAGAGAAAACATTCATCTAATTATAGCGAGTAACGTTTATGAACTTGAGTATGGTAGGCAAAAATATATATTTCAGCGCGGAATCATCACAGAGAAAGTAATGCGTTTTACTTTCTTTGAGGTAAAAGATGTAGCATAAGCATTCGGTGTACGTGAAATCATGATATTTTATCACTATCAACCAGTCCCATATTTTTGATTGCACTTATTGCTGTGCAAAATTAACACTAAACTTAATGTTCACGACGGGACTGTGCCTTAACGATTTTTTTCATTTTCTTGTTTATATTCTTACTACTGTTAAAATGCATAACTTAAATATTATTGTAAAGTGAATGTAAAAAAAGGAAATAGGCAAATGAAATCGTATGTCACCTAAGGTTTTATTAAATGGTGCGCATTTAAAATTAGTAAAAGTGCGTATTGTACTAGATTTTAAGATTTTGTAACTGTATTATTTAAGTCGTATGTTACAATTTTGCGCTACTTTTACGATCAGACTGAATTTAAATTGCGATCTGAGTATTTTTCGATTATATTGCAATATACTTTTGTGATAGCAATTAGAAGAGTAGATCGTTGTATGATTTTGCAACACACGATTATTCCAAAGCTTCATTTTTTATTATCTTCTACATCGCTTTAAGTTATGGTTTATGATTGCCTATAATCTTATCATTGTTTATTTCGTGTGCCATTTGACTGTAACATCGTATAACGTCAATAACATTTAATAACGATATTTAATTTACAATCGTCTGCTTTATCCTTAACAGTAATTTGTAAAATAGTACACAATTAAAAATGGAATATTTCAGATATTGCCATTCCATATACTGTTCAATATATTGCATCAGAAACTAAATTTACTAAAATGTTACATTTGTAAATGATTTTTTTCTGTAAAGCGGGAACGATCATGTGTGACGTACTAATCATAGTAAATGCGTTGATCTTTTTTCAATTTGAACATTCTTAGACTTTTTAATGTAAATATATGATCAAGTTCCTAATTCATTCATACTTTTCTTATTGTTCGTCAAAATTATAAAAAATACAAAAATAATCACAACGATTCGCTATTTCTAATAGTAAGAACACTGACCGTTCCGTGACTGTGAGACCAAATAAATTTTTTGCTTTTTATATGAATATTTCAAATGCCAATAAAGTGGTACTATAAACTCGATTTTTTTGTTATTCTAACATAAGTAAATGTATAATTTTATATAAATATAATAATCTAAGCGCAAAGAATAAAAATATAAATATTTAACAGTCACTTAATCATCATAGAGTAAACTTTGTAACAATTCTGGAGTTTCTGGTTGTTTTAAACAAAATGGAACTTTTTCTTGCATTGATGCCGCATATTTATGACGCTCTAATTGATCAAGATCTTGATCCAACATCGTTTCTATTTCTTCATCTATATACAAGGGGTTTTCGTAGGATTTATTTAGATATGAAGAACTTGGATCCGTGGAGTTAATAGTTTCATTGATTGTATTCTGAATTTCAGTTTCAGTCAAGAAAACTGGTTGGTAGGTATTCAGGGGATCTGGAATTTCTTGCTGGATAACTTGATTAGGTGCTTGTTGGAGTTGAAGATTTTCTTGTGATTCAGGCATAGTACATGTAATTTGATGATACTTCATTTGATGCAGTTTCAAATTCCCTGTTTGTGAAAATGATCGATCACAGTAATTGCAAAGGAATGGCTTTTCTCCAGTGTGACATCTTCTATGCCTTTGTAATTTGTATTTTGTAGCAAACTGTTTTCCGCATTCTGGACACTGTAAAGGGTGATTTTGTACAGGTATGATTTGATTATTCACGATCATTTGATTGTTTGCTGCATGAAAATTAAGCATGTGGGATTTCAGAGACACTTTATATCGAAAAGACTGGTGACAATTAGCACACTGAAACATTTTTTTTATTTCATGACGTTGTTTATGCTTCATCATGATTTCTTGTTGATTGAAAGACATGTTGCAGATCTAAGAGAAAAAAGAATGTAAGAAATTTTGCTTGCTAATAAACATTCTTGAGAATTACTCACATCACATATGTATGGACGCTGTCCTGTGTGAATTAACTTGTGTCGTTTCAAATGAGCTGAACATCTAAAACTCTTACCACATATAGGACATATCTGTTTTCTTTTTTCACTTATACTCAACATTGGTTCTGTTAATTTATCTGGTAAACTTGCCTCCTTCAAATGACAAAGCATATCCTGAAATGTAAAAGCAATTAAGCAATGGCGAGAGTCGCAAAGATTAAGCTCTTCTTGTCAAAAAGTAATACCTCTGCAAAATCAATTTCTAATGAAGGTGCAGTAAGTTGTTTTTGAACATTTGCTACCATCAAACAAAATTCATCAAACATACAAAGCTTTTGCTCGCATTCGCTACATACATATTTAGAAAAAGCATCAGTAATGCATATATTGATAACCTGTAAAAAAATGTTAATGGTAAATGTCAGAACTTTCATTAAAATGTCAATTCGTATATTCATAAAATAGCACTTACCTCTTTCGCAAAGTATTTATTAATGATTGATAAGAGGACTGAACCTTTAATTTTGTCTTTGAAAAGATCAGTACCTTGATGTTTTTCTTTGCTACATAATCTACACAACGACAATGTACTCATCTTATGAAGCATCATTTTTAACAAATATTGGGATGGTAAGTTGTAAGCAATAACTAGGAGTCTAAAGTAACTTGTGTGCCGGAGATGAGCAGCGTAAACAAAACAATATATATCTATTTGACTTTTACTTATGTATTGACACTTACCGAAAAGTAAGGTAACTTTGTTATCAGTCGACTTGAATCGAGTAGTACGCATGCTCCTGTAGTCAAGCGACTTTTGAAATGTGCAAAAATTAGCATATGTCGCCATCGTCTAGAAGAGGCATTAACTTCGACTAGCCGACTAAATCTCTTCTGCGTTTTGAATAGAAAGTACAAAATTGATCACCCGATAACACAAATTGACGCTTCTACTTGTATCGGTAAAGAAAGGTATACCATCATCCAGTCAAATGTGGTTCGGGCAGAGACCAGGAGAATCAGTTTCTCCTGATTTCCGCTTTAGGTACGCTAATGATGCTAATGATGAAAAACACAAAAGCTATGGACATAATGGTGGATGTCTACAGGCTGCATCTTTCTCATTGCTTGTCTCTTTACACGCGCGCATTTATCGAATAACGCTACGACGAGGGTTTCATAGCGAATCTATGCAAAATTTTCATTATAACAATCATGCTTGTTAAGCCGTTACGAACGAATTCCAGAACATTCCGATGAAGCACTTCAAACGGTGCTTATCGTTTGTCTGAAATCCGATGATTAACGCATCTGCCGAGGCTGTTTTCCGTCGACTAATTATATATCACGAACTCGCCACTCTGGCTAGCTCGAGCTCTGAGTGTGCCGTGGGTGCCGTATCCTTGCAGTACTCGCGGAAAGACGAGAGAAAGTGCGATTCGAGTGCGGCATAAGTGCAGCCAGTAGCGGCGAACGGCAGAAACGACAGCAGCAGCAGCAGCAGCAGCAGCAGCAGCAGCAGCAGCAGCAGCAGCAGCAGCAGCAGCCGGCGGCGTCTGCCTGGCGGTCGGCCAAAATATCGACTTAAACTACTGTGGCGCTCCGTGCACCTTTGGTCGTCGCGTTCGTTGCCTCTCCCTCCCTCCATCCTTCCCTTTCTCACTCTCGCTATTTCCCTCTCTCTCTCTCTCTCTCTCTCTCTCTCTCTCTCTCTCTCTCACGCATACACACATACACTCGACCCCTCACTTTCGCTCGATGTTTCTTGCCCGACAGAGCAGCTCGCTCTGCAGCTTTTCTTCTCTCTCCTTGGTTCCTTCGCCGCCCTACAAATCGACCCTTTCAAGCCTAAGCTCCCTTCCTCTTTTCTATATATCGTCGAGCCACGTTTATTCGCACTAGCTGTCTAACGTTGCAAAATTGCTGAATAAACGTCAGACACGCAAGTGCAATTCAACACCGATATTACGAGAGCAATTGCCTTCTCCCACTCGAACATGTTGTATTTCTCGAAGAGCGGTTCGCAGCTCGTATTCGTATGCTTTTGTTATTTCCCAAGGAAAAATTGGATCGCATTAACCGAACCATCAATACAGCAGGGAAGCAATGCAAGGTCAGCGAAAATATCGATAAAATGGCATGCGCGAGCGAAAAAAAAAGAAGAGTGAAAATCGTTGGCAGCAGATAGCCTCAGGGGGAGAGCGTCGAGCTCGGCGGGGCTCATATTCACGAATGACCGACGCGCGCCGCGTCTAGGCGCCGCGCTGCAACCGTATACGGCGCGCGCGAGCGCAGCGCGTAAGCGGGATACGCGCCCGAGCGGCGCATTTGCGCGGAAGGGCTTATACGCCGCATCTCATTTCCGGAAATTGAAATTCGTCCCGCCACACGCGGCAGCCGCACTCGCGCGCAAAACTTGCTCGGCAGCGGTTCGATCGCGAGAGAGGCGCGATCGATGAGCCCGCCCGCCGTCGCGCGCGCCGATGCGCGTGTCTCGTCGCTCTCGCGCAAATTCAGCTCCAGCCAAACCGGAGAATCGCCTTTGTGCACTCTTGCGCGTCGTCAGCCTTCCGTGCCTTCCTTCGCGATTTTTTATTGCGTTTCGCTGCCAATTCCTCTATCCGACCTTCTGTACCGTAGTATTTTTCAAATTATTCTCTCGGTGTCAAACGTTTCTTTTACTGCCGAACCTAAGTTCGCCTGCAAATGAACAATTACGTATGCTTCGCGGAGTCGTTGCAATATTTTTTTCGTACACCACGCTACAACAATCACAGCGCATCGAAGGATCTTTTATTTTGAACAACTTCGAAGCATGAAGGAATTATCATTTCCAAATTAATCCCATTTGACTGATAAGCATTTAGCCAGTATCCAGAAAGAAAAATGCTACGTTCAGCTTGGACATGAAAGCGAGAAAAAGAAGAAAATCGCGCAACGCGGTGAGAGGTAGTTGGCAGGCTATCTATGATCATTGAGCTCCGGCTCGAACCGGCGCACACGCCACCAAATTCGAATAAGAATCATCGCCATACCACTTTCATTTTCCGCTATACAAGTCATCGCGTTCCTGATAACGATGTCGATACCGCGATCGTTAACTCCATACGCTTTACGTGTTTAGTATGAATTTTGATAGTGCGTTCAAAAATCAGTAACTTGATCATTAATCAACCGATATTCCAAAATAAGCCATATATTATTTGTATCATAACGAAAGCATAATTAATTGGAAGCCGAGCTACCGTAATTCTAGTTTAACAATTATATCGGCTGCGTGCTCTTTCGTTTCAGCTCTCGCTGCACGCATTTTGTTTGTACTAAAATCGCGATCTCTCGACTTCTAATGAATATTTTTCAAATTTCCACAAACCAATGTATATGTTATTTAATTCGTGATGTATGATATATTTCATAATTTCACCGAGATAAAAAACTTTTTACAATGACTTAAACAATTACATTGTAAAGAACTAATTAACGGTGCAATTGTCGTTGATCCACCATCGAAATTCGTATTCAGCGAAACAAAATATATTTAAAAAATCTGGTTGTATCGTCATGGTATAGTTCATTTATTTATAATTAACGTTTTAATTATTTATACATTTTTTGGAACTCAATTTACAATATCTCAACTGGTAATTGATATTTTTTTAATTTTCAACGTGCAATACGTTTCTGATTTAATGTGGAATATGAATTTTTACAATCGTTTAAACAATTTAAATGTTAATAATAAATAATGTAACTACATAGTTGCCATCCGCCTACACTTTTTTTTTGTATTTTGTCTCGCTGAATACAAATTTCGATGGTGAATCAACGACAATTGCACCGTTAATTAGTTGTTAATAATGTAATTGTTTAAATGATCGTAAAAAGTTTATTTATTGTCACGGTGAAATTATGAAATGTGCCGTACGTTTCGAATTAAATAACAAATAAATTGGTTTGTGCAAATTTGAACAGCATTTATTAGAAGCCGAGATATCGCGATTTTAGTACAAACAAAATGCGTGCAACGAGAGCCGAAACGAGAGGGCGTACAGTTGATATCACTGTTAAACTAAAATTATAATAGCTCGGTTTCTAATCAATACTTTTTACATCTAAAAAAAAAACTGGTGCCTTCTTTATAGCGATACTTCTTTAAAATAAAAAATAGACTAGTGATTATGTGTTTTGAATACTTGACACAACTAAATATCGACGAGACACTGAAGACAACAAAAGAAACCTATAGAACTTGTGTTGGATGAATTTTGCTAATTTGCCTCTCATGGAAAAATTAAATATCTCAAAGATATGCGTAAAATTTAAATATCTTGAAGATTTACAAAAATAAGCGAACGTATGACTTGATAAAGTTACGATTATACAATGGCACTTTATCTTTTGCTGTCATTCGATGTGCTTAACAGAAAGTGAGCAAATATATGAAAATCGACCGAGAGAAAAAAAAATAATCAAATCGATCGTATTTATTCACACTTGTATTTAGCATACTATGCGTTATTTTGCAAAACTGTTTTTTTTTTCTCGATTCACACGTGCAGAAAACTTGGCTGTTTCGTTTGCACACAAGCAGGTCATCGATTTTGCCTGGCAGCAATTTTCGCGACTGTATACGCGTACGCGCAGCACACGTCCCGACAGCCGCTCGCTGCAAAACTTTTCTTGGCGCCGCATATTGAAGCGATCGCGATCGCGCCGAGATACATCGAAAGTCCATGCTTGAGAAAACGCCTCCGCGCGTCGTACGTTACGATAACGAATTTTTCAGCGTCCAGCTTCCAGCATCCTCTTGCCAAGCTGAATACGCGTGCGGTCCCGCAGCGAACGTTTGCAGAGTGACTGCGAACGCAGTCAAAACAAGCACCAGCTAGCCGGATAAAAAATTCTATCTTAAAAAAATGACGACAAAAAAAAATTTTGAATTTTCGTATACTTTGAAATATTTTTACTATATATTTATAGGTGTATAAGATTTATATTTCAGCAGTAAATTCAGTTTTTAAATAATTAACATGGATAATAATCTGCAAGAATAGAAATATGCCGTTAATAAATCGTTTTGAAGTTATAAGATGTTATTTTTTGAAATTATCAGTAGAGATCGTTAATTTTATAACCATCTGTGATACTGAAATGAATATTGTCGTGTTAAAATTTGGTAGAAAAAGAAAGAAAACAAATAGAATAAAATAGACAAAAACACATTTTTATCTTTCGTACATTGTAAATTAAGAGGTATGCGAGTAATGGAAATTAATTATCAGAATATTAAACCCGTTAAATTTGAAGAACATTCACGGGTGTTTTTATAGAGGTAACCAAAAGCACACAATATTAAGTGTATTACTCATACTAATAGAATATTGGAGCCATACTCACTACTCTTGAGTATATAAAGTTTAGTGTTGTATAATAGTATAGTTTATTGATCGTTGGTTGAATGAATCTTTTGGATAAGTTATCTTGAAATGAGTAAAAGTTCATCGGTCTTTGTGAAGAAATAGGTGCGCAATCTATTTTTATTCATCAATGAATATTGATGTATGTAGTGTATTTTAAAAAGCATGATTTATGCGTGTCCATTAAAATCTCCAAGTTGGCGCGACAAAGGTACAAATAATGTAATAAATAACAGAAAAATGTAAAAGAAAAAGCAGGCGAAGCGCGCTAAATATAGCACTAGTTAAAGAAAAAACCATGGGCCAGCTGACGTCTCGTTATAACCCGTCGAAGTAGTGGTCGTTCGCGAACATTGGCCAATCAGTCGAGCGCGCGAAACAAAAGCCACTCCAACGTATATTTG